TACCTACCCAAAAAAAAAAAAAAAAAAAAAAAAAAAAAAACAACACTGCAACGTGTTTTTCTTTTGCCCACGTCGCGGTCGTCGACGTCCGTAGTCTTTCCCGCGTCCTTTGCACGAAACGTCGCGCCCACAAACGAACGGTATAGGAGACCCCTTTGAACAGATTACGCGTGTTCGACGTTCGGCAATATAATATAATATTGTGTTCCGGAAAAAAAAAAAACAAGTAATTTAATCGAGTTAAAACCGATATAACAACAATACATAATGTACTACGGTGGCGTATTGATTAAACGACATCTGGCTACTGATAATTAATTCTTCGGTTAGGTTGGTTTTTTCCCCCATTTTTTTTGTCTTTTCTTTTTCCCGGCGTTAATGTTCACACGACACGCACGCTGACCTCCTATCCGACATATACATCCATACTCCTCGCACCGCCGCCGCGACATTATTTTTCTAAACAAACGAATATCTATATGTGTGTCCTAATTGCGTTTATTGTTAAAAATCCTTTTCTATCAACACTGCAGAGTCGGAAAGGGAATATAAACTATATACGACAGCATAATAATATAATACTATACGTGTTAATGATCGAAACCGTTGATATATTATGTTATCATCGGGGTGGGTTGCAGCCCCGATTGTCCGTCACGCGAGCTCTCGAAATAATAATATTACTTTATATGTAATATGCTTATGTTATCTATAATCAAAAACAACGAATACAACAGCGAGAACTATAGGGCTGTGAATTCAAGGTTTTTTTTAAAAAATCATTTAAGAACACCGCTTCGAAAAAACTCATCAAGAAAGAAGAAGCTCAAAATGATATTTACAATTCCAAACAATGCAATAATTTAATGTTTTAAAAGTATAATTGTAGTACAATACACATAATATGTCAGGTCTTGTGTTTAATACATACGAATGATATATTTTTAACGTCCGTCATAATAATTTGCACATTAAAAGTTTAAAAATAAAATAAAAAAACATGAATTGTTGTTAAAACGGTTAATTAATTTAAAACGTTAAAAAAGCATTTTTAAAAATGTAATGGTGTGAAAATTTCAAATATGTTTACTATTTAACCGAAAACCACTCATCTTAGCATAAAACTATATAGAATAACTAATTCTGGGCTGAAAACCAAAAAAAAATAAAAAAATGAAAATAAAAATTTTCAGTAGCGAAAAAGGTACGCAATGGTTTTTTTTTTAAAAAAGAACAACAATATTTAAAAAAAAAATACATGTATTATTAACTTAGAATATATAAATATTTCTTTATTTATATATATAATATTTTCTTTTAGAATTCAATATTATATTACATATTAAAATAAATTAGTATGTAAGCAAAAACGTAGCATGTAAGAGTAATAATGGTGGCCTTTTTTTTTTTTGTAAATTACGTACTATTGAATTATGTTTGAATAGTGATGTAAGAGTGGGGGGAGGTATTGGTAGCGAAGTCACCACGGGTCAAGTTGAGGTAAATAATAATTGCATAAGACGCTAGTTTTTTTGTACGTCTCGCAGTCCGTCTGCTTTTATATTTCTCCGATTCGAGTACTGCACGCGATAGATATCTCGAATTACGATTTAAGAAAAAGTCAATTGCAGCGGTCACTGCAATAATAAGAGCAATAGTACACGACGAACGACTTTTATCGTATACTGTTACGCGTGAAATGAAATATGTATAATAGGTGTGTACGTGTGTAGTATAAGAATAAACTGAACGAAGAGCGCCGCTCGTAATTTCCGCGGCCCACACGTTTTCTTTTTCAAATTAGGTACACGAACTTTGATTTGTTCGTCCGTAAAAAATAAATGAATTCTTTATAGATGAAAAAAAAAACAATCCGGTAGTACATACTCGTATATTATTTCGATCGATAATAATAATAATAATAATGCTATAATGTATGGGTTAACGTATATACAATACATATTATATAAAAACCCGGGTATTCTTTCCGAGTCGCTGTATTTTAAATTATGCGTACCCTGTACATAATTCATAATATAACTGTATATGCGTATTTAATAATACAAATGTGTGTACCTACCTAGTAATATTATGTCACGTTTAATTTATCTTCTTACGGTATTTATAATACCAGCTATAATAGTATTCTCTTCGTGACGCGTTTTGTAAACTCTTTGACATTATAACAAATACGCACAAATACGTTATCATCTTTAGTCCCTACTGGATTATAATATTATTCTCGTTAAATCTATAATAATCATATTCCAACAATATTATATGTGTAGGCTAAAATCAAATCGCGTGTTATGTTAAAAAAAAAAAAAAAATATGGAAAAACGAGTGTGCGGTACTATAGGGTTTTATATTGGATTTTCGAAGGGGAATCCGATACTATAATCGCTTCATTTTGAAACGTACAAGAATAGGTCTAAATTCAACCGGAAAGTAAAACGGTTAGCTACCGTTTGTGTCAAAACTTGTTAGTTTTGATGTACCAAACCCTATACCCGTGTCAAAAATCACAGAATCCATTATATGAAAACTCACGTTCCATTTCAACTATAAGCAAAGCTTAGATGTTCCAAACTTAAACCACAACAAAAATATAGATAACAATTAATATCTTAATTTTTGATAGCAGTTTTGAATTGCTTAGCATAAATAATGTTAATTACATTAAATTGTATCAAAATCGAAAAATACAAAAATTATTTTTTCCTTAGTTTATCTCGATCTGTTGAAAACTACAAGGGAAATAAAAAAATTATCTTCCCAATGCGCCAACGTAATTCGCCACCATAAACCACTACTAAAGTCTCTGATTGGAGTTAAATTTATAGAAGAAAAATTTGATAGTGAACAAAAATAAAAATTGATATTTTTGTTTTATATAAATTACCTGGTCTAAAAAAACGTTAAAAAATAAAAAAACTAAATACTTTTAGTTTTTGTTTGCATTTTTTTAATAATTTTGCTTCAATGTTTCATAGTGGTCGCAAAATCCTTGCTGCATTATTTCTTTAGCCGATCAATAATGAAATTAATAATTACAACGATAACCATTTATCGAAAATATAACGCATAGACTGATAGCCTGAATTTAAGTCGGATATTAGTATTATTATAATTGGAGTTAGCGGTATCCATCGGCGGAAAATACAAGTATTTTGAGTGATAATTCGTGTTTTCTTTGAACGAGATTTCACGAATATTATTGCGCGTTCACCGCGATTTTCCTGCACTGCACAGACGCAATGTTGTCAAAAGTTACCGAGCGATTAATTTTTCAAACGAAAGTTTTGTATTTTTCCGGATCGTTGGTTCGACCGACTACGGAATTCGCGGCAAATTACATTATTATTGTACGAAACGTTTTAATTCGAATCATTTGCGTCGCTTATGCGTATGATGTCGCGCTGCCTGCAGTAAAACCGTTTTATACATAGGTACCTACACTAACGGGAACCAAATGAATTTATATGCGGATTAAAGTCTTTATTGGACACGACTTTAAATATACATTTATACATTGGAGGGGTAGGATACACGTAAAATACACGGTAAGCACCACGGTACAATATAATATTGGTAAACGGTGTTTTTACATTCATTTAACCCGTTTCGATAGCTTAACCCCGACAATTATTTCGAACATTATCGTTTACCGTTACGTACCATTATTATTATTATTGCAATAAATTTCGTTTTCACGGTCAGATAGGCACTGTGGGCTTTTGAAAGTGGTTATTTTTAATTCGCTCGCTACAACTAAATTAAAGACTCCGGTGTCTTTCCCGGTGAGTGTTTTCTAGGTATAATAATACGCCTTCAATTAATACGATACGAGGTCAGGTCAAATCTATACTATATTTCTGTATGTTCTAGTAAATTCACAAAAATTTAGAAAATATATTATAATATTGTTTCGTTCCAATATTATATTTACCGAAATACTATTTTATAAGATCCGTTTACAAACAATGATTTTTTTTTTTTTTGTGTGTTTGGCCAAACACAAATGTGCTTGAAAATTTAACAGGCGGCTCATTATGAGTTGTACTTGGTGGTTAAAAAAAAATTGAGTATAATGTAGTATATTTGTTTTTATAAGAGTTTTAATATCAAATTTGTAAGAGCATCATAAAGATTACGGTCTTTCAAAATATATATAAACGAACTTCGTTCGGAATCGTTTTTCATTAACAATGGTTCATCGTTGCTTACAAATATAAATTAAATAACTTTACCTGTCCTACCTTCTCAACTTTTCATCCAGAACTTAGGCACACCTGTTTCCAGTATCAGCTCTTTTTTTGAAGTGAAACTTTTTACGCGCGCTGGGAGTAAAATTTCAAGGCCGAACGTGATGAAAATCGTCACAGTCGGTCGGTTGCCGGTTAACCAGCACGCGCCGTGATCACATTAACAGTTGTAACACACACACACACACACTAATGATACTGCGACTGAATGCAATCAGAAAACCATCCTGAAAAAATTGTAATATATATTTCAGGTTGACCCCCTTTCAGAATATACCACTTTTAAATCTATGAAAGTAAATTTCGATCTACTCTGATCATTTAAATTTTGACTTTAATATATTATCAAGGTTACTACCCTGATTACGGAAATATATATATGTTACTTATGTGAATGCACATAATAACGTATCCTGAGCAAAATCTGTCAGGATGAAAATCCAAGAATTCAGATTTTCGAACTAACACACACATACGAGTACAATGTAAATAAAAGTGTCACGGCTTATTCAGTTATCATAACCCCATTATATTGTTCGTGACAACAGAATAAGAAAATTAATAATAACAATAATAAATTAAATTAATTTCAATTGGATTTTATTTTATTCCAACACAAACATAATATTCTATTAGTTGAATGACTCTGAAAGAAGTTCATAATATTCACATCCCAACAGTATGTCATTCTATAAACATTTCATATCAATTCTTATAAAAACAAAACAATTTAATTTAACTGTTTAAACGTTAGGAGGTTCACTTCAAATATTTTTTTTATTTCTCGGTTCGACAAGGAAAAATTTGTTTAAGTTATTTTAAATTTGTGTCATAATTAATTGTTTCCACAAGGATACGTCTTTTAAAAAATCAATACGTATACCTCACTGCAATCAAAATCTAAAAACGTCACTAAAATGAGTAATCTTCGCATAAAATTCCTAACATAATAATGTAGGTTAGGTATGCTATACAATATTATAAATTATTATGATTTAGACGTAGAGGTGCACGTATCGCGTGAACGGTTTTTGCACGCGGGGAAATCAAAAGGTCTATTATTATCATTATAAACAATTATTATTGTTGTTGTTTAGGCTTCCTTCCGTGTCGCCCGACTGACGCGCGCGATTCGGTGTGGTCCCGATTGTGTCCATTATTATATTATGTAGGTTAGGTATATAAATCGTTTAAAATATTATCATACTTGAGTACCTATGTATACATATATATTTATATATATGAAGGTGTAGTATTATAAAGTTGATACGAAATTATTGTACCGACTGTTTGGTTATTACCGCGGTTCGGTTTTTGTACGTCGGAGTATACCCGTCGGACAATGGGTGCAATGTAATAATAGCTAATATAGTCGGTACGCCGTACGAGTATTTACAGATCCTATCCGATTTCTGCCCAAACGATAGGTAAATACGCGATCCGTCATGGTTCCTCATCAACTATTATATAATAGGACACTTTATTTTGGGTTTACATTTGAACTAAATTAAGATAACTTCTTTGGATCGATATCAGGTTTGGATTAACGGGTGGGTTAAGATTTTACCATCTTATTTGTCCAAACCCGTGGTGGTTTTTCATTGACTACATGTATTAGGGTTTAGGTTTATACACTTGGATAACTATAACTACTTTGGAGTGGTATCGTGTTTGAACCGACGAGTTATAGATACCGTTATGTTTTGTATAACCCTTAAAACCAACTCGGTTCGGTTTCGACTTAAACTCTCGAACTCAGATAGGGTTCGTAAACACGCGATCGGTATATACATACAATATGATATAAAGTGAAATTCTCTTTCCCCCGCCATCATAATACCCGGTAAACGTTTGTTTGGACACTCCGAAGTGTGTAATAATATTATATTGTATACGGATGAAATAAATTTGACACGCATGAAAAAAAAAAAAAGAAAACGGACCCGAGCGAGGAGAATTTTCGGTGACAAAGAATGCGTCGCGTCGTCGGACCGGGCGCCACTGCCGCCGGCCAAGGCGGTGGCGCGGCAGCACTCCCCGCCGGGGTGGCCGTCCCGCGTTTCAGATGAACCGTCGGCGATATTTTACGATCCGACAACCGGTCCTATCTCGAACATAGCACACACTATATATTACTATTACTGTTGGTACATAACAGAAAAAAAAAATAAAACGCTTCACACGATATTCCGTATATTATAATATTATAGTACGCGGGCAACGGGGTGACATCGGAAGAAACAACTCAATTCCTCTCCTCCTTCTCCCATTCTCCTTCTCGTCTCTAGTGTGCGTTATTACTTTCGGGTATATGATATTATTAACACTCGTATGTGTGAGTGTGTGTGTGTATGTATGTGTGTGTGTGTGCGTGTACACTACACAAGATGACAAAACGATTACTAATTGAAACGGGACCGAAACCAGTTTTTTTTTTTTCGTTTTTCGTTATCCTCAGTTTTTTTATTTTATATATAATAATATTTATTAACGACTAGAAACGCGCGGCAAAGACTCTAAACACAAATAATTAAGCGATTAAAAGCTTTGGTCCAGTGTTGTTTTATAATATAAGTGGTGTTCGATGTTTTTTTTTTTTTTATAATTATCATATTATTCACACCGAGAAACTCGTGTAAAGTTCTAACCGGTCTGACTGCACCACCGCCGCCGTCTGCGGGCAGATTCGGAGCAACTGCATTATATTATTATACGAAGATGTTATACTGCCGATGATGTAATCCGGTAGTCCGTCAAAATAAAAAATAAAAAAACCGATTGCATATTATACGTATTGAAAAAAAAAATAGAAATATTTGAAAAATTACACCGAGTCTTTAAAAATAATTATGTCGAACCTGCACTACGTCGAGAACACGAATAATAACTTTGAACAATTTGACGGTTGCAGCAGCAATGCACAGCGATCATGTGCGTGAGCACACATCGTTTAAATCCATTGCTGCACACAATCAGCGTTAATTATTAAACTAAACGACGCGCGTTACACTCGAAATCATCGATTAAAAAAAAAAAAAGTATAAACCCGTCTAATTTTATTCGATACTGTATATACTTGTACATAACTATAAAACACTTATCGCGCTCTACACGGATTCAGTTGAATTATTACCGATCGTATAAAACGAGTACAGTGATTTCTGTATTTTTTGTTGTTTGTTTTTATTATAATTTACATACCCCACTCAGTGGCAAAATGGTCTTAAAATAATGCAGACGTTTAATCTATGCCCACTACACACCCATCAATATTTCCCAATATTCCCAATATGATATTTAATATTTCCATATTAAGCATCCACACGTCCGCCTCGAAATCATTGAAAAATCTAGAAGCAACCGATTTTAAAATATCATATTATCGCTACGAAAATACAAAATAAATAAGATTATATTATATAGGTTCCAATCAGCAAAGGCTTGGGAGTGCAATTCTGTGAGCATGAAGGTTCAATAGTGTATATTATATTATATGCATATAAGGTATATATATATGGGAAGTAAAATACAATTTAAATGTTTTGCGAAAGTCATAAAAAGGCGAGTGGAATTAGCTCGAATTATTTTATTTCCGGCGTTTAAATATAAATAGGCGAGCGAATCAAATAATAATTGTCTGTTGTCTCACACAATATTTAAGTTTGTACCGTCACAAGAGTCTTGTTAATCAATAAATGATATATTCGTCAATGGCGTCATTTGGAGGGGTACAACTTGAGCATTTGCCCGATATAATTTTTAGTCTCGTGGACATAATATTTTGATGGTTGATCTCTACAAACCATTGGATTTAAGAAAAAAAAATTTCAAAGCATTGACAAATTTTTTCTAGACAGGTATATCTACTAAATATATTATACATTTTGTTCGCTTTTTATACACTCACAGATTACACAAGCTTATAGCAATCCGCAGTCGAAATTTCGATTTTTCCTATTTTCCGATTAATTTTCGTGATACTTAACGACGGTTTTTATCTCGAGTGAAATTTAAACAATAAACACCACGAAAATACATATAATAATTATGTAGGACGTACAGGCATACCTATTTCTTTGAAAGTACGTGAAATTCTGGAGTACACCTATATGAATAAACGGAGGAAGTTTTTTTTCGACAAGTGAAATCCTCGTCGGTGGGCCAATTCGAAAATTTTCGCCGGTCTTAACGGGAGGTTGTTATTTTTTTTAATTCGTTATTTACGAAATTTTGGTGTATTCAATTATGCTAAAAAAAAGTAGGTAGGTAATAATAAAAACATTCTCCACCCCCATGATATTTTTTACCTAGCACTGCGACGGCCTATAAATATATTGAAATGACACTCTCACCGATGTAATGAGAATCCATCCCTATCGTTAAGTATTAATTTCGGGGAAAAAATGTACTCGGTATTTTTCGTTTTCATAGTGTCGTTAATATTATCACCACTATATGGTGTAAAAAACGTCCAGGCAATATTAATAGAATTAGAGAAAATGTAATTGAAAAATTTAATATATGCATGTATAGAAGTATAACAGATGCGTTTCGGAGAGGAGCAATAATCATAATTACATATTATACCCGTGTACCTATACGCTATACAAATTTAATATATTATATTATGCATATGTATAGGAAATGAGATGTAGTAATACGATAATACACTATAATACTATATAATTAAAAAAATATAAAATAAAAGACCGGACCACTAGTAACCGGCATAAACTATAGCTGCAATATACCTATTGTAAAGAAATGACGTCATCGTATATGATACGGTGTTTTATGAGGGGTTTTTTTTTTTATTTATTATTATTATTATTATTATTATTATTTTTTTTTGTGGTTTTTATTAGTGTTTCAGTTTTACGCATTTTCGCCTCGCGTTTATACAGGGTATACCTAGTTAGCAAGCACGCCTATATGATTAATCTGATAAAATTCCGAAAGAAAAATATAAACGGGAATAATTGAAGTGGGTATATCGGCATAATATTATAAATGAATAATAACATTTTATACCCGGATTAGGCACCCGAATGAAAAAAGCCACAACAAATTCGACATAAAAATATATCAAATTATATCGGCCCCGGAAATTTACAACGGCGGTAAAGTGCGGCGTAACGAACGCGTATTTATGTATATTTTATAAATCTCGTAATAATCAACAACATTTGGGAACAGAAAAAAAAAAACACATGCAAACCATAATTTCTACGGTATGCGCGTATAATAGCGGCGGAACGCGTGCGTGAAAATTGTTTTTTATTTCTCCGACACGATTGAAGCCGAGGAGGGGAGGAAACAACAAAAAAAAAAACACGAAACGCCTTTTCCCCGTGTGGGCCCGCGGGCCGCCGTTACGGTAGTAGTATTTAGGGCAACGCGCAGAATTGAAGTTTTTATATACGTATGTACGTTTTTTACAGCTGCCCGATATTAAAAAAGTTTTTAAAATTATTATTATTATTATTATTTTCGTACGCGTACATATAATACGTATAGCTACGTGGCGTTCGATTTTAGCCGTTTCGTTGCCTATACATACGTATATCGTAATTGAAATCTGATTTTTCCTCTTCGACATTTCGGATAGGTCAGTAAATTATTATTACGACGAGGATGATGGGACGAAACGCTAAAAAAATCCCGTGACCTCTGATATCGAAATGATGGGAAAAAAAAAATCATCAACATAATTATTTTGAGTTGTATTTCCATATAATATCTACATGGACGGATATATTAGGAAAGAGACTTAAGCTCCCATTCAGAATGTTTTTAAGCTGTGGAAGGTTTCTTTTCGCAACACCTTTTTAATTAATTTGCCAATCATTTTCTTCGTAAGAGTTTACTTTTATAGATATACTTACAGTGAAAGTTAACAAAATAATAATGCAATGATGACTGTATTAATGATAAAGTCTCAAGTTACAGTTAGAAAAAGACAAGCAATAGGTCGATGCGAAATGACTTTGTGAATGGGCAGGGTAATATAGGTAAAAATGAAAAGCCTTCCTCCAACAAACACGTGACCAAATTCCCGCCTATATAATGTATTTATGTATTTATTGTTCGAGTGTTAACAAACTCGAACATCAAACTAAAACGTTTCTGTGCGGTTTTTCATCTTCTTAAACAAAGACAATATTCGTATAAAATAATACATGATTCGATAATGGCTTGTCGTGGCGCGGTGCGTTTCTGTGTGAATTTTCAAAATATACAATATTAAATATTTATACATACACTTACATGCACACTCTGTACGTATGAGACAAAAATATTATATTCAATTCGATTTTCTCGAATATTTCACTCTAATATAATATACCGACGATTATTCGTCAGCATCGTCGTAGTATACGAGTATTTCACGTACTTTAGTCATGTACTTTTATTTGGGTACTTCGGCAAGGCCATTGCAGGTTGTATATGTATGTATGTATAGGATATGGTATCGTATTATTCAAATGTATGATATACTTATAGCAACGATAAATCATTGCAATCGAGAAACAATGTTGAGCCGAGTAGTGTTATAGTCGTATTTTTTCTACTACTGTGGCCACAAAGGTAACCCGGAAGTAAACAAAAATAAAACCTATCGTAACCGTTTCGTTTTGTTGACAGTTTTTTTTTTTTCTATGTTTCAGTAAAACTATTTGGTATACGGACACAAATTGTTCAAACAATAAATATCACCGGACGATTATTCAACGTCTTTTCAGGTAGACACTTCTGCGTGCGACCAAGTGATTTCCGAAAGAAAAAAGAAACGACCAAATGATCTAAGCGATGAGCTTAAGTTAAGAACTTCGAAAATATGTTTGAATAAAATTCCGTCAAACGGGAACCGCACGTTTTTTGAGGAAAAAATGTTTTCCGATGAAAATAAAAAATAATGATAAATAAAACACACGTCAGTAAAACCGATAGGTTCTTCTTACGGAAAATATTTACTGCAGACATGTGTAAAATATTATAGTATTTCGTGTCGTATTAGGAGAGGGATTCGCGAACACGATTATTTGTTATTATATTCATAAACCGGTTTATTATTTCCACGGAACGGATTGTATTATCATATTATCGACAAACCGATTGCCGGGAGGCAGACGGATTTGTTTGTAAATAATATTTATTTTTCGATGCATTATACACACGGTATGCGTTATGAGATTGAAGAGTTTGAACGCATATTTGATGATAATAATATCATTGTCATCGGCACGAAGAATATGACTTTCCATAATGTATTGTTCAACGCGGTTGTTTAGTCCTAAAATAACATCAAAATTATACGATAAGTGACGGTTCTGTTGTTGATATTTTTGGGCACCCTCGAGCTAGAGATTATATCAATACAATTATATTACATTCACGTTATTCTACGTTATTTTTCAAACCCAGACGTTAGAATAATACGTAATTTAGAATCGTTTGTTGATGGTCGGTGTATGAAAATCCGAAAAAATGATTTATGATAATATGCAGTGTTGTGTTTTTTTTTTTTTTTTTGTAGACAGGTATATTTGTATTTTTTTTCCAGCAGTTCCCAAAGTGTGTTCCGCGGACAACCCAAGGGCTAACCCATGAAAGAGTTCCACACCCACGAATTCTCCCTACGCCCTTGTATATTTTCGGTTAATTGTTGACAAACTGTGGTTGGGTCAGAGTTGGGATTCCTCGAGACGCGAATTATTTACTACCAGTGCCGTGCCCGTAAATGTTTTTGCGGCGACGCCGAACTATAGATAAATGAGAAGTTAGTTAACTGAGTCTTTACCTGAGACAAATAATCGAACCGTCTGCATAAATATTTTTAAATCGTAATTGATATATTTGTTAGAAAAAATAGGTAAAATATTTAATTAATATTAATATGGTTTAACAAACTAATCGAGTATCTATTAAGATACGTAACACAACTCGAATTCGAAATCAAAACGTGTACCAAATATTGTACGCACTTTTATTAGATATACTTTTAGAACTTTGTTCCACGATTAGGGAAACGAACAAAATTATTTTTGTTTTTATCTAAATAAATGATCCTGTTTGTTTAGAATTATCTAGATAATTGTTCTGTAGCAATCTCTCTATTATTTCGTACATCTATTTACATACTTGAAAACGTATCTTTATACTGTGCTTAAAATACTACGTTGCATTTTCGGAATAAGCCTAACATTTTCGAAAATAATATCTTAAACGGGAACCTAAAAATCTTCGTGAATGAATACCCGCATGTAGTTCATAGACAATCGCTGATTCACGAAAAAGAATTGAATAATCATATTTTAGTGATTTAAAACTGTCCGATCGAACACTGTCTATAATTTATTATTCATTAATACCTATATTTTTTTTTTTTTTTTTTAGTTTCCGCATAAAAGCCAGATTTCATGCATTATCAATAATGCGATTATTGGTATACCTATATAGTTAGTTTCCCTTGATAATAATAACGACGACGGCTCGTATTGTGCGCGGTGGCAAAAGTAATTGCGCCATAAACTATAAAACGTATAATAATATAATGAGACGGAATTCGAAAAAAAAAAAAAAAAACTGGAACAAAAATCGACGAAGCGGACTTAACGATATATTATATAGTGGGGAAAAAAAAAAATCATTATAATCGTACTATACTACGCCGCCGCCGTTAAACATTTTTTGTCCTCCCGAAACGCCATCGTGCCAGACGAAAATATTATAATAGGTATAATATTATACACTTTTGTCCGGAAAAAAAAAATAAACTTAAAAATATGACATTTGGGTATATATGTACGGCCGCATAATTGGTTCGGGGAGAAAAAAAAAAATAGAATACCATTATAATATTATATACTCGACCGGCGTTATTTTTTACTGTTATTATTATTTTCGTTTCGTTTCGGGGATTCGCCGTCACAGCCGCCATGTGTTTCTCGGGCGCAAAGTCTCGTCGGCGGCATCGGAGCGTAACTTACTGTACGCCGAGGTGACTGTTCCGCCGCCGCCGCCGCCGGCCGGAGACGGGAACTCAACGGACGACCGCGAGGCTCCGTCGAGATCGACACGGTATTTTTGTGAACAAAATACAGGGCGAACCACGTATGATAACGTAAAAAAGCCATTATCTCGGAACCAATTTGAACTTTTTTCGGAATTCGGTTATTTTTCGTCACCGTTACTTTTGAGTGGCGAAACTTCCATAAACCTACCCACTTTTGATTTTCGAATAGCAAACTTATACTCAACGTTCCACAATAGCTCCAATACATATTATGGCGTTGACATTTTTAATTTCTGTCGACTCGTTGACGAGATATTCCACTTTTAAGTTTACGTAGTGCAGCACTATACGAACGCCGCGAGCCGCACAACCGCACAAATGATGGTCCACTACTTTCCTTCTATAACCGAACTTACAAGTGACGAATATCTCGTCGACGTGTTGACGGAAATTTCAGATTTCAATACCAATATGTATTTTATGTATTCAAACCAAGACTTCGTATATTTACGATGAAAGTTTAAATACACGTTACTAGGTATTTGAGAAGTGGATTCATACCCAAATATAAAGATGACAAAAAAATGTATGGTAATAATGTACACATTTTATAGTGGCTTGTTTCTTAAAATATTCTAAAAAAGAAACGTCGAATAAAGTTAATACTTTCAGGATTAATGAATGCCTATCGTCATGTTGATCACTCTGTATATAAACACGACGCCGACGACGGTTCATCGAGCAGACATACATACTCCGCGACATAAGTGTGCGTATTCATCATAAATTATCTTGCGAGGCGTCGTCGTCGTCCGCGAACGCACTCTGCTCACACGTGCAAAGGATTAGTGACGGATTAAAAATATTACGCGCCTCAAGCCCCTTGTATATATTTAGTATTATTATTATTATTATTAGGACTCCATGTTTAGTTTCAGAATGTCATCGTGGAAAACTAAAGAAAAACCATTATTTACGCGAGTGTTATCACTGACTAATTATTATCATGTCCGCCTGTGAAACGTGATCTGCAACCATACAACGAGAGACGTGGAACAATTACAAATTATATTGAAAGAATAGTGTTTATGAAAGACTAGCGATCCCGTACAATTTTCCCTGTGTAGGTATTGAACGAACATTTTGTAAACGAATAAAAGCGTCTTTCCCTGTTTTGGCCATACTTCAAATGAGGTTTAGATATAATTACTAACAATCAAACAATAAATTAAGTTAACCAGTCTATGGTAACTACTGATCGTTGTGGGTATCCTCGCGACAACAATATTACGGATTTTTACGGATTACCTTATTATTTATTTTAAATTCTGAGTGAAGTGAGGATAAAATTAGTTTTTTAATGATTATTTTTTTTTTTTTTATACATATATATATAAACCTCTTTTCTACCAGAAAGCATACTCCGATTATCAAATATAGCACCTTTTCTAAAAGGAAATGTTCTCTGGGTGGTACTTTAAAGAGATCATTTTTTAAAAATTTTCATTAGTATTCGAGATAATGAGTAAAACCTGGTTCTTTAGATTAAAAAATATTGAAATATTAAAAATAAATAAGATTATTGGTACCGTTTTTATTAATTTTTTGTTATTATTAAGGTTTTATTATTTTAAATCTTTTTTTAAACAATCACTTTTGTCATGTTATATTGTTTACAAAGCAATACTATTAATTGAACTCCGCTTAGAATCGTTTTTTCGTTATCAATAGTTTATTGTTGCTTACAGATATACATTAAATTCCCGTCGGTATACTACCTTCATAACTTCCCAACGATAAAAGGAGCTGCACCCACGTGAGAAGTATTTCCCCGTTATTTTTTTTATCATGTTTTTTTTAAATTTATTTATTCCATCTGTATTACCAAGGTAATCCATAAATCAATACAAATTATTGTATTTTTATACTAAAAATACCAATAACTCTATATCACACCTTTTATAGAGTATAAATATGGGATATAAAAATGAAGCTTGTATATTATTTCTGGTCTAGAACTACATACAATCAAAATTCAATCCGTTCAGTAATTTAGGCGATAAATGGTAACAAACATACAAATATCCATCCGCCAATTAAAATAAGCTTTTGTATATATTATATTAAGCGGGATAAATAGACCTACATAAGAAACGGAAATCCATACAAATATAAATGAAGAAAAAACATACAAATCTTGAGCAGCTGTACATAATAATCCTAATTTCAAACATGTATTAGGTATTCTAAGTGACTGGAGTGGGTTGGATTTGTGTGACGAGCTTAACACAGACTCATTAAAAACGGTAACGTGGAAATCCTCGACAACGATGTCCACAGATAGGGTGATAGTGGTTGATAAGTTAGTATAAGACTAATTGACGCTTTAAACAGGGATAAACCGAGAAGTTCAGTAAAGAAAAAAAATAGTACAAATTATTAGGGTTCAGAATTATTGTATATATGTGTACAACATACATATATAAATAGCAGAAGATAATATATTATGAGAGAATATTATATAAAGAATAGTAGAAGTTCATAAGTTATAATCAGGTTTCGGGGCTTATATCACTTAAAATCAACAAAAATGAGAGCCATTAAAAAAAATCATTATACGATGTATTTAGCAGCTTTTTCAGTAACTAAAAGGTTTAAACGTTCTATAAATACTGAAATAAGCACTTGAAAGAAAACTATTAAAACAATAAAAAAATCACTTTCAAATTTTATATTGGAACTCTTGAATCTTCACAAAAATATTTGTTTTGCCTCGATGCAAACCTAATCTAACCAACGCGACAAGTATAATTTTTTGAAAGTGTCAAATTTCTCTTTAATACAATTGATTTATGATTCAACGCATTTATCTGACAAAACAAATATGACATTAGATTCTGAGAAAAATATTGGATCTATTATTATATCTATAGTGCAGAATAAAAATTAATCAGATAACATCTAATGAAAAAAAAAAATGAGTAACTGGGAGAAGAAAAGAAACGTATCCAGTTTCTCCTACGAAAAGCATCAATGATACATCATGAATATAATCATAGATAGTACACACGGCCTTATATCTATACATTATGGCTGATACTATTTATTATAATAATTACGATGCACGTGTGATAAACCCGATTTCGTGGAAAAAAAAATCCATAAAAATAATGTATTTTATTTAACCCCGGATACCCTTTTTTGGTTATCAGATGTCTGGGTTACGTGCAATACGATGGATATTATACATGGCACAGTACACCAATTAATAACGTCCGAATGGGGAAAAGACCAGTGGGACAATACGATTAATTTTTAATTAGTAAATCTATGTATTGCATTTTATAATTTGTTTCCGTGTCTATTTCGCCCGTTTTCGATTCTTTTTATTCAATTTCCTAGGCAAATTATTATTATTCATAATAATTGAATACATTTTATAGTGAATATAACGCGGTTTTTTTTTTTTTTTGGTTTTTCGGCGATCGGATGTGCGTGTGCGAGCGCGTTTTCCGGTTCCGATAGATTTTTTATACATATTTTTTCGTTACTCGAGACTAAAAAAAAAACACCACGCTCTTGTCGCTGACAACGTCGTCGACGTGGGAGGTCGTTTGACGAAATTGGCGAATTTTCGTTCGATCCGCGTCGTTGTCGCGGAAATGGTTTTTATCGGAACTCCGTTTGCGGAGCTTCCGCTGTGTGCTACTGCTACAGTCACTATATTTATTTAATAATATATTTTCATACCGCCAAAATGCTCTAAATCCCGCACAGTTTGTTGTATTATTATTACACTAATAGAACTTCTGTTTGACGGGCACCGAGGGCAGTGTAGATTTAGCCCCTTATGAGCTTAAGGGACTTCAGTCCCTCACATTGATTGCATTAAATGTGAAAACAATAATATAAATTATTTAGCACTGAAAACTTATTACTAATGCACATAGGCACAGTTTATTTAACTATAAGTACAAATAATAATGTACTAGGTATGCAAAAACATATTTGCTAAGAATTTTTTTTTTTTGTGTAGAATCTTTAGTTAAGCTGTGACCTTCCCTATTAAAAATGATGAGTGCTACACTAAACAAAGGGGCCAGAAATAATTATCGTACTTTGTTTTTAGATGATCGCTTATGTAGAGTGTAATTATTAAATTAGTTAGCAATGGTTTATCGTTGCTTAAAGATATACTGTAAATTCTCGTCTGTTTCCTATCTTCCCACGTGCGGAGTATGTCCGTTCTTTTTTGAAATTGGTTTAAAAATATACTTTAATATTTGTTAGGTACATCTATTTCCGGTTTCTTCTATGACCTAATTATTTAAAGTATCCGGAGAAATCGTAATGTATTTCACCTAAAATACTTTACAAGACTTTTTTAGACATTGTTGAAACCAAATAAAAAAAACAAACATCAATGAACAACAAAGCTCCGTTACAATATTTTATTGATAATTAATCTAAAATAATATTGTTTGTCAGAATTAAACTTAATTTACCTGTGTATTTCGTGTGAAAACATGAAATTTAAGTAAGCAAATGATCGCGGAGAGCATTGAAAGTAAAAGCTCTAAAAATGTTAATCCTAGGATAATTAAACCGTGTAAATATGAAAGTTTATCTTAATCTCATTTGGGGGGTCTGTAGGGGCGTAGAAAGCCGAAAAATATCATCTTCATGCAACACGGTGCAATTTATGTTAAAATTTAACTATAATTTAATCACTTTCATCCGCCTACAAAAGAACTATATTTATTGAGTTTGAGCTCATTTTGTCTAGAGGGAGTCGCTAATGATATCCCAAAGTAACGGTGAAGATATGTAAAAGTATTTATAACAGAATCTATGTAGAGCAATAGTCTCTATTTCTGAGAAAACATTTAACAAAAATTACCAATGTACGCCACGAGAGGAGACTGTCAACGGAAGTTTCATTTTATTAAACTCAATTTATAACACCGTTTCAATCGATCTAATCGTCTCGGCCGGCGGCTGCGCCCACAAAGTTCTCACTCTATGCACACGATTCTATACGGTTGGGGTTCGATATTTACCGACAAGATTTATATTTTATTATAATATTAACTCAAACAACTCAATCCTAATATATAATAATAACAATAATAATAATTATAATAATACTTAAGTAAACTGATTGTTAAATCTTATTAAGGCGCTCGCGCTGCACTGGCGCCCGGTAAAACGTCTCCCGAAACGAAATTATAACTACCCGACAAAACTCGTAAGTCGAAACGAAATTATATACGATTATTTTCAAGTGGAAATTGAATTTGCGTATACGTCTATATCTACAGCGGCGGGGTGATAAAGTTTCCAAGACAAATAATTAATATAAACTTTAATTTATTTTAAGTCTGCATAAACAGTAGGTATACCTGCAGCCGTATATCGGTCGGTTGTAGGTAAACCTGTACAATTAAAAATAATATATATTGTTTGTTATTGGAATACAGAACAAAAAAACAAAAAGAGCCGATACTGCTATTTGGTTTGCCGTTATTTTAGTAGACAGAGTGTGGTTTATATATATATACATTTAAAAAGCAATTTATTAATTCATAAATCTGCAGGCAAAAACGATAAATTTTTGCAAACGAAAAACGATTGTGTAAGATGTTCGGTTAAACGTGATTTGAAATGCCGTCAATCTTAAAGATTTTCATTAAAGTTTGAAGTTTACACGCTTATAAAACATAGTTAAATTATATTGCGCTCATTTTTTTTTTTTTTTTTTTTTTTAACCACTAAGCACAACATAATATGATAAACATCATGTTCAATTTCTGAACATATTTACCGGGTAAAACGATTTTTTCCAAATAATAAACCAAATAGAAAACTTAATGCAACCACGAACATTTCAAATGGCTATAAAAAGCTTAAAAATAGTCAAGAAAGGGTATTATAAGTATTCTGCGCAAGTTTCATGTTTGTATGGTTATTTTTCACATATAGCAACAACTATAAAAATAAACCCTTGAAAAAAAAAAACCATTATTGAGTAGACTTTCCTGTATTTTTCCCGGGCTGTCCTAATTGTTAAGAAAACTGTAAGGAAATAATCAACAAATTACTTTCTCAATGCATAAACTAGATGAACATTGCTTTAAGAATAAGTACTACACTTAATGATCAGATATAGACAATTTTGAAAAGCGGTTCACAGACAGAAAATAAAATACACATTATATTATAGTAATTATGCTACTCCCATAATCTAAAACCGTTCTGTAACTTTAACAGTTTTTCCAATTTCAACATCGGTTCGCGTACTTCAATTTAGAACAATTACGAAAATTCAAACTGCTGTTGAAACGAGAATAAAATTTCAATTTTAACGAAGATCTCACATGCAGCTATGGAACAAAGTTTTGAAATAAAAAAATAATAATAATAATAATATTAGAAAACCGTTTGACGTATATTTTTATCCGCTAGTTTTAATATAAAATTTAATTGAACGTGTTGATTTAAATTATTATACATAACATGTGCAGTCATGCACGGTAAAATAAAACACTAATAAAAACCTCGTATTTCATTCGTCGTACCACTTGATTTTATCACACCGATTAGAATAATGTTATCAAATTTATACGTTTTAAAAACTATTAAGTTTGTATCGTATTATTCACCGATGCGGGAATAGTTTTTTTTTTTCTTTAAATACACAGAGTATCTTAGAGTTTTCTCCTTATACTTATAACTCTGGACATATTTATTCTTTTTTTATACATTTTTTTTTCAATCGGGTTTTGTTTAAGGGGCATGTTAGAGAAAAAGTAATTTTTTTATTTTTATCTCTTAATCGTCCACTGAAAAAATATTTTTTTATTTTACTTTTTAAAATTTTCAACACATTAATTTTGTAAAAAATAGTATCCCGAAAATTGTAATGTAACATACATTCATATAAATTGAAATTTTAGACCCTTGTCAAAACAACGGAACCCTAGGACGTAAAAGACGGTAGGTCACTTCGTTTCTTAATTAGAGGAAGAAAACAGTGTTATTTTCTTTTCTATTGTAACTTTGGAATATTGACTTACTAATGAGCCTGTACAGAAATTATAAACAGACCAAATTGATAGATTTTTCACGAAAAATTGAATTTTATGTATATATATATATATATTTATATGTGATAAATGTATGCATTTATTTTTAGATTTGGAGCATAGCGATGAATATATTGGTTTTACAATGATATTTATTTTTATTTTTATTTGTAAAGAACTTTTCCACCAGAAATCCAGCTCCGATTTTCAAGTATCTTTTGTAGCATCTTTTCTGCAAAGAAATTGTATCTAGTGATTAATTTTTGATTTGCCTAGCGGTTTTCGTAATAATTGGGAAAAACGTAGGAAAAATTTCAAAATTTACGCGTATTTGTATAAAAGAAACTTCGCTTCAAATATTTTTTTGTTAGCAATGGTTTATCGTAGTATATAAATATAAATTAAATTCCTCTCTATACCTTCTACCTTCCCAAATTCTATACTATAACAGTGGCCCATCGTGCAAAAAATGTCCGGTTTTTTGTATTATTTTACGTATTTATATTTAATTAAATTTACCTTAGCGTATATTTTTTCCTTTTACTAAATTCACCTTTTATGAATTTCGAAAATATACCCCCTTTGAACAGAGGAAACCTTCTAATAACGGACAAAATTTGATAGTCGAGAGTTTCCGCTATTCAGACATTTTACTGTATCATAATCCACGTTTAACAATATTATTATTATATAGCTTGTGCAGTAACTGCAATATGGATCGTTGCGTATAATTATTATTTAACTCCGCGGTTAGATTTGTTGTTGCGTCCGATATTTTTAATATCACAAATTATTATAGATAGCTATATAGTTTAATCAAAAATGTCATTAAAACGTGACCATGTTAAAATATTCGAAATAATCAAAACCGGAAAAAATCGTGTCATTAATATATTATGATTATTTATTGATTACTTGGAATAGTACGAAAGTACTTTGTAGTTTATACAATGAGTGTCATAATATATACGATAGCCTTTTTTCGATTATCAAAAAAAAAGAGTGAATTTTTCACCAATTTTTTTTTACGGTCATGTCAAAAAATAAAAATTGAATCATAAAATGACCTCTCCAATGCACCATCTAGACGAAATTTGTTTTTAAAAAAAATGCAACGTTTCAGATAAAAAAAAAAATCATTATAATAGTGCGTTGTTTTCGAAAGCAATAATATTAATATTCACGGTATAATAATCAGCTCTCGTACGGTAATGATCGATAAAAATGAAAATTTGGAGATCGGCAGTCGCAAGTATATAATAGGAGAGACCCAGGCCGGAGTTAATGGCGATTTGATGTATTTTTTCAGATCCCCGCGGCGGTGATATGCCGGGTTGTTGGACAACCAGTGAATGGGAGGAGGAAGGGCGATGGTGCATCAGAACGAAATTCGGTCGATATATACACGAGAAAATGTGCCTCAAAGTGAAAAAAAAAATATATCCATATAAAATTGTCTAATCTATATAATAATAGGTATATCTAACGAGAAAACGAAGAACTATATGTGTATATATTAGATAGGATAAAATGAAAAAAAAAAAAGTCCCTTTAGCTCCTTAATTATATACGTCATATTATTATATTGTCGGATACTCGAGTAGATATATCGAAAGAATAATTATCCCTGCTGAATATCGCTCGAACTTTTTTTTTCTGATAGAAGAAACTGCATCAATGGCCGCGCTTTGCTATAAAAAAATAAAATATACGTATATAGATATATTGTATACTATTCGACCTTTAGCGAAAATTCTTAAGCGTACATAGCAACATTATAATGTAAACAAAACAAATGTTCTAGAAGTGGATGAAAAAAAAATAGAACTTTAATTAGGTACTCGTTTAATTTAAAACACTATATTAAGAATTTCAAAAATAAAAAAATAAAAAACTCCGTCGGAAACGGAAGAACTTTGGTCCATATATTCAATTGTTTTTTTTTTTTTTAATTTTTACAAAGATTTCGTTAAATTTACTTCATTAAAATGTTAAAATAAAAAAAAAAAAACAGTTTTTACCGTCGCGTGTATAATAGGTACGCATTAAATGAGAATAAAAAGGTCGCAGTTGATATTTTTGAACTTAAAAACAAAGATGTTCAAGCGAGACGACCGAAATTTCGAAAATTATTATTAAAACAAATTTCAATCAACTCGGGTAAATGTAATATTGTTTTAAACATATTCTTATGGGATTTTCGAATACGATAGTTTAATTCAAAAACGAAAATAATAATAAATATTAATCGTCAAAGTTGTGATGTTTTACAAGAAACAATCGAATCCAATTTCTAGTTGTTGAGAATTCCGTACGTATATAGATACGTACACCTATAATACATCTATAATACCTACACCTTCATATGCATATAAATTTTCGAAGTGTGTTCTAACTCATTACTTACAATATAGTGCGGCTACGGGTGTAAATATAGTATACACTACTACGAATAATAATAAAACAGAAATATAATACACTGCAGTTTATTAAAAAAAAATAATAATAATAATACGTATATTCCGATTAAGCACGACAAGGTAAAACGAAGTTCTACAAAGAAAAAAAAAAAAAAGATAAATCGACTCACTAAAATCAAAGTACACCACGGGTCGTACCTAGTATAATATACTATTATAGTAAAGTAATGGGAAAACTTTAGCGTATTTAAAAATTGCTGCAGCACGGGAAAATATGTTACCTATTATTGTTATGTTGCGCGGTCCGTTCCGAATGTAAAGAATGTGTACGTATATTTTTTTTTCTGAATGGTTCAACTATAGTTAAATTGTAAAAAAAAAAATAAATAAATACATTTTTTTAAAAAAGGCTGTTACTGCTAATGGGTGTGCCACTGCTTCGGGAGGGAAGTTAAAAAAGATGAGTAATAAAATTTATATCTGTACTCGACGATAAATCATGGCTAAGAAAAAACTATTATGGAAACATTATGAACTGTATTCTTTCCCCAATGTTGCCTGAAAAAAAAACAAAAATTGTCCGTTTTTCCAATATCCAGAAAACGACAAGATAAATTAATAAACAACCTGCATCCCTCGGGCTTCATTTGGGGGGAGGGATCAGAAGAGGTGTTAAAAAGCTTAACATTTCCCTTTTTATCTGACAAAAACACTTTAGTTTTCAAGTTTGAGCTCATTTGGTCCTGAGTGAGCCGCTTGAAAACGTTCCTAAGTACTGGGGAAATTATATAATATATTGAAGATGCAGTATAACGCAATAGTCTCTATTTTTGGGGAAAATTTAACAAAATGACCTCGATGCACCAATTGGATCAAAAATTCTACTAAAAAGTTCATGTACAGTTTTTGATTAGAGTGGAATTTCTGTTAGAAAAAGTTGTGAAGAGACAAAAAAAAAAACATGCAGTGAAACCAATACATTACTAGCTTCACTCAAAATCGAATAGGTCATCGTCAAAATATTATTCCTCGTTATCGATTTTCGAAATTGTTTCATTAGTTGCGTGTCGTATCGTTCACTACTACTATTGCATGTATAACGACATTTTATGGGTGTTTTATATTATATAATAATTTAATATCGTAAATTTTTTATTGTAATCTCCCGCAACGAAGCTATAAAAAAAAAAAGTTACTGGTTTTATGCTGTCCGGGCGGTGGCGACATAATAATCGCACTGCTGTGATGCAAGAATTAGAGAACTCTTGGAATAGAAACGTTACATTTTTTTTTTTCGTTTTAATATTTATACCTAATCTTCTATGTGTCTTATTGCACGCGGTGGTCGTTGGTTAATTAATGATGCTGCGCACATACCATTATTTTATTACTACATAATAAACTGCGTAGTTTTATTCGATATATTATGATATACGTTATGTTTTAACGTCACCATCTAAATGCTCCAGGGGAAAAAAAATGAACAGTCAAAAATCACATTTATACAGAGTGAACTGTTTCCCGGAAAATGTATTTTTAAATCAATTAGAATATACAGGTATTATACATACATATATTTTTAGTTTTCAATATTATTACATGAAATCGTTTAACCTTTATGTAACATAATTTTTTATTTTTACTCGTTATTATAATACCTTAAATTAGTATAATATACTTTTGATTTTAAAATAAGAGAACTCACCATATACCACCTTCCCATTACCTTATTAACACAAAATCGAATAGAGATTATTCGTCCATACATTTTGATACCATGCAATATCGGGTTTACGTTTATAAAGGATAACAGCGAGTTGTAATAGATCTCATATTATCCGTTTTTAGATGGCAAATTTATCTATAAGTCAATTTGAAAATCAAAAGTTAATAATACCTGTGTCGCAATGAAAGAGGAGTAGAAAAAGAAGAAAAGTGTAACTTACTTGCTTGATGAATAGAGAAACACGAGTAGGGGTAAAATAATAAATAATTGAAAATGGTATTAAAATAAAACCTCAACGATTCTATAATGGTACCAAAAAAAAAAAATGTCCAAAAAAATCCATGATTTGTGATAATGGAACACTGTACTATGGAAAAGCTGGTTCAATTTTATTAACTTAATTTACAGTTACTTTCTATTTTATTTTTTTTTCCTCAATCACTATAAGTAAAATTATTACTAAAAAATAATCATACTCTTTAAAAAAATCAATACATTTACTAGTTATAAGTCACTTATATAATTTAATATTTTACAGAGTCTAAATAAAGTTAAATTTTTTAGTCATTCCACATCAATTATCAATATGAAAATAATATTGGATTACATATTTTAACACATATTGTAACTTAAAAGTAACTCAATAAGGTGTATTGAAAAAAATAGTCTGTACGTTACCTATATAGTTACACAATTAACCAACTCTGAGCATTAACGAGTTCAAATGTTAATAGTTCAGTTAATTTTAACTTTTAACTAAGATTTAAACTATTTTTTTTTTTTTTAATACACCAACTCAATAAATAATGAGTTCAATTTGAATTACATCACATAAATTTACAATCTATACAATAATTGAATATGTGTTAAAGTATAAATTATATATTTTTTTTACTTAATCATGTGTGTAGAAATTAGAATTTAAAAAAACAATAATAATAACAATTCAGCTTAACTCAACATAAGTAATACATAAATACAAAATAATTTAGTAGTAATATGAACTGAACTGATTGCCCCTTTCTTTAATCAAGCTTGTGATGAGAGGGGTAGATATCAGATGTTAATTACACAAGTAATTGTACATTTATACAATTTATGAAAGTGAAAATGATTACAACAATATAAAACAAAAATAAATAAACACAGGATAGTATTTAAATAATAATGAACACGAACAAAAGTATCCATTATTGATATTAAGATTATCTCCCACGAGCATACATTTTTTTATAGTTTTTTTAAACAACATCTTATCATTTACTATCCTAATATAATTTGGTAAATTATTAAACATTGCTATAGCTTTGTATTGATAATATTTTTGATAAACCAAAGAATTACGTTTGGGAAGCCTAAAACACTTCTCCCTTCTTCCATTAGGAATAATTCATAAGCACTCATTTACCTGGGACCCAAATTAGAATGTAATTAGATTAATAAAGTGTATTCAAAAAGTTGTTTATAATAAATGTTCATAGAATATCAGACATTTGTGAAATATTCATTCTGTCATAACTTTTTAATGTAATTCTTATTAACACTCTATGCGTAATGTTTAGTTGCTCCACAGTGGCTAGGTATGCTGATCCCCAAAAAATATACCGTCTTATCCTACGGATATACCGTAGGATAAGACAGACTGTACCAGAGAAAAATAAACTCTACGCAAACTAAAAAGATCTAAAATGATATTTAATTCTTTAAATGTATAGAATTGCTTTCTCAATATTTTTTATTTTTATATTTAGATTGATTTGTGATTTCCATTTCCTATCCTCATCAAAGTGAATGCTTTGATACTTAATATTATTTTCACGAGTTAATTTAAAACAATTAAAATCATAACTCCTATTTTCTAAACAAGCAGATAACTGATTTTCTAAGATATTTAATGGTTAGTAAAATGAGTAGGAATAATTTGATATTATTGGAATAATCCCCTAGTGTTTAACATTGATCATCCTTTTTTTAAAAATAAAAATGACAAACTCCATGTTTAATTGTTCTCCTTATTTCGAAAATAAAAATAAAATTAAAAGTAAAAAAGAAACAATAATAATAAACTTACCAAAGTTACAAAGTCGATTAGATTTTCAAACTAGTGCGAGTTAACTTAGTGAACTGATAAAGCTATTAACTTTTGACTCATTCATTAAATTTCCCAGGCTTGCAATATTAACCAACGGTAAACAAGTATAATTAACTCGAAAGTTACGCTCGTTTTTCTAACTTTGTAACTATATGTAATTTATAATATTTACATAGGTTCTGTCGAAATGACGAACAAAATTAATCTATTTTATAAAATATCATTATGATTCTTATTTATTTTTTTTCTACTCGAGCACACAAGTCGAGTTCACGACCCGGTTTTACTCTACCGATTCCTCATAATGATCTAGATTATAATATTATTATATATACAGGGGTACCTGCGTTATTCTTAATCGGTTCACGGTCGGTTGGCTCAAACAACGGCGTTCGTTTGGTTTTTTTTTTTTTTTTTTTTTTTTAATTTCATCCCCCGACCCTTGTCGTTTTCAATTCAATCAGTAGAAGGCGGCGGCGCGCGGCGTCATAATACGAGTAGGTATTATTATACGTGCGCTACACCTATATATATTATATTATTTTATACTATACACGATATTTAATGAGACACACGAGACATCGTATTAATTGAAACGACGTTGTATTTTATATGATATTACGTACCTATTATACAACAACTATACAGCGTGTGCGTGCTTGTCGAAAGTCGTTTTCTATATTATACATATACATGTATGTACGTACGCGATGAAACTTTCGGGACGCACCTGCCACTATACACCGAATCTCGCACTGATTGGATTTTCGAGTCGGCTGAAGAGTGTACGTACCTATCGTAATATACAAGGCAGGAGAGGTAGGGGGGGGGGTAATTTTTGATTTCAAAAGCTGCTGTAATTTCCAACGATGACGGCGGCGCCTCCGAGCGACCGTGTAAATTTATGAAAGCTCCTTCACGCGACACGGATAAGTTTTATGTAATGTAATATTATACATTTATATATACGCGAACGGTATATTAAAATAACATTTATACACACATAATTATTGTCTCGTTGATTTTGATACCGACACTCTTGATTTCAGTAGCATTCGGATTTGCATTTATAAGATATGTATGGCCTTTCAAATAATTTCTTTGATTTCGGAACGAGACGCGTGTCTATATAATGTTATTATAGTGGCGTGCGCAGGCACGAAGGTTAATGCGGATTATATCCAGTGTTAAGAACGAAAACTGGAACGAGGTATTTTTGAACCAAAAGAATGAGGGACGGGAAAGAGTTCCCGTTTATGAAAGGAAGCGAAAATCTCCTTCTTTTTTTTTCCTTCTGTTCGATTTACGTAAGTCCGTACATAATATGTTTGCATACAAATTTAAGATACAAATCTGCATAAGACTCACAATATTATTGTAGCTTATCGTACGTAGAAAATTCCTAAGCACACAATTAATTATATTAATATAAATATAACTCATAATCTTTAAAAATTTAACGAACTTTGACGAATTAAAACCAATAAGAACATAATAAATATTATAATCGAATTTACAGCGATGGATAATTTCCCGGTATTTTAAAATGAGGGAATATTTCCGGAATTTATAATAAATTTTCAAACAACAGAAATTTTTCCTATAAATTCTATTCGGTAAGTCAAAATTAAATTATTGCTAATCAAATACAAACAAACTATCATTATCCTTATTTTATGATTAATGTTATGATAGTACCAACAAACTTCAAGTAATGAAATAAAAATATCTGAAAAAACATTTAATTTAGTTTTTTAGGAGAAAAACCTATGTTTGTACTGTAACCTAGACAGATCCTTTACTTGGTTTAATATCTAACAGCAGCAATACTTTTTTAATAGGTTTTAATAAGCTGTTTTATTGTTGAAAAAAAAAACAAATACATGTACTCCTTTAAAACTCTTTGAAAACTAAATAATTAATTTAAACATATTGAAAGTAACTTCTATTAATCGTGTGGACGACCGATGGAAAGAAAAAAAAATTCCCGATTTAGGGAAGACAAATATATGGTGAGGATATTCCCGATAAATTCCCTTTTATATATTTATTTTGGGAATATTCCCAAGGCCCATCACTAATCGAACCATTGTTCGAATATTAAAAACTTTAATATTCTCTATATGAGCTCACTTTTAATAATAATTTCGGTGTTAACAAATACTATTTAGTTTAATACGAGTTTTAATGCGTTTTAAATGTCCGTTAATTCGTTAAAGACTAATGTTCGGATATAAATGTTAATTATATTTCAGTCGAGTTTTAGTTTGAAGTTCATATCGTATACGAGACGTATACATATATATAATTATAGTATAATTATTATTAATAAAATAGTTTTGCGTGAGAACGCGTCTATATAATAAAATTATTGGTTCCCATCGCATCGTCCACACGAAACGAAGATTATAAAATAATTAAATACCGTTTGCGCGCGCTGTATGGCGAAATAATAATAATTCAACTCGCATTAGAAACGAGCGATTTTAACAACAATCGACGTTTTTCGTTCCGTATTGATCATATTATTAAAAAGTTTTTACAGTCATATATAATATAATATAGTTTTGGAGATCCAAAATAATCGCATTGAAATGTTATTTTTCTATTTTACAAATGTATTTCCCTCCTTTTTCTTGTTCGTATAATTCAATTTGGTATCTAGACCACGACAATATTTGTTCATATATATATACTGGGTGTTTCTTTTACCGTGAAAACTCATTATTCCAAAAAAAAATTTGATTTGACAATTTAAGAAACAAACAGCTGCTAAACGTTATATTGCTATTATTTTTAAAACCCTTAGTTTTGGGGATGAAACGATCACCTACTTTTGATTTTAATCTATATTGAAAAATCCGAAGATTGATGGAGTATTAGTTTAAATGCATTTATATGTTTAAATTTTTTATTTCCGTCGACCCTTTGCCAAGATGTTCCAAGTTTAAGTTGGGTAGGATCTATACTTTTTGAAATAACGAGTGTTCAACAATAAAATAATCATTCTATAGATTTTTTTGGAAATTCGATTTTTATGCGTTCCACTGCGGTTTATTAATAAGGTGAGGGTGGTACGCAGTTCACGGATGTCCTCAGATTCTTAAACACTGACAAGGATTTCGTAAGCAAAGGCGATAATAAAGTCTATAATTGAAAACGTGCTCCGCTGCCTTAAATTGTTCAAATTATAACCCTTGTTTTTGTACCGGTAATCGAGAATACGCGCCTTTTCTTAACCCTCGGTTCCTGTACAGCACCTGACCAATTTCCTTCAAAAGTCAACGTTTATTATTAGAGAAATCTCCCCCTGGAAGATTTTCATTTACCGCGCGCCGACGTTTTAACGAATTTCTCCCTCTCGCCAGGAAATTGGCAAGTCCACCGCGCAGTGTTTAACGCGCATCATAATTTTCTATGAAAAATATTAAATGTAGCACGGCGGCCGCATTATTACAATATAAGACTAAAACTTTGTATTTTTTCGTATACACCTACCTACTCATATAATATGTATATTTAAAATCCAAAATAATTGTCACGCATAACTACGCAACACACGAAAAAAAAATACCCTCGTCCCTCTTTTAGCAATTATTTATGGTGTTTGAGTTTGGCAGGTTTTAGTCTGAAAAAAAATTCCGAGTCTAACGAACTGAATATGCACGCGCGGAAGGAAAAAAAATCCCCTTTGAATGCGAAAAAAACGGTTGAGCGGACAAATTCTGCCCCATATAATTATTTGATGTGTACCGCGCCGCGCAAAGGGAGAAAAAAACGGACGGAATCGATTTTGCCAGTCAGCGAAATTATTTCATTCTTTTTCGGTGTATACGGATAAAATATTAATGGATTAATGTGAGTTTGCGTGCGTAAGACCCCCGCAGAATTGAAAGACTGCGGGCATTTTATTGACGTGATTCGTGCGTATAAGCCTAACCTTTTTGGCAATTCAACTACATTACATATTGTATAGGTAGGTATACGCGAACCGCATGAAAAGAAAATCGGAAAACCTCGTTATTTTTTTTTTTTGTGCCATTGAATAATTTACGAAACAATAGTTCGGCAAAATACAAAATACAATTTTACGACACATGTGTACCTACCGTTTTGATATATCTGATTGTATTTCGTCCTGCGCAATTTATTTCAGGGGATTTCAGAAAGATAAATTCGATATAATACATCGTCTTTAAAATTATTTAACTATAAAACTATGCAGTATATTGTGTTTTATAAATTCATGGTAGACAAAAAAGTACATAAAAACTTATATTTTGGAAATTTTAAAAATATATTCCAATAAAGTATATTCCATTTGTCTGAAAATTCGATCTTTTGATAAGGCAGGGCATGAAAAAATGGAGAATTTTTACTAATCTAAAAAGTATTTTTTGAGAAAATAAAAACATTTCTCGGTAACAATTATACAGCTTCTTCATTACACTGGAAATCTAAAAAATAGAAAATATTGAAAAATATTTAAGCTAAATTAAAATTGGTATTGAAATATAAATGAGTTTGAGGAACTAAGCTAAGTTACACATTTTCAGTAAAATAATAATAATTAAGGTTAAGTTAAAATAACTTTTTTTTTAAAATTACCCTGGATGTATGGAATATGCCTTTATATGACTAAAAAACTTAGACAATGGGTAATGAAGAGAAAAAAAAACTAGAGCGGTACCGAATAACTAACTAGTACCGAATAGAATAAAGAAATACTGAGAACATTGGTATAGTATGAAAGTCAGAAGTGATAAAATGATAGGATAGGTTAGATTATGTTAGGCTAGCAATAATAGGATAGCCCTATTATAGTTTATAGTCTGCGACTTAGAAGGTGATGCAGAAGGTCATATAGAAAGAAGAAGAACTTCAAGGACGGAGTACATAAAACAAATCATGATAGACACGAATAAGATTAGTGAACAAAAAGTTAAAGGAATTGAGTTACGAAAGAGAAGCGTGGCGAATTTCAGCAAGCCAAAACGATTGAAGACAAGTGGACATTTATAAACGCGGTTTTTACTCTAAAATTTGTATTTTTATAGACTCACTACACAACACTCGTGGCGGAAGCCATATGCCTGTCTGTACATAAAATGATAGTAATAAATTCATGTAAAATTGTATCATTGTATTCAAAATACAAAGTACAAAAAAACTTAGGTACCTACACAGTTTTTATACGGAAGCTCGTGAATAAATTTTTAGAAATAATTTCAATTTTGACAAAATATAACCATGTGAAGTTAACTTTATTTTTAATTTTGTTTTATCAGTTATTTTTTAACATCTCTTTTATTTTTTTAAACTAGTAAGTTAAAAGTTATACAAAAAAAACAATAAAGTAACTTATAACTTCTGATTTGTTAACTTTATTGTTTATGTCCAGTTTTGAAAACCTAATATCTATAGTGATAAAAATATAAGTATTGTGATGGATATACGCGACCGGATTCCAGCACTCTAACACAGATATTCGTCGGTTGAAAAGAAAATAAAAATATTTTTCGGTTTGTATACGTTATGATGATATTACTATCATCGTCATTATTATTTTCATTGTATTATAATATTATTATGTTAATAATATAACAATAAAAATTCGTCGATCGGTTTACACGGAAAGTGATGTGTGCTCGAGTCGATACACACTGTTTAGGTAAATATAGCCGCACTCATCGCGTTATCGGTGTGTACTTTATTCGGATTAAATATACGTTATTGGAACAATATCACAATAATAATACAAAATATATTATTATAATACCTCGCGAGCAACCGCGAAAAGCTAAAAAAAAAAAAAGCACGCACACACACACATACAAATACACTCGCGCCGTGCCGTTTTTCGAAAGGGACGAGCGAAAGTCGTCGATCGTTTCGTATTTGGAACACGGAACGATACGTTTCAACGGGGCAATATTTAATCCGACTGATTATATTCAAAATTGAAGACTACAAAATAATAATAATAGCTACTTATACACCGTCTGTACGATACGTAATGAAAATTCTATCAGCCCGTTTTTCCAAATCAAAATCGAAAATGCTCACCGGGAGGGAGGAGGGCGTTTATAATTCCCCTTCACAATTAAAATCGATATTTCTTCAATCAGAAAAACAGTCGTGAGAATCCTCACCGTATTATACCGTTAGCATATTGATATTTTATAAACGTGGGATAATATCGAAACTATCTTGCAAAAATGAAATAAATGATTTTGCTATGATATTGTTTTTAGTCTGTTATTCAATCAAAACACTACAAGAGATATTTTTTGAAACAAATTTTGTCAAGTTGGTGCATTAGGAAATTATTTTGTTAAGCTTTTTTATTTTAATAACGAGGAAAAATCCGGTAATAACGTCAAAAAACCGGGAAATAGCCGTTTTAAATTTAGTTTAGTTTAGTTTTTAATGGGTTTCATGTGAATAAAAATGTTTTTGCCCATTAAAAATGCTTGATAATTAAAATCGCATGGATCATGATAAGTTGCACTTAGTGGTAAAAAATAAAGTCGTGGGTAATGGTATTATAATTTTTGTATTTTTATAAGCGTTTAAAGCTCACATATTTTTATAAAAATCGTAAAACTCGCAGCATTTGAAAATATGTATTTTAATGAAACTTGGCTCAGAATCGTGTATCGATTAGAAACGGAATATCGATATAAATTAAATTATTTTCTGTTCTACCGTCTCGACTTTTACCCATTCAATATCACCGAAAATTGGTGCCACATAAATTGGTTGATTTGTCGGAGGGGGAGGGGTATTAGACCACATTGTATAATAACACAGCTATACCTACGTTTGTATTATTTAGATTATTTAGGTATTTCGTATTTGCGTGCATGTACATGTAAAGTTAGATTACTATAATAAAAATGTGACAACCGATTTACACGTTTTAAGTACCTGTATTATAATAGATATACGGTATTTGAGGTTGTTATCGGTTCGACGCATTTGTGTTGTTCTTATAGTATATACGATTGGAGGAGACCAACAATGTATATTATATTATTATGTATATAGCGTATAAAATAATATCACAGTTCAAGTATTATAATCGCGAAAAGCTCGAGGAAAACATAAACACGCCCACACAGGATTCGTATGCGTGTTGATTCACCTTCCTCGAAGAAAGGGATAAATTTTAACTCCTATAATATACCTATCATTATTACAATATAAAAGTATATGACACGATTTCATGGGCCTCGAATTAATTGGCTCCCGTCCACCTTTTTTTTTTTAAACGACTCCTATACTAACCAAATACAAATGCCTTTCTACTTTATGCAGATTTAAGACTTCCTTGTAAGAAGTGTGGTTAAAAGTGTATTGGTATTTTTAATTTTACATGAAAATAATGAATACATATTACAATAAATAATTTAAAACCTCATACAATTAATACTGAATATCAAGTTAATATCACACAACCTGTACCTGAGTAAAACCAGTATTGAAATATTATACAAAGAAAAAACACACCTGTTATAAATTCAGTTGAAACTAAAGCAGGTAAATTGAATTAATAAATTTAACTTTGTATTTGTTGTATTTCAGTCGATATTATTTAGTACGTATAAGACTAATACTGACTGAATAATTTGAACGATAGGTTTCAGGTTTATAACACTGTAGTGTTACCAACATAGACAGTGATACCATTACGGAATCAGTGTTGTCAAATGTGTGGGAGCCGTTTAGGCTACATCGATAATAATTAACGTAACGCTAAGGTGAAAACGTCCACGGTGACCACGATTCAAAAACATTTCGGGGGGAAGGGTATTTGATCGTCTTCGGAAAACGCGATCGATTATAGTAGCAAAACCGGTGGTACGTATAATATGCGACGATTATAATATAAAATAACACTTACACAGTCGACTAGTTGGAAGTGGCGGCGGGTAAAAACGTAATAAAAATTCTATTGGTGCGATATATATATATAGTTGGGTAAAGGCACCTAAAGGCTATAACGGGTATTAAAATGCACGTTTTCGAAATAAATCGAAAATACTCGTGCAAATGGGAAACGTGAGTTTTACCGCACATTCCGATCTCTATATAATATCACACTACTTGAAATATACAGTCGAAAAATATAAAAGCCTCGGGTTCAGGGTATAATAATTTAAAGTAGGTTGTTTTCCCCATATAACTGTTAGGGAAACTCAGAAATCTATACAGGTATATAGTTATATATAATATAAAAGCCAAATTCCATTCATTCGCCGAATGACTGACTCGTCGCTGTATCTCAAGAACGATTGGGTCTAATAGAAACTTGACATTTTGCACTGAAGCACCTTATATAAATTATATTACGTGCAATAAAAAGGGATTTTCGGAAATTCACGCCAAAAGGAGTCACGTGAATCTGGTCGGTGAAATTTAAAATAAGAAATTGTATTTTTCTTTTTAGATTACCTCACAGACACAAAAAAAAAAAATTGATTTTATTATTTACCAATATAATTAGTTTATTATTGTGTTTGTATGGATAGATTTTATAAGTAAATGTAATTTGTACAAATAGTACTAAATAATTTAGTATTTAGATATTTTATAATAGTATTCTACTTTTATTTTCATTTTAGACGCACTTCTTAAAATTATTAAAATACATTTAAATACAATTATTGTTAACTTACGATTATTATTTTCCAAAAATTTTTTTTTTTCATATAATGCATATTGACAGCATTGATACTTAATATAATACATTATATTAAAAGAAACACATTTTCACTCACCTGAAACATAATAATATATAATAAACAAACGGAATTAGTCAAATACTTGATTACAAACACTATTGAATCAATAATTTATATACAATATTATATAGGAATATAATACGCGTAAGTATGTACAAGCATAATTCGAGGTCAATCGTATCGTGAGATCTATACGTAAATAGTCGGTGTTTTTAAAAAAGGGTGTAAATCATATATTTTTAAAATTTTACATCATGCATACTCGTGTATTTTTTGGGACATTTTATTACAGATCTGTTGGTGGCACTGTAATTTATCCATCTTATTATTATCGTGTGATTGCCATATGCATTTTATTATAGTTAATATAAATATAAAGACGCGAGATATATAAATGCGTAGTACAGAAAAAAATATCTAGGTACCGAAAAACATCCCTGAAGTTGATGATGGACCACGGTAGAATCCGCGGCCTCCTGTTAAAAAAATAAAATTGTTTTTTTAAAACTCACCTATTCGGTTTTTGTACCTCTTACGTCAATACCACTGAATCGACGATCAATTTTAAAAAATTATTCGTGCCAATTTATTTGTTCGCGATTTCTTTCAAAGTATATTATACAGGGAATGACATTTTTGAAAACCGTGGTTATTTCGCAAAATATGCATGTACGAGATAATATTATCTACCTACCCCCATATACAATATCAACGTATTATTATATGATTACTGTAACAAACTACGATACACATTTGACGGCCGATTTTCACGTGGGCGAAGATTCGCTTGATTCGCACGTTATTATATTATAAGCGATCGAAAATCGCTGTTTTTGGGGTGAGGGGATACGGATGGAGTCTAAGGGTGGATTTATGTAAAACAGCATCTACGTGCATGTAAGCGTAACCGCGAAAAGCTCGAGGAAAACTGTACATACTATATAATACGTGTAGGTATTCAGTATATAGGATACAGGATGTATGTAAGTGTACATTATTATGGTGAGAAGGTGCGCGGTGTGTCCCGGAGCGGGATCGCCTTCTTTGGCTTTCACCGCCCGTCTTATCAGCGGATCAGCGGGAAAGGCAAACGTTATTTCGTGTTGACGCAATAACAAACATATACAATAATAATAATAATAATAATAATATCGCGTCGTCGACGATCAAAGCGCGTCTAATTTCGAAATATGGTTATACGAGACTTCGTGTCCCTTCATATGCGTATATACGTAGTCATACATCACAACGACGACGACGTAATCAACGCGTAATTATTATTAGTGTCGGAAAACCGATGCGGGGTAAAGGGGTGGCGGCGGCGGCGGTAGTTTGACGATTTGACATGGGGAGGTTCGCGGGGAGGTGTCGACGGTGGCGACGCTATTGGGCGTGTATAATATAATAATAATAATAATAATAATAATATGTGTGTATGCCCGTCGAAATATATATTATAGTCACATTGTGCCTTTTACATTTTCCAACAATGAACGTCATCGGGGCCCGGGGGTTGACAGAGATTGATTCGAAACTATAGATGGATTTATTCATTAGGTCGGGGAGCTTTTTCCGGTGGCACCCGAGGCCACCGCTGCGTAGTATAAAGAGAGAGAGGGGGGGGGACAGAGAGAGCGAGAGACCACACCGTGAGACGGCAACGGGATGATATGTGTGACCAGGTGCGGAAGGAGCAAGGGGAAGGAGTACTACCCCGTGTCACGTGTATGTGCGTGTGTGTGTACGAGTATAAAATATCTACAGTACACAGGGTGATTCTTTGATCGCGAGATAATAATAATTGCCTATACATATAAGAATATTCGGAGATTATACGGAGATTTCGAGTAAATTTACTTCCCCTCCACTTGACGTTTAATTGTGAAATTTTTAAAATTATGTGCTAATAACGTAATCAATTTTAAACACTCATCCGAAAAGATGAAATTTTTCTCGTGGAAAGTATATTTTATTATTGTACTCGTAATGCTTGTTTTCCTTTTTTTGGCCACTCTACGATAATTTATTGGTAATATGATATTAATTTATCGTAAAAAATGATCTCTTTTCGAATATGATATTCAAAAACATTTAAAATGTTTAAAAATCATGTAAAATAAAGCGTGTTGACAATAATAATATTACGTATTTATTATAACGTCAGACTCTATCATATTATACGGAATCAAAAAAAATGATTGTCTTGCAAACAAATTGAAGAAAAAAAGAGCTGATATTGCAGATAGGTGTGCCACTGTCGTAAGAGGAAAGTTGGAAAGGTAGGATACATTAAATTATTAAGTTTATTTCTGTATGGAAAGATAAATAGATGTTATTGAAATACGAGGCTGAACGAATTTCGATTATACACCGTTTTGAATCCAGGTATATGACGGGGGGAGGGGGAGAGGGCGAATTTTGTTCTTAAATAATAAAAACAATTTGACTTAGAGGGTAGAAAAAGAAAAAAAAAGTAATTTCCTACTATAATTTTTAATAATACCCCCCCCCCTAGACAAATAGTCTGGATTCAACAGTGGTTGTTTAAATCTTTAAATAAAGTAATATTTATGATTTTTATAAAATTTGAACTTCTAACGATTAAAAAAAAACTATAATAACATAAAAAAACATAATAAACAATTCTCAAAATCAAACTTACATACTCGAAATCATCTCCGAAAAGAAACACATGTAATATTATAACAATCGCTTATATGCGTACAATACAATATTATAATATGTACGCGTATTTCTACGCAATCGAAAGGCCGAGCGGAAGGGTTGTGCGCCACGTCCGGGGATATCGCAGCCGTGAAATTTGTTGTGTTTTTGCGAGCGCGTCCCGCCCCTCCCACCTCTCACCCATGGAATAAATTCGACAGAACGGGAACCGCAAATGCGTAGGCGAACAGAGAGGAGCTGAAATATATTATTATATCTGTATACAACGGAGCGAGACAGGGCGGAGAGAGATTTTATTAATGATTCGGTGGCCCGCGAACTGACAGCCACACGCCCGTCGAATCATTTCTCACTACTCTTGCTCTGGAACAAAAGTAACCCCCTACCCTCAACCACGGCCGTTAGCCCCGTGTCTTTATTCACTGTTTTAATTCCCGTAGCTTCCCCTTTCCACTCGGCGCCCACCCTTGGTGACCGTTTTCTTGCGGATATCTAGTGAACGCGACTGCCGGAACCGGGGGAATCGGTTAGCGTTTAACAAATAATAATAATATACACTCGTATTATTGTCCATCGACGTAATAACGTTAGAGTTAAAACCAAAAAAATGAATATTTTGGTTAGATGATAACAAGAATATGAGTCTAAACCCGATACTGCATGTCCCCGCACTCTGCAGGATCTATAATTATTAACAGGCGAGATAAAGATCTAAATTCGATGAGTATACACCCTTGGGGCAGTTAATTGAACCAAAGTAAAGGGGCTAGGTCTGGATTTGACGAAGGGGCGTAAAAGATAAAATAAACGTCATGACATCAAACGACATCAGCGCTAACTACAGTTGAATTTAGATTTAAATAGCAAAATCACGTTACTTAGAATATAAATTTTATTGTGGCATTCCAGTGAAAATTATTAAAATCACAACATTCAAAGAACGGAATATTTTCGAGAGTGGTATGATAACGCTTTAAAAAAAAAAAAAAAAAAAAAAATGTTTTTTAAATGTACGTCTAATTTATATTATTGTATTATATTGTAGTCCACAAAGTTAGAATTAGCTTTTCGTTGTACAATAATATTTATTCCGTTTGTAATATAGTTTTTTTTTTTTTTTCTACAATATTATACACGAAAAAATAATGATATTTATCGGCTTGTTAGTAAAACTTTTTAAACTTAGTCGTGTACATAATATTATATAGAAAACTAGTCCATAACCGCCAAGTTCTCGTAAATAAAAATATTACATTATACTCGTTATATACTTAAACGAGCAAAAAAGGATAAACCGAAGATATTATACGTGGCGTTTAATGACTTTGGCAATTTTTCTCGTATATATAATAATATAAATATAGAAATATATACTTTAGTTGAACCAACGAATATTATGTACACGATTATTTATATATTATGTTTTTCCAAGGGATTTATATAAAATATTATACTCTTAAAATGGCTTTGGGAATTGGGATTAAAACGATTAAATGCAACTCTATGTGTATATATATATATATAATATGTAGCAGCTATAGTAAAACGACTTTTTTCTCCAACAAAATGTTGTCTTTAATCTTGGTTCCTCCGTATAATTCCTTTCTCTGCCCGAAAACAATTATGTCGTTATAAAATCTTCCTTTTATATTAAATCGAATATTGTTCTTTATTATTTTATGTAATTCGCGTCCTTATAGTAATGAGTTTATAGGTACCTCTACGTAGATAATAAAATATTTTTCGGGTTATATTAATGTTTCACATTGAATCCGCCGTCGTTCTCGTCCATGTTGCGTCGGTCAAAAGACTAGCCTTTATTTTAAGGAGATTTTCTTTCTCCAAACGGAGAAAAATTCTATATTTTACGTAGGGAATATTCTCACTGGCGGGAGGCGGTGTAACCGAAGAAAACACACAGTGGGTATTCGGTATTCGATAAAACAATTTCCCGATGAAAACTAAACTATGGACGTCTATATGAAATTAGAATTTGGACCAATTCAAAACTATTTACTCTTTTTAGAAACTGATTTTAACTGGAAATTTTGATCGAAAAAGTGAAATAATAAGTACGTGAAAACGGCGTCAGTGTACAAATTAATGAAATATGTGTACTTACATAATATTAAAAATACACGTGGATTTACTATACATGTTCATGTGTTTTAATGTGAATACGTAGTGAAAATACAAAAAAAAAATAAAAAAAATACAAAACACGTGTATAATTACTTGTGTACGTGGTTTTATAGATTCGAATGTCAATTTAATGCAAATACGCTAAAATATGTACACATGAAACAGGCAGCTCTAATTGTAACCTAACCGTTTCCGAGTAAAATAAACTTTAAATCCGGGAATTCGATTTCACGTAACCCTCCCTCTCACCACAAGGTCAAATCGATTTCGAAATTTTACAGGTATAATAATATAACAAATTCGTATATGAAACATAAACAAAAATAAACTAATTAAGCTTTAAAGTCGTCGAAAAAAGTCGACGATTATACCGTTATTATTAAGTATACTACTCGTAGGTATATAAATTGTTTTTTTTTCTTTTTGGGAGGGGGGTTGAGTTTTATTTATTTGTTACCGTTATAATTATTTTTTTTTTTCTATCCGAATCTATTAATATAAAGTGACAAGTAGTGAATAACTTATTATGCACTACTTATCTTATTCACTACAATTATCTTAATAATAAAACGGATTTTACCGAGAACTTTTCGGGCTGTACACGATTACATTATATAGGTATATTTAAGCGTAAACTTCTACATAAAGCGAAACCCGATCGCTAAAATAAAATGTGAGAGGTATGTATAATATATCAAGTAGCTACGTAAGTAATCGCGTGTAGATGAAAAAATACAAATTTAAGATCCGTAACTTATAATTTTTACAACGTCGTATATAATATAATTATTATTATTATATATATATATATATGTATGTATGTGTGTATATATTTATATAGATATATGTTTTTGTACGTCGTCAAAATCGGTTACACCGTCGTACACGTGGTATTTCGCCGGAGCGTAAGAGCGCAATTTGGAAGAAATTTAATCAACCGGAGGGGTGAGCAGCGAACCGTTCAATTGCTCGGGCGCCCGTTAAATTATTAATAACAAATTCGGTTTACGGCCGAGAATATTATTATCTCCCGGTATAGCGGGGTAGATGGGTAAGACGTATAGACGGGTACTGCAATATTTTAAATAAATCGTTTCTAATTTTAAAAAAACTAAAAGTATGTATATACATATATATAAAAAAAAAGTACGCAAATTACTACAATTTAACGCGACGAGCTAAATGTTATAATATAGTTTGCGAAATTTAATGCTTAGTGCTCGCGCGCGTGTACCTATAATATTATATAGCTATATTTTATAATAATATTACGAGTTATTATAACGTTTTGCCGCGAAAAATCCCATTTCCGACGAGCGCGTGCGGGCGATTTAAGGGGCAAAGCGTAGGCAATTTCGTCGCAAAAATATTACCGTAGACGAATAATAATAATAAACCTCCTTGACGGGTTCTATTATTATTACTATTATTATTATTACTATTGTTGTTATTTTTTTTTTTTTTTTATCGTTATAACATTATACGGATAAGTCACTGATATTTTACGTAAACGTCGATCGTTAAATTTAAAATACGACTACGCCGCATAACGTATTTTTAGAGAAAACAAAAAAATAGATATCCAACAGTTTTACAATGCGATTTAAGTCCTACCTGTATATATATATATATATATATATACTATACAGTGGCAAATTTGATGATTTGATGGACGAAGATATTATTGAATGTGGAAAGACCGTTTTTCATTTATACATTTTTGTAAGTGACCACGTTCTGATACTACCCTAAAATTATTACTATTCACGTACTGATCTAAACTTCCTCCATCGTATTATAGTGGTGCGGATAAATTTCGTGTTAAACAAGAAAATATACATATAGATATATTCAGGTTTTAATTAATTAGGTGCTAGCGCATTTTTGGGTTTTCTGACCGAAAATTAAAGAAATTTTAATTTAAAAAAATAAAAGTTATTAAAAAACAAAAAAGTCAAGGTAGATACATCTCCATAATATACTTTTATACGCCACAGAATGTAAATATATATTTTTTTTATTTTTTTTTTTTTACGATTGATATCGATACGAATACACGATTTGTTTATCGTTTTATGTTATGTGTGTAGGTATAACATACTGATTTGATAAAATAAGTAATGCGAATATTTGTGAACCTAAGAAATATTCGTTTATCTTAACTCTCCAATATACTCTTAGCTTGATTCATTATTGAGCTCGTCATAAATGTTTACTTTATATGCATTTTCAAAATTAGCCTCCTCCCTTTAGATGAATATATTATGCAGGCACATAGCATATCAACAATTTAGACCAATTTTCGTTCAATCAGTCCGATTGACGTATTGTGAAGCGATAAAAGATTCTGAAAAGCGGGGGACTAGAATACATATTGTTTTATGTGAGGTATATTAATTCATCAGTAATGGTTAGAACGAAAATCTAATCTAGAAAAAAAATATCTTTTATTTATAGTTTTTATATTATTTAGGCGCAAATTTCGACAACTACTAATCTTAGGTATATAAAAGATAAAAAAATAATAATTTTCTTAATAGTTAGTAAAAAGATAAAAAGTGAAAGGTACATAAAAATAAAAAACTATATATATTTTACCCATAGAAGAAAATTATATAAGTTTAACTTTTAGTGAAAAATAAGAAGTTATTTTTATGTAGTTATAGTGATTTACCCCTTTGCATTTACACAAGTATTTAACTTAAATTTGTAGCACCCTGCTAATATGTTCTAAAACTATTCGAATACTACGTCGTAGTCGTTTCAGTGTGTAACGTACATGAACAACATAATTATACCAAAAACGATAAAAGATTCATCGCGGGCAAAACCGTGTTGGGTTAGTTCAGTCTTTTTTTCTCCGCTGGCATTTAGTAATCATTAAGAGTTCTCACCGCCATCACGATATCTTAACACATTTTTCTGACTTGAACTAACGTTATTCACTTATTCTGTACTCCTACCATCCTCGAGACATTCTGACATCCGACCATCTTTTTTTAGATCGTCCACACGAGGTCTCTTCCCAGTAGATTTCCATTCTGGCCAACACCACTCTAGCCGTCTGCCACACATCACACATCTCCCACATTTCTGCGCACGACGTGACCAAGTCATTTGTATTCGTTGTCCTGTACTTTTTAAACCGCTGATGGCTGGCGCAATTCCCAATATCCCGCCTTCTCGAAGTTCCCGACTAAACTTTCAAACAATCGCACGCTAACTAGTATAATTAATAATACAAATAATATAATAACACCATTAACTAAAATTATTTTATACGTCCCCAGACCGCGGTTAATCATTTTTGTAAATAATTATTTTTCTCGCCACGCAGGTTAGGATACTCACCTACACACTTATCTACTTCGGTATTGTGTATACGCGATAAAATAATAATTCGTTTATAAATCAACTTTTCCTGTCTGGCCGTCTGGCGCCTGTCCGTGCAGTATATATGATTTTCCGAAGAAAAATAAATAGTTTTTCTAACAAATGAATGTCTACCAATGAAAAATCGCCATAGGTTAGTCACGTTTCGGCGGTACAATTACTTGGTATAATAATATAACCCCCCCCCCGGATTTCCTAGCACGTATAGTATATGACGCCGTTTTCACTATACGAGTCGATCGCCGCGGCACGTTTGAATAATTTCCCGTGTCTTTTTTTCTCCCCTCTTCCTTCCCTCGGCTCGACCGATTTCCCTCCGACGGTTATTTCTATTTATTTATTTTTTCTCAAATTTAACGCCCGCCACCGGTTATTCGACAGCTAACAGATCGCACGACGGCTCCTCTCGTATTCATATAACAGTGTCGGTGTACCTTTTTCCCCAATCTTCCCGTCAATTTGTTATACAGGTAAACTCGGCGAACGCGTAATGCGTTTTTCGTCTACCGCCTATCCTTGCACCTTCTCAACCCGCCGTCCAATATATATACATACGTATAATATATACAGTCGATAATTGAACGATTTGGCCCGTACAACCTCGATAACGGGTTTTACGTGAACAGTACGCTAATTTTTTTTCGAACTAAATCTATTTCACATAAAAAAAAAAAAAGGGAAACCCTATATAACTGTTTTTTCCATCTCATTCCGAAAAACTGCTGTTGGTATACTACAGGAATAGTTTTATGATTCGGGAGGGGGGGGGGTTCACAATATTGCGTTTGTGTTGTTTTTTTTTGTATGTAATTTGGTTAAAAATAAACAGGAAGACCTGAAATAACGGAATACTTATATTAGAACTTTCAAGCCGTGGAAAAATTTTCAGAATATTTTTGTGATTTTTAAACTATTTATAGCCATTATAAACTGTCGAGGTTTTTAGTTTAAATTTGATTTTAATAAGCAGACAAAATTGATTTGTTAAATTTATCACTAGGTGCATAATTAATTGTACTATACGGCGAAAAGTCAGGTGTGACTATTTAGCAATTAATATTATTCCATAACCATATTAAGTTCATAATTTTATAAAAAATTGATTTTCGTTAACAATGATATTTTATTTATATGTAGGTTTTCCGTCGTAAAACTCTACTATTGAGAGTACAGTATACAAAATAATAATATGCTCGGGAAACGTTATTTTCTTTACAAGAGGTGATTTTTGTTGGTATTCGAACTACATCGCAAAAGTATGCAAAAACCCGGTAAAGTTTGTACGCGCGATATTTTAACGAATTCTGTTTCGTTGGAATTTCAAGAAATTGTATTTAAGTAGGCATAGGTATGCGCGAGATACTTGAAGTGTTCACATGATATAATTATTATTTATTACAATAGTTATTACGTAATATTTTATAGACGCGGTTAAATTTTCCAAAGATTCGACCATGTTCTGGTACGCGACCGACCGAGAAGAATTTATTTTGAATATGTCGAAAATGTAGGTAGGTACCAGCCAATTGTATCTACTTACGTTCCCATGTCTAAACATGTTGTTTACGATATTTAAAGTTTTACATTTATATACCACGGTCGTTTTTTTTGTATTGTTGATGGTAACTTTGACAAAATATTAACTATTTTCAATCAAGTGAGTATAAGTATAACATAGTCAAAATAAAATATTTGACAATTATTAATAGTGAATTTTCCATTTACTCGTTTTCGATAAGTATTATTAATTAGCTAATTAATGTTGTTTCACCGATAGTACGTGTATTAATAACAATTAACCTTATAAAATATTATTATACTCGGTTAGGTTAGGTTGGGAATTATTTATTATTGTCCGACTGAATATATTATTGTAATGTTTGAAAATTGACAAAAACCAAAATAGTATACCAAGTTGCATAACATCTAAAAGATGCACGTTTCTATAATTCAATCTTTTAATTGCACTCGAAATTTAAAAAAAGAAGAAAAACTTTTATTTATAACTCGTAGGGTATATTGCAAAAACCAGAAAAAAACAGTTTAGACATTAAAATACAATCGACGTTACGGTATTATTGGATCGAGTCGGGTACGTACTATAATACTAATAATAATAATAACAACGAAAAGTCCAAAATAACGCAAATCGAATGGATTTTATATAGCAATATATTAAACCTACGCGTCGTTTAATCTGGCAGCTAGTCGCAGATAAAGGATGCGATATATTATCGCACTGTCGGATATATTTTCAGGATTACAATGTTAAGGATAATTAATCCCGGATATTTCCCGAATAGTAATACACTCGCGATTCGGTATACGAGCTATTGGAGAACATCACTCTCGGCTACAAACGAGTTTCGAGGTAGCGGTTTGTTTGTGTTGAGTTCGTAAGGTCGTTTTTTTTTTTTTTCTTAGAAGTAGAATAATATTATATTATATATTAACAACTTATATGACTTGTCGATTTTTTAATTCTTTTTAAGTCTGGCCAAAAACATTCTTCTGGACATTTTTAAGTGTAAATATAAATTTTATATTTAAACCAAAAACTGGATATTAATCAGAAATAAAAAGTTAAACGTAATATTTATTGTTTTTTGTCAATTAATTAATTTTTATTTAGCAGAATTTTGGCGAAATTCTTTAAGGATAATTTTTATTAATATGCATCAGTTAAGACAGTTGGTACCCGAAAAAATTTATTAGGATATTTTATTTTTATATATTTTTTTTTAGATCCTAAGGGGAGCAAGGAATGTATTAGTTTTACAATGATGTTTATTTTTTTTTTATCTGGACCCTTTTTCTACCAGAAAGTTTACTCCGATTATCAAGTATATAATAACATTTCTGAAAGGAAATATCCTCTAGATGGTACTATAGAGAGGTCATTTTTTGAAATTTTCATTTATATTCGAGATAATGAGAAAAACCTGATTCTTTAGATTGAAAGATTAAAAATAGGGTTGTCATTGACAACCGTTTTTATTGTTATTTTTTTGTTATTATTAAGTTTTTATTATTTTAATCTCTTTTAAACAATCATTGTTGTCATGGAAACGCACATTGTTGAAAAAGCAATACTATAAACCGAGCCACATTAAAGTAAAATAAATTCCGATTTCAATACATTCTTTCCACTATAAATCTTTATTTTATATTTCCTTATTCTATACTTAATCATCACTATCAACTGAACTCCGCTCAGAATCGTTAGCATTGGTTTGTCGTTGCTTACACATGTACATTAAATTCGCTTTTGTTTCATGCCTATTCAACTTTTCACTTATAATAGCGACTGTACCCAAGTGCAAAGTATGTCCGTTTTTTTTTTTTAGCCCGAAAAGTAATTCGAACTAAATATACGGTTATTTTTTGGAGAGATGGGACGGTCCCGCCCGGTAATATCTATAATGACGAATGTCTACAATTAGAATTCAGAACCACCGTTCGGAATAATTTCCGAAAACAATTAATTGATTAATTGTTATAGCGATTAATAAATCAATATAATACAGGTACAACAGAAAACCGCGATATGGTCAATAAATTTCATTAAAGACGTTACAGCTGAATAGTATTATATAATTAATACGCCTTAATATATCCGTCATATTCGATATAATTCCCATCCAATTAATATACCGTCCGTTAATAATTTCACTCGACGTCCACACGGGCGGATAATGCGTTTATTAACCGTCACAGCGTCGTACGTATTATTAAAGATAATAGCGTTTAAAAATCAATTGTCTCAACGAAATGATTCGAAAAGCCAATTTTCGCGAATATTCGTGAATATAACCATCGCGATTGACAATATTATTATACACTGACATACTGCATTTAATGCTCACTGTTTTCGATTAATAGCATAATATACTCTTATACGCGCGGTAATGTTATACATATGCTTAGTATTCATTTTTTTTTTTTTTTTTTAATTTTTTTTCCAATCGGATTTTGGGCACACACATGTAGCGAAAAACTAAATTTTTATTTTCATCCCTTATTCACTGAAAAAAAAAATATTTTTATACATATTTTTTTCACTTTTTTTAAATTTTCAAAATAACCATTTTGTAAAATATATTATTCTAAAAATGTGACTGAATTATATCCATTCATATCCGATTAATAGTTTTTAAATCATAGCCGTTTCAATTTCTAATTAAAACTCACTTATTGTAAAAAATCTTATATTTTAACAGATTTATTATCTTATATTACGATTTACGACTATGATTCGCGTAGCGTAATGTGGTAGCCTTGTTTTTCACACCTTTTTCCAGATATTAAAGCGGCTTTTGTTAATATATTATTGATCAAATATGAATGTTTACATTGCCAGTTTTAGAGTAATATATATTACAAATTAGCTTTTTGGCAAATCTTAAAGTAAAAAAATAAAAAAAAAATGTTTTTCAATAATTTAGAGACAAATTGAATTTGTCTTTGTATTTGTGTGACACAAAACCCGATGGAAAAAAATGAATATTGACAGAGTTATTAGAATTCGAATAACATTAGTGCCAGATCTTTCTGTATTACTTTAATATATAGGTTTAAATTGAAATTTAAACACAAATTACAAAATTTAAAGATGCGATTAGTTGTTAGGGCTGTATACGTATATTTTTTTTCTAAAAAGTTGTTGAACAAAAAATAGTTTCTTCTATGTTAATTTTTGCAGTATTTAAATATATTTAATTTTCTCTAAATTGTGTTATTTGTAATAAAACTCCAATTCCAATATAAGCGCCACAAATTATGTTCTAATAGTAACGTTTGTTATTCCGTACATTAGAATGACAGAAAACGCATGCGGGTATAACATTTTTTCAATCAAAAATATGTACACATATGTACCAACGTCCCACATACATTTTTTTTTAATAATTAAATCTTTGTGTCATAGTGCACCCAGTTTCCGAAATTATAAATAAAAATCAAGAATTTATCGGTTATTACAGTCAACTTATATCAAATAGTTTGACGATTTTATATCATTTATATTTTTCAGCCCATCGATATGTCGACTTACAGTTTTTGTACTGAAATTTTTCGGTTATTTCTATTTGAAATGTTCGAGATGTTTAAGTTTTTATTTAGTTTTACGTGGTTAAAATATTGTTTGGATAAGTTATAATTAGTGGGGGGAAAAAGTTTAACGTAGTAATTTCTTTATGAGCGCTTTAAGTTAAAATTTTAATTAAAATACAGAATATGCACCGACTTATTAGTGTTAGATCTAAGTGTTGTTCTAGCGGGTATAAATGTTGAAAATAAGTGCTTTCCGACGAAAAACCTAAAAATAAAGCGTCTAGGTCAAAAAGGGGCGAACTGTTGAACGTTTTAAAAAATATTTTTAATCAAGTGAGTTCAAACCAGCCAGTGGAAATTTCAAGTCTTTTTGAGTAACGTATGAAAAAATTGGATTATTTTTATTAACTCGAAAAAGTATGTTTTCCGAAAAAAATAAAATCACACATCTTATAGTAAAACAATAAAGTCTAAAACGAGATAAATAAAAATAATTTTTTTTTTTTTTTCTAAGGAATGAAATACTTTTTAATCTATTCATAATACAATATTAAAAACTCTCGAAAAAATTGTTATATAAAACATTCCGAATACTTTATCCGGATTACAACCCGTGTCTGGTTAAAACGTTTGATTTGATTTAATTTTTTAGTGTGTAAAAAAAGATTTCGCCGTTATCGTTTGCAGTCCTTAGATTTATCACGACCAGTCATTTTTTAAACATTTCAATGATGGTTATAACGCGTCACGAATGACGGGTACACAACTAAAACTATAATATCCCCTAATCGATCCGTAAGCATCGAATTAACCGCAACCGAATCTGTTCAAATTCTCTCCTGTGTGGTTTAAAACGCGCGGCGAATCGCTATCAATGCATAATATCCCGATGTATAATTATCCGCGTATGATATTATTATTATATAGAGAGAAGCCGCCGACGCGGACTGGTAATGGAAATTCAAACGCTCTACATAATATGCCTAGATCCGATGAGAATTATTTTCAAATTCGATACCGAGCGGTGTAATTTACGTATTTCCCTCATAATATTATACCCGTTAATGGAATAATCCGCAAGTGTCGCAGTAGGCTGTAGAAACGCTGCAACGATGTAAGACATTATTCTCCATCATGTAGGAACGTATAATACGCCTAATCGAATGCATATACAACATTGAGCTTGCGAAAAGCCGGGATTGATAATTATTCCCGAACACTTTGCCTTTAAAAAAATAAAATACGGCCCACCAGCAGCAGAGCTCCTATTCTATTAGATTCGAACTATCCCCCGCCAGTTTGTTTTATATTACAGAAATATTGTTTGCAAAACAATATTGATAACCAAATACTATTGTACAATAATACAATTCTGTACTCAAATACTGTGTATGAAAATGCAGAGCACTCAATGCATTTTAGGTGGAGACATTCACAACGGCGTGCCGTCTCCCTTAATTATATACAATATTGCCTACACATTTTTAAGTGAGGGGCAACAATAACTCCGACCGATATTTAAAGTTTCCCAAAAGGCAAATGCGTAGGTGCCTAAAATAATAATGGAATCAAATTACATAAAAACTGAGCAATATATTTTTTGGGATGAAGTAGAATAACATAAGTGTTATAGATTATATTGATTCAATCCATATTATTATAAAACACCCACATTTATTACAGTTTTAAAATAATTAAACTTTTTCATTTTTTACCATGGTAAATTGTAAAGTTTATGTGGTGTCAAGTTGTCGTTGCACAAGAAGAAATATTTTTAATACAAACAGTTATATTGTACATTCAATATTAATATTATAAATACTGATTGTTTGTGTATACTTTTAAGGGACATGATTAGGCAGTCACTAATACAATCTCGCTTATGAAAAATGTCACCAAAATGTCGATGATTGTACCTAATGATCATATTATTCAGTATTTTTTGCTATATTATACTACTTACAAAAAAATAAATAATGAAAAAAATTGAGCATACAAATGCTATGGGTGGGGTGGGGGGGGGGGCTTGAAAGTCGAAATCCCCGTTAGACAAATTCTTATATATGCTAAAAAACACTGTCTTCCAGTAAAGCTACAATTAAATTCATGTTTGAATTTAACCCAAACTTTATCACTTCAACCCATTTATAAAACAACTTTAATTTCCGGGTGTTTCCCTGCATAGTTGCATTGGTTTAAGAAAGCGGATCATCTACGATGTATTATTATTGGTTGTGGACATGAGCATGATGATGCGGAACAAATCTTCCTTCCTTTTCTATGATCAATAGCTGAAGATTACGTGCACCGTGGAGTATAGTATTGCGCAAGTATATTACCTGCAGAATTAATCGTTTCAAACGTGCTAGTGAATCAGGAAAACTAAAACGTAACCAATGATTACGCGGAACAGGTCAAGAAGGAATGGCAAAGAAATGGTAGCGACAAACAGCATATCCTCGACTCTACCAAACTTACATAATGCATTTGAACTGTAAATTATCGAAAGATTTGTAAAAGCTTTGGCGCCCGAGACGCTTTTGTATTTGTATCGTTTTTATCCGAATAAACAATGTGATTAAAAGATAAAATATGCGAAAACGGTCCACTCTCAAGTTTGCGGTTTAAAATTTAAAAAAAATATACGGTGTACGTTAGATATTTATAACGTTATTATAGATACCCGACGCGGCGTGACGGTTAGCGGAAAATTGAAACTACTAGAAATTATCGAAAAATATACCTATTTTATTTTACCTATATTTTTAAAACGTCCCGCGGTATAAAAAATATGTGATTTATTTACAGGTAGGTACCTATACCTAGCCATATACCTACCTACCCTTATTTTCTTTTCCGCACGACACACAATTTATGGTCTTCGGCCGCGCTATAAAATTGACGGTTGCGGCGCAGTGTTTTTATTTTCAAGAATTATGCACCGAAATAAATCGAACCCGCGTCTCCGCGGGTTTTCGCGTCAAAACGGAAAAACTCGGTAATTTTTTCCTATCGCTCCGCCGCTTCCGCTCTCTCCGTCTCGCGGCTTACTTCAATTACCTTACAGACAGAACCGATTATTTCGCCGAGATTGATTGCCAGCAGCCTACACACTGTCGTCCGCGCCACCCGTAATTTACGGGGGCTCAGCCAACCTCCGGTTTCCTCCCCTAACGGCCCCTCCCTTCGGTCACCCATCCGCCACGGTTTATCGCTCGGTACACCTATATATAGTAGTCCTATACCTATATATATATATATACCGAAGAATCGGCGGGGTACATATTGATTCAATGTAATTTTATTTTTTTCCTCGTAATTTATTGTTGTTATATTCGTTTTTTAATTTATTACACTATTTTTTTTGTTTTCATCATCGCGCTTAAACAATATATTATACAATAAAAATACTAAATAACTGAAAATATATCGCGCTATATTATACATACAATACAAAAAAAAAAAAAAATGTATATACACATATATGCACGTAGGGCGGGACGAGAAGAGAAAAATCCACGCAAGTCTGGCGACGTAATTTTTTCTCCCATTGGTATTTTTACTGTGAATAATACGTGCTCTGTGCAACGATAGTATAATAAATATGTTTTTTAAAAAACATGTCACGAATGGGAATTGAAACAATCATTTTCGCTTTTCATCGTCGTGAGTGACAATACGCTAAATAATAATTATATTCCGTACAAAATAATAATATATAGAAAACGATAGGTTTTAACGAATATCTCAAGTTTCAAAAAAAAAAAATTAAAATTTCCTGTGGGTATTACAACTCTCGTATAACCCGGACCTTTTGATGAAATCAATAACCCAACAATTATTTTAAACTAACCGTTTAGAGATTAAGATCCTTTACAAGTCACGAAAGAAAAATAAAAGGAATTGTCTTAGTAACATCCGAACTGCCATGTGCATTATGTTTTTTTTTTAAAATTTCAAATGGATTTCGATGTCTATGATCCATAGAGGTACTGGAATGACGGGAATAATTGGGATCAATCACGGCAAAAATACCATAGGAAACAGCTAGTAACACCCTATTGGTAAATTATGTAAGGTTTATTCGTCCCCATATAATTTTTTATTTAATATTAAATTTATAGAAATTAAATACTTCTATGTAACCTTTCCAACTTGCCAACTAAAAAAATGCACACCTGTTCACATCAAATAGAAATAATTGTGAAATATGCAAATATTATATGTAAAATCAAATATTTAATATTGCATTTAATTGAAATTCACGTGAAACGGATTTATTATTAATTATAGTAAAAATATATTTGAACACCGAAAAAAGAGAACCCTAATATTTTATCAATCCTTTGATATTTCCCTCACCCCTGAAAAAAACCTGCTAAATTATTGTTGTTCATGTGGTGGTTTTGATTTTTTCCAAAAGTATTGTTCATTATTTTCATCAAATATAATAATTTAAAACTCCTCCAGAAAATTTTGTTTAGCTACGGCCTTGAACATGGTTAATTCATTTTTACAGTATTTTAACAATATCATTTAAGATTTGTTTTGCTCATTTTCCAGTTTGTTGTACCTAATACTGGTTCTAAGGAAATTTCCATCAGGCAGTATCCGACATGGTATCGTATGATGCGTTAACACTTATTCGGACTGATCGATACCCACACTGCTTTGTGTTTTCTTCACTGCTTCAAAGTGTACGTTGACGTCGCATCGTTTCGAATAGAAGAATTCCGAGGAGATTACGTAAAAGCAAGAAAAAAAAAATAGATAAAAATAAATCATTTTTCATTCCACGAGTGATAGTGCCGATCGGTGCAGTCTCATTGAACGGGTGTGGGGGGGGGAATGGGTTTCTTTGTGCAGCAGTGTACTTTATATAGAAAACACTATTATTATACTATTATTGTTATGGATACTGGAGGATATACAACTTATCCATTACTCGGATTGTGTCTGCCGTCTGGCAGTATATTATATAACCTTCGGGACTCGTTATTGTACGCGACTTTTAACAAAGGCCGAAGCCACAGTAATAATATAGATCTGTAATATATATACATAGGATCACTCGCCACCGTTCAGGCCGATTTAATTAACTCTGCTGGACGCAGGTAGTGCGGGATTTGTCTGGTCCGGTCGTCACAGTGCCCGTATCATATGTACAGGCTGATTCTTTTGAAGTAAACCGACGAAGATAACCGCTAATTGGAGACGGTTTGAAGTAAATTTTGTATCTTTTTTTTTTTTTAATGTGTTATTATTATGAATTCCATATATATTACCCATCCGTGTTTAAATAATCTATAGACATTCGCTGGCGGTTTGTGATAATCACACAAATGAAAGCTATGAAAAAATGGCCACTGCTCTTCACATATTATTTTCGTTGGCGCTCCTAGTGAATTAATATCGTAATTATAGTGTATTTGACGGGCTATAGTGGATTTTACATTTGGTTTCCATGGTAAATAAATATGTCCATTGTCCGTCATATATTTGATTGTTATGGTAAATCAACTTAATGGACGGACGGACGGACAACTGCTTATGTACCATATATTATATTATTTATTTTCTCTCTCCCTCACTTTTTATATAAATATACAATAGAGAAACAGAGATAGTTAAGTAGCTTTGTTCTTAACTTCCGACTGACTGATAGAGAATTAACGCACAGATCAAACCATTGGAATTAGAAACATACAATTTTCAAAGTAGTTATATGGATTGAAGATTAAAGTTCTATACCCATTGGAAAGCTAAAGAAAGTGCTTCCAGTTTTTCAGATATAAAGCACATATAAAGTAAACTGTACTGAATGATTATATGGTTTAATTTTTTTTTTGTAGCAGCAGCAGCGAAAAATAAATAAATTATAATACCATATTAAGTTAACCAGTTGGTTTTTGTTTTTTTTTTTGAAAAAATATTAATAATTTTCTCCCTGAAATATTAAAATATGAATACAAATTTATTTTAAATAAACATTCATTTTAATTAAAACGAATGATTCAGTAATAAAGGCGGAAAAATTATTAAGACCGTCATCGTAGGAATGTCTTTTTTTTAAAAAAAAAAATAACGAGTATAACGACGGCGGAAATATAGCGAAATTACGGTATATTTAGAATTATTTTTTAAATAAATTGCGGAGTTTAGATTGAAATAATTATAATCAGAATTAAAACATTACTGCAGATAACAAAATGTCAAAAGAGGAGAATAAATATCGAGGCTATAAAGCGTATGGATAATTTTGGCAAAACAAAAGCACGATCACTTACTACAAGTCACATTGTTTGAACAGTTTTAACTTTGTTTTCTTTCATTTCAACTTATTAATTGCAAAGTCGACGTTCGAAGAATACGTATACGGGACCGGTTCCGGTCTGTTTATTATTTACTACCGGACCGCCCTGTATATAATACGACATTACGAGATTCACACAGTCGCCTCATCATCACTCGTCAATGGATTTATTATAATAATAATATTCTATACTCCATATGAAACCTCCGGACCAGATGTAATCCTCCGGGCGTTGCCGTCGAATCATCTCGACGACGCTTTTATGTATTCGTAGCTCTCTCTCTCTTTTGGGTCTCTCTCCAGAGCTCCCGATACTCTGGCCCTCTGCTTTTGGCTCTCTCTCTCGTCAGCCGTTCACCTCCCCTCTAGATTCTCCCCAACACCGTCTACCCTGTCGGCCGCCCAACGATTGTCAGCTGCCAACAACATTTTGTATGTATACGCGTATATATTATTCGACTAATCGATCACCACCGTTAATGGTGACATTATTCAATTGCTGTGACGACGACAAAGGATCAAAATCCGATCGATGAACGACGAAACTACACGATTCATTGACACAAAATTGATTACAAAAAAATACTTATGATTAAAACTCGAATGTTAATATTTTTCTTTAAAATATGCATTTAAAAATTTCAAAATATGCAATTATTCCTTATTATTTATTTTCAACAGAATAATGTATCAAATATACGTACCAGTTTTTCATCAAATATATGCGAAACAATATTTTAATATTAATTTAAAATAAATTGTATACACCTTTAATCGTGCATGCATTAAATATATCAATTTATTAAAAATTTTAATAAACAGTTTTACAAAAAAAAAATAGGTTAATATAAAAAATATAAATGATTAAAAATAAAATAATAAAATAATTAAAACATTTAAATGTTGCATAGATCAAATACTTTGCGTGGTTAATAGTTACCGTAAAGATTTATAATATAATATTTAAAATTGTTTAAAATATGCTTCTAAATCTAGGAATAATCAATATATGTAAAATAAGTTTGAATATTTGAAATCTAGATTTCATGAATCGAATTTATATCATATTCGGGTATAATTCTGACTTCGCTGAAAAAATATGTAGCCATAAACATCCGAGTTCTACTTATGATGAACTTAGTATTAAATTTTTAAGCGATTTAATCGGGTTTCTTCGGAAATTCAGTTAAGAAAATTACAAGAAAAATCAAAAAATGATCATCTCATTACATCAACTAGAAACAAATTTAGTGGTTTGAAAGACAACAGCAAAACCAATACATTTATCGCTGCGCTCAAAATCTCAAAAAGAAAAAAATTATATATATATAATAGTAATAATTACCATTTATTAATAATATAAACTGTTGCTTCAAAATTATTTTATTATAACGGATGCAATTAAATTTCTAACATATTTTCATAATGTATTGTTGGCAAATTATGTTAATATAATTAAATCGAAGAAGATCAGTAAACTCGTGATTGATAATTTAATAGACAGCAGATTTGGGAAAATGACGGGAAACTGTATAGTGAAAAAAAAAAAACCGATCGATCCTAAATTAATAATTTAAGACGGTATAGATGTTTAAAAAGGCATGGTTTATTTTTTATTTTTATTATGAACATTTAAATAAATTGAAATTTCAAAGAAATCTTGTTTACTAAAACAAATTATGATATCACAACACGAAAATCTTTTTTTTCACGTATTTTTTGTTCTATAATTTATAATTTTACTATTTTAGCATAATAATTAGATTCTGAGCGGAGCGAGAAATGTATTGGTTTTACTATGATGTGTTTATTCTTTTATTCCTCTTGTTAAAAATGTGTTAAAAATGTATAAGAACGTTTTTGTAGAATATATTAATTAAGGGATGCGTTAAAGAAGTAATTTTTTGAAATTCTACATAGTTTCCTTGATATGAAAAACTGGCATTTTTAGTGTAAAGTTTTTATTGATTTCTGGGATACCTATTGGCAAATGAATAATATTCTGCTCAGAACCATTTTTCGTTAACAATGGTTTATTTTTTGTGTACAGATAAATTAAATTAATCCTTAATATCCACCGTTCCAACTTTCCACCAATTGCAGTACCAGCCGTTTTTCCTTTTAAAAGATCTTTTTTTTCCGACGGAAAAACATGATTATTACGTGTCTACAGTCTACAAACTATATCAATATAGAAATGATATTATGTCCATCGTTTATAACTCGGATCCGATGCATGTGCAAGACATATCATATAATTAAATTGCAGCCTTCGGAGTGAAGTAGAAAAAAAAAAATTATAATATATTGGTCTTCTATGCATTCGAACGCCATCACCGCCCGCTACCGAATTATTCAAAACACATTCCTACGTCATTGTGTCCGGTAGCGTTCTTTTTTTTTCTCTTTGTTCTCCTTATATTTTATTATACATTGCATTATTGTCTTCTCTGCCGAGCTAATTATTACCTATACGACATACCGTACACCGGCGATCGATGTGCAGCCCGCGGTCCCGTCCGGCAATGAAAACTATCTTTGTCCAGCATTTAAAATAGGTTCTTGTAATACAATCGTCATTACGTCCAACAATAATAATATGTTTTGATGTTGTTATTGTAGATACTGAGCTAAGCGAGGAATGTCTTGTTTTTACAATGATGTCTATTTATTTTTAGACTGTAAACATCTTTTCTACCATAAATCTTGCTGCGATTTTCAAGTATAGTACCTTTTCTGAAAATAAATTTGACTTAAGTGGTACATCAAGAAGGCCATTTGTTGATTTTTCAAGCGGTTTTCAAAACAATTAAGAAAAACTGAGAAAAAACGGAACAATTTACGAAATGTATTATTTTCAATTTTGTTTTTTGTTGCGATTCAGTTAAAAATATGAAACTTGAAAGAAAACTTATATTTGCTTTTTCTAGACGTAGCAAAATTTGAGTAATTTTGGAGCTATTTATAGAAATTTTAATTTTACGAGTTTTTTACATAGTTTTTATTCGGTAGCTACTCTGTGGATAAAATTGTTAGGTCAAACAGTAATGCTTGAAAATTTAACAGGAGCATTTATAAGTCGTACTCTGTAGTAAAAAAAAAAAAACTAACTTAATGTAGAATTATTTTTTATAAGAATTTTGAATAACAAATTTTAACGAAAATCGTTAATATTACAGATTTTCAAAACGAATAAAACCAAACTCCGCTCAGAATCGTTTTATGTTAGGAATCTTTATTTTTTTGCGTATATATATATTCATTGAATTGTCCTCTATATCCTACTTTCTCAACGTCTCACCTACAATAGTGAACTAGCCATCGTGCGAAGTATATCAGTCTTTTTTTTTTGTGATATTGTAGATTTGCTATGCTGAGTATGGGAACTATACGTAAGAGTCGTTGCCCATTTAGTTTCACTTGTCGACAACTGCGTGTTATATCCTTCCCGGGTTGTTTACATTTTTGAAAAACATTTTGTAAAGTATCGCTATATTAGTGGGTAGCTAAATAGTTTTTAAATTTCTCAGCAGTTTGACGCAAAGAAAACCGCAAAAAAAAAAAAAAAACTACCGACAAGTGGGTTAAACGGTGAATCACTCACTCGAATTATTTCGACTAACCGTATAAATATAATAATAACGCGCGTTAGAAAAATAATATAGCTTCTATATCGATTAAGTTAGCTTTTTTAAGAATATGTGAATTTTTCGAGGACAGATCTTTGATATTTTGCATAACGATTCGACGAAACCTGGCAATATGATGGCTGTGGCTCGCGAATTCGCGTAAACAATAATATTATCATTGTCACTCAGAATCGTTTTGAATCAGAATTGATTTGTCGTTGCGTGCAGAAATAAACGTGATAACCGGTCAAATTCCAATTATTATCAGCCGCAAATACGAACGCGAGGACCGTAGTTTTCGTGCGGATAGTATAGTAGCACATAGGTATAACAGTAAAGTTATATAGGTAAATTTTTGAACGTTTACGAAGAAACATAAATGAAAGAACGCGACGTCGCACATCGTATCGTCGGTTGATAAAATAAAATAGGGGCTAAACAAAAGGTCGAAGTTTTTAAACTGTCGTTGTAAATATTGACAAGTAATTGGGCTACTGTGGCCGCGGCGGCGTGACTGTATCGAAACTTCCAAGTAATTAAACGGAAAGAGGTGCGCGGTGAATAACCGGATAACACCGTATATATATGTAAATTTTTTTTTCCCAATTCCGCTAGTATGTTATATATATATATATATATAGAGAGAGAGAGAGAAAACGGAAACAACTTGTTTAATGAAATGATGGATGATCGAAAATTTAACCGTTTTATAATCCATATAATAATTTATAGTATACATATATATATATATATATATAAACCACACGTAATAATATATATATTTTATATACGCGAGAGTCCGTAAAGTTTTTGTGTTCTCGGAAAATAAAAAGAAATTAATGTCAACTCATCGGTCTTTGCATTACACGAACGTTGCACATTTCTATAATAATAATATATTATGGAGTAAAATCGTGTGAAGCTTTTACGTTAATACACGGTACAATCCGTACGCGCTTATTTTACGGTTTTCAATAAATTTCACCAACAACATAATATACTAGTGCTCATTAACTATACGGATGGAGTCGCCCGCGCCTATGGTCTGCACCCCACGGCCGTATGACCACTCGTTTTTATTCTGTTCATAAACAGTGCAATTTTGTAATTCGATAGGTTTATATTAATTAATTTGTTGGGCGATATCAAATTATTCCTAAAACATTGGTTAACTTATTATACATACGTGGTTAGAGTTTAGAATTTTTTTCGAATCGTCGGTAGATAAATTAAATTAAATAATTATAGAAAAAAATATATATATATCTTGAGATAGCCATAGGGCTATATGACTGTGCCCTACCGGTTAATATAAGTATTAGTTTAGTTATTTAAAACGATGATTTTGTGGCAGGCCACTGTTATAGGTGGGCAATTGGAAATGTAGAATTTATACAGGCTAATTTAGTTTATATCCTGTATGTAACGATGGATAATTGCAATATAGATAAAGATTCTGAGCGGAGTAGTATATTAGCAATATTGATGCTTTTTTTCCCGTAGCCAAAGGTAACCCGGAAATCAAAAAATATAAAACCAATTCATGGATAATTGCTGTGATTTTTTTAAATTGTATGAAAGACTTGTTGAGAATCTAACATTTTTTTTCAAATTAAGTACACTGTCAGGGAAAATATCTGCAGCTTTTTTAGTATGAAATGAAAAATATCGGAGCATTTTTATTTACTAAAAAAGCGTTTCCCGTGAAAAAAAAAACACATTTCATATTTACACGAACGGCTTCTTCGTTATGCTCAAAATCTAAATTATTTTTATAGATAAATATAAGCGATAATCGAAAAGAGAAGAATTCAATAATCTATATTATAGATACACAGATAAATAATTAGCAACCCATCACTATATCTAGAATAAAAAAGAAATTGTCTCGCTTGTTGTTATTACCAATTTATCATAAAACCAAGTGCTAATAAAAGTATACCTCTACCAAATATCGTAAATGGTGCACATCTTTACATTTTAAAATAGAGTCAATATCTTTCACTAATAATTATAAATTATAGTGCATAAAACATATAACCTAAAAGTTTTAATTGGAATTTCATAATACATATGTTGCTTATGATTTAAAAAAATAATAATTATTTATCCTGGATAGTTTACGGACATACTTCGCACGTGGAAGCCACTGTTTTAGATGGGAAGTTGGGAAGGTAGGCTACAGACGGGAATTTAATGTACATATGTAAGCAAAGATAAACCATTGCTAACAAAAAAACGATTCTGAGCCGAGTTCAGTTGATAATGTTGCTTTGTCAACAATACAATATATGGTCATATATAATATTACGGTAAAATGATTAAAACAATGTGCGTTTCCACGACAACAATAATTGTTTAAAAAAGATTAAAATAATAAATACTTAATAATAACAAAAAATAAATGAAAACGATTGCTAATGATATCCTTGTTTTTTAATCTTTCGATCCTGTTCAACCCAAATAACCAGATTTTCTTCATTATCTCAAATTTTAATGAGAATTTCAAAAAATGACATCTTTAAAGTACCACCTAGAGAACATTTCCTTTCAGAAGAGGTGCTATACTTGACGATCAGAGTATGCTTCTGGTAGAGAAAATGTCGGCAGAAAAAAGTATAATAATAATAAACATCGTTGTAGAACCAATAGATTCCTCGTTCCACACAGAATCTAAAACAAACATATCTAGATAATTTAAGTAGATAAAATACAACGCTGGGTATTAAAACTGTATAACTACCGTAGACAGAACGTAATAGCCAGATGCAGTAAAATAATATTTAAAATTATCGAAAAAAATGGTGCCATTTTTTACGTGCATAATATTATAAATGTTATGTTATAACAATTCGTTAAATAACAAAATAGAAAATAATAATATTACCGTTAGAAAATATATTAAAAATGTAATAACGGTTGAAGGTTTGATAAGACGTAGGTAGGTAAATCAAAAACAATATTTTAATATAAATATCGACTTAATTTCTTCTCGGAACGGAAATAAGAAGAAAGTAATTATTTTTAGAGAGTTTATATGAACATTTTTTTATAAATAACGAAAATATTATAACCACTTTGTTTCACTTCCATGATTTTTTTTTTTTTTTTTTATATCTATTATAAAAGTGTATTCGAGTGCCATATTTTATATCTAACTATTTATGTTATTAAAACGTCGCGACCGTCTCGTTTTTGATTTAGTGATAAGGGTAGTATATCCTTTGAACCATATCGCTAAACTGCTTGTTGTGTTAGTTAAAGCGTTTGTTTTAAAAAACAGGCGTATACATACTTGACACGAATAAAATGTATAACTTTCGTTACACAATATCCGCGTAAATATATCAGAAAAATTAAAATAGCAGAATATCTTATCGACCAATAGGTAAACAAAATAATTTCAAACAATATACGATTTTGAGCAAGTTAGGTTAAACGTGTTTTGAAGATTTTAACTTAAAAAAGCGTATAAATAAATAAGCAAATACATAACATTCACTTTTTTTTCGGCTAAAACAATTTGATCCAAAAAAAAACTAAAGATCTCAAAAATATCAAATGCCTATACATTTCTCAGAAATGACTAGAATGTGTTGAACATTTTATCACGTCTATACAAGACTAATATAAGTATAGAATACTTTCTCTGTGTACATTAGACATTTTTCCCAATTGTTAAGAAAACTGCATTATTATAATCAACAAATGATCTTATCGGCATATCAACTATATGACATTTACTTTCGGAAAAGATGACACACTTGAAAATCGGATCGACATTAGTAGACAAAAAAAAAAAGAAAAAAAAACCGTATCATCGTAAAATCAAGAAGATTTGCGTTGTTTTCAAACATCAAACATCTGGTAAATATAAACGTTTCTGTCGGTTGACGGTATGAGGAGAGGGTTTAGAAAAAAATCTGTAAATCCGTCGTCGAAAAGACGTAATTTCGAAAATCTGACCACACATTAAGCTTGCAACTGCATCGGAACGTGTAACGAAACTCCCCTTCTGGAGGTCGCCGTCCGCCCGTCCCGGGGGCGTCGTTATTTCGGGCCATTCGCGAGACCGGAAGTCGTATTATACGAACACATCCGAAAATCCGGGTACCGCGCGAACAAGACACTGCCGCCGGAGGGCGAGGAGTAAGACGGGAGCGTTAGTGCGGTAGCGTGTCCGTATTTATATATAAATAAAATATAATATACAGGGTGGTTTGTAGGGCGAAGTGGCGAAGAAGGTGGTGGTACGTATATTGTTCCTCCTGCAACACACCTACATCGCAGTCGTTGTATAATTGGATTGTTCCGCCGCCGCCGCGCCGGTTCCGGCTTTATATAAATTCCGAAAAGACGAATGAATGAAGTGGGATCGGGGGAGGGGGTGCGGAAGTTGTGACTGGTAAGAGAAACAGGAGGGAGAACGGGAGCGGGAAGTCAATTTACGCTCGCGTGATGTGCCGTAGGTACCCAACGTCTATGTATATATATATATGTGTGTGTGTGTGTGTGTATGTGCATGCCGTGTCGGCTTTTCGGGTTTTTAAAGTCGCAAAGCTCCCCCGCATCAGAACGATTGATCACGCGAAGCTTTTGACCCTCTACGTACAATACATAAAGGCGCTGTAGCTGCAGTCGAGTTTTTACCGCGTACATTACAGTGCACACGTGTGCAATAGTTTGACCCCTGTGTAAATCAAGCTTCCGGCGGTTCCCGGGGGGCTGTAGGTAAGTATGTACAGGTAGTTACCCGTCCCGAGAGTGACATATTTTCCGGTTTGATAACTCACGTCACACGGATAGAATGCGATTTTATATTATAATGTATTATATTATTAACTCTGTCGTCATCGTCACTTTCATCCCCGCAAACACTAGCCGCAGCACAATACCTATTATACACAATCGATATCGCGTACATAATATAAAAAAAAAATCGCACGAAAGTGTTAACGTTTAAAAGGTGTCAATGTGTGATTTAATCGCAAAAAAAAAAGAATATTATGAAAGTATTATAATATTATAGGTGTACATAATACGACGCGTCAAATGGATTTTTAAGTCTCTCTTTTTTTCTCCACACACTTTATTATAAATTATAATATCTCGAATCGAGACGTGCAGTGTTGCACTTAAACGAGAGGAGAATATAATTCACGTGGGCACACCATTCAAGTATGAGATCTACTACAAGTATATTATATTATATATAATATGACAGAAATATACCAGGTAGATACGGTCAAAAATATTCGTGTCAAGTGATGTTTGTCAGCGTCCTTCCGCGTGAATGTATACGCACGTGGGTATCATTAAAACTGGCTCAATGAATGCAATTACGAATAATAATAAAGCTATGCTTGAACTTGTATGAACATACACATTATGTATATATACCTGAAGTAGAGTATCCTCAAATACTGTCTAAGGGAATAATTTTTTTTTTTTTAAATTTTAGAAGGTAAGTTTTAACAAACAGGTGTTTAAAACGGTAGCATCAAGACATCGCGATTGCCTAGAGATACATTTTAAAAACTATCCGTATAAAGATAAGAAATAACAATAATTACTAGAACAGTTATTATATATAGACAGACAATCAGCGACATTTTCTCTCGGCTGTAAAAAAGAAGATGGGTTTTTTTTTTTCATAAATTTTCAAAAACCTGCTAGTGGGTATTCTTCAATAAAGGTCGTGCAGTAATTGATGTTAATTAAATTAATCTTCAAAATTAATTTTTAAGCCGTATTAATATAAATTGATGGTATATGTGTTTAGTTTTTTTTTTTTTTCTTTAAGATATTTTGTAATATAATACATATATACGTGCCAAAATAGCGAGTTTAAATATATTAAAGGTATAATATTACGTTATTGTTTTGAAATGAAATCATAATAAATTCCCATAGTCCTTACCCCGTATGCGTCTAGGTATCCTAATAAATTTATTCACGGTGTAACGATAACGATAATTCGCTATTGTGCGGGGTAGGGCAATGTAAACACCATTCGCTTCGTCTGCACACAATATATTGTAATAATAGTAAATCGTCTTGGGACGCTCCGCCGTGTGTACACAAGAGTACGCGAGACAATCTCGAATATTGTATTTTTATCATGCTGCTAATATAACAGATATATATATAACAGATATAGTGATAGTAATTAATTAGCGAGGCAATAATAATAATTTTCAGAGGTAAAATGTACACCTTTACTCGTCGAAAGAACCAATATTATAGTACGAACTGATCAATGGTGTGCTTAACCAAACCTGGGTGGGTTGACCGGTTTTTTTTTATTTATTTATTATCTTTTACCCGCTTGAGTTAAAATAGTTACGCTAAAAGCAAAATAACTAAGCCGAGTGTAAGTTAGTTTTAAAATCTGAACGAATTTTAGGAATATCCGAAGAAGTCTCAATTAATTAGGAAAATAACCGCCGAAGTCTCGAGTTAAGTTAAAATTGTTTATTAAAATAATAACTAAGTTGTACTATTTAATTTTATTTCTAATATTTTATATTTTGAATTAGTTAAGTTAATTGCTATTAAAGAAAAAAAAACAACTAACTGATACCTTAACTTTTTACTAGTTACTGTCCAGCTTTGCGTTTCACTAATAATTAATTATTATAAAAGCCCATAGCTCGGATTAATGATAAAATAATTATTATATCGTTAGACAAGAGGAACAGATTTATAAAATGAATTGCTTGCATTTTCACTAAAATGGAAGAAAAAAGTATATGAAAAATAATAAAATGTGTACAATGTACATAAAAGTTTTAATCGGTCGATATTTTCGACTATTCCCATTCCCAGCGAAACATAAATCAAAGTAATCAAACAGAATGAACGTTTACGATTTTTTTTTTTTTTTTTTTGTCAAATCATTAATATGCTGAATCTGTATAGTTTCATGTTTATTTAAACACACTAATAACATAAGACCAAAATTAATGCACACACATATTAATATGATTAGAAGCAGAAACAATAACTGTATTATACAAATATATCAGTATAGTTTTACAATTCGACTTTATAACTAAATATATAAAAAAAAAAAAAAAAGATCCACCGATACTAAATAATTGTAAATATAATATTATCGATCCAATGAAATTATATAATTAAATGTATTTAACGCGTGCAGTTATTAAAATCGCTTAATCGAAGTATTATAATCAGGTCTAGCAACAATACTATATGCAAACAAAAACTGACATGAGAATTCATTTTGTAAAACTCTAAATAGCCACGGTAAATAATATTATTGTGGTTGTGATGTTTGTGTGTGCGTATATTACGGCTTTGAGTTATTAAGTGAATATGTTTTGTTAAAAAATAATTCGAATAGTTTATCGAATCAACATGAAACGAATGATGGTGTTAGTTGTTACAAGTTTTGAGAATTATTCTGTATACATACATACTTAAAATAGTTTTTTTTATTTTCATTGTTTATTATGCCCGAAAAAAAATGCAACGGATATTATTTTATTATTTTTATCCGTTATATTATTTTTTTATTTTTTTATTTTTTTTTAAAAAACTATCTTCAACAATTTATTTATATTTTATAGTTGACAAGTGACGGGGAAAAATGTAATTAACGTAAATTAAATAGTATTCGTCGGAAAAAAAAATGCACATTCCAATTCGTTAGGAAAACAGATATTCACGAATACACTAGCTAATACAGAATGAAATACTGGTCATAGAATTATCAAGAACCTGCGGGGTTATTTATGATAATTTCGAATATACGGTATTAGGGTAAAATTTCGAAAGTACAATCCTCAAACGATTTTAGTTGTATGTTTATGGGGATGCTAGGGATATTGGTGGTTTCCATGCACTCCCGAGTTTTATTTATTTAAATCTGTTTGATGGCTAAAATGTCTATCTTTTTTTTTTTTTTTTGCTTTATCATAACTATTAATAATATGTTATTATCTGCAACCTAAGAAATATCAGAAACCAGAAATTCAGAAAGTCTGTGATTTAAACAATAAACACATTTTTGGTTATTCAGTTTTCAGTTGTCACTGATAAGAAATGAAAAATCCATGTCTCGTGATTTGATATAGTATTTACGGTTTTGACTTTTCATTAAATCAAAATTAATGTAAAAGAAAAAAAATTTTTTTGGAAATTTCTTCTTAAAAATTTCTAACTTATATCACTACTACAACCATATAAACAATAGTAGAATATACGGTATTATATAGTTCTATACGTAACGACTCATACTTTCTTTAAAGTATTTTATTCGAATTTACTATATTTTAGTTTTTCTCCCGGGTGAACTAAACATTTTTTTGCCAAATAATATTTGATGGAAACGCTATTAGGATTTGCGTGAATTTAGCAGTCTGAATTCCGTTAATAAGCTCCACTGCACAATCTCAAAAAAACCAATATTGTATTAGTAAATAAACCGCTGAACGATTCTATTAGGCGACGTCTGAAAAAACCTGCAAATCAAATTTACTATCGAAATCTGCATGTGTACTTAATCGAAGGTTCACGATATAAATAAAGATCATTTTTTATTAAGTAAAAAAAAAAAAAGTAATAAAAAGACGACAAGCCTGTATAAAAATATCGTTGTAATTATTATTATTTTTTTTAATTTTCAGACGATGTCAGCTGTACAACGATATTATTTATATAAAATAAATATATCACGTCTGATGTTATTGTTTCATATACCTGCAATGCAATTATATCGGGTGTCGGCTGGATGAGGGGTGTCGACTCCGACAATAATTATTTTCGTGGAGAGACGGCCGGCTTTAATTGATCTGCGAGTCGGATAGTAATTTATATTTTGAAACCTTGACGGAGAAGAAAGGGTTAAATTTCAATTTCGACAAAAACTCATCAAGTTCTCGACCGCCGTAACGAAGAGAAAATAAAACCTTATGGCAGTGATGATAGTCAATATATTATTATTCGTTGTCGGCATTTTGTTATTATTCGTCGAATAATTTTTTTTATTCGTGATACATCTTCTACTACTAAGGTTACAAAAGCTTACAAAAATAAAGATTATTTAATTCGGAGGAGTTTACATACAATAGAGTAGAGTGTGCAAATTGAGCTGTACACATTATTATTTTTTTAAAAAAACACAATTTTTTCGTATAAGTTGTCTGGGACGTTAATGTTGGATCTAATATCGAATATCTAATATCTAATACTTTTACTGATGGTAAATAGTGACCTGATAGTGAAGGTATTCTATACAGGTTTGACACATTACTGGATCCTCCCTTCTCATAAGATGGCCTGGTGTATCCTATTCGTAGTCTGTTGATATTTACGATTAAACGATTGTGGTTTAAGCCAGTATACATCGAATATTATGGAAATGTACGCAAAATAATAACGGTTAGTCAGGCGTGTCTCGGCAGTCGGTATTTTACAACCCCTCTCTCACCACCGTCGTCGACAGTGAGAGTCGAGGAAATAAATTTTGTGTGAAATCTCGCCGACCGCTTGGCAATGTACAAGGGAAAAAATTCGATCACGAATAGCCAATACCGTACATTAAAATTTTGACGAAACTCACCAAAAATCACGAAACATTGTTTATTATCAATAATATTTTGTAGTTCTTCTTTCCTACGGGTCTTCAAACTATCAATTGGTCGGCTGCAGCTATCCATGCTGTATATTCAGTCAAAACTCAAACTCTTCGATTCTCTAAAAATTTTCATTTTTATATCCTTAAGGATTTACGGCATATGTTCCATCCGTTATCCTTTGTTCTTCCAATTTTACCTTCTTTACGTATAATTGCGTATTAAGTACTCATTAGATAATAAACTTTAACGAATTAACAAGTACATATATACTTATGCCGTTTAAAGTATAAATGATATTTTTTCGAATATAATATCGTCTCCAAGGTGCGATATCAAAAATATTATTCCATTGATGGACAAAAATATGCACCCTCTAAAACACTATTATCATTTTGCCGTGCCCTGTGGCTGTAATTCAAACAAATCTGCATTTTATCGCATAATACTATGGCATAAAATAACAGCAGCGTAATTTTGTTGTATTAATTATTTCACGAAATATTGCCGAATAGGCTGTTAAAATAACTGACATTTTATAATAATATAATACGAGGTCAATATTATTTTCGATTTATAAAAGTTAATTCGATTTGTTCAATAATTTAATTCTGCAATTTCAATAAATACTTCGGAACAATTGCACGTCAGTAATATCGAATTATCGTAATAGGCCTCTACCTAATATTGATTTATAAATAATTTAATAACGAAAAAACACAATAGTTTCCATAATATTACGATTGCTATATTATAGAAAGAAATCCATTTCAAATCGGGCCAACGTATAAATTATTGCAGCTAAAAAAAAAAAACACGAAATACACGAGTGTCGCGATGAGAAAAATTGTATAAACTATAAACAATTGGAAACGTAATTCGTATAATATCGTGTAACGTATTGTACATAGTAAGACGTGCACCCCGATTCCAACTTATTCCTTCCGAAAACAGCAGCATATCCTGTACCGTCCTATTTTGTCATTATACTCCATAGGTTACAAATATTATACGCACGCGAGTTCTCGCGAAGTACCTATGAAAATATTTTGCGAAAATTCGCATGAAAAAAAAATTTCTTCTTTGAGTTCATAATGTTATGAAACATTTTTATTTGCGTTTAATCATATTACAGATATTAGTTATGTTTAAATCAATTAATAAAAAAAAAAAAAAAAATGTTAATTACATAGGTATTTGATCCTCGTACAATTAATTAATAATCACGAATAATGTTTGAAATAGTTCCGCACGCGTACATGCGCGGGTACGAACATTCGTTTTAAGTAATATTATTTGTCACGCGATTACGCGTATTTTTTTGTTCGCAACAAAGAAACAGCGGAAAAGAATTGACCGACGATAATTTAATTTTCACTTATGCGTATGCGATATTATACGATTGTCGTATAATCGCGAAACGCCGTTACAAAAAATGTACGGATTTAGTCGCCATGCGGATACACCGTAAAATTAATATAATACCGAGAGGGAAAATTGTACAGAGCGAGTTTTTTAGCCGTTAAAATAATATACTCGCGTTATAATAACACTCGGGGTCGGGAAAAAAAAAAAATAAAAAAAAAAATGTATGCACATATATACCTACCAAACCGTTTTGCTGTAATTATCTCCATAAAATCTTAGTCACGTTTGTGCAGCACGCGGTGCGCGAACGGTATAACGATATAACATGGAGAAACGAGACGGGGTGTCGGGAGGGGTGGGAAGGGAAACTCGGTAGAGGGGGTGGAGCGAAAAATCCGCGTCTAATTCGTCCCGCAGGGACCGTTCGGCCCCGCGGGGACTTTGTGTACAACGTATAGGTACGAGGTTCCTCTACGGGGCTAATAAAAAACGGACCGACATAGTTCGCTGGAAAAATTACGCGTGCCCGTGGACATAATCGTTGGTCAAGATAAGTACTATCGGTACATTTTATCACGGTACACGCATAAAAGCAACTGTAATTATCCGGCAGTGGGGATCGCGTCGTCGTGATGTGCGTACAACAAGACGCGGGACACCGACGCACGTTTTATCGGGCGTATTTTATAGCGCGCGGAAATTTGACAGTAGGGGTTTTGTCGACAAAATTCGGTTCTATTATGTAAATTTGCAACGTATGTACCTATCTACGCGTGGGAGATTGGTGTTGAATTTTGACGGAACTCACGCGCATGACGACCGTCGCGAAAAATTATCGTACACGATTTCGTTCGGGGCAAAGGCACCGTCATGTGTACGGTTTCAGTGTACGCGATATAAAACATCCATTAAAGTTATACCACAACCACAGTTATATTACGTCTGATCCCGCTAATAAAACTTTATTTCCTATTTATTCCCCCCCCCCCATATATATATATATATGTATATATCTATTTGTGCAACGTTAAATTAGACGTTTCGCGTTTTCCATAATGCCATTTAATAAGTGCATTATTTTATAAATTTTAGATAAAATAAATCTACCAATGTACGCCGCGAATAATTTTGGGGTTATTAGTGTGGTTTCGTCGTCGTTCCTGAAACGGTTTATTCGCGGGTTGTAGTAGTGATAACTCAATGACTTCTACGTTTATACAAGTAATAGTAACATTCATCGGTATGTTAACATTCACCGTGTGTCCAATATCAATACGAAATGTTAAATTTAAGTTTAACGAAAAATGCACGAATGTTCAAACGTTAACAGTGTACAGCGAAACATTGTAATCGTGAATTCATATGACCTATACAATAGTACCAACAGTAAATATAACAAACGCGTAAATTTCGAAATATCGCATTTTGATAAAAGGATGCAATCAGTGGTGGCACGAGCCTTTTCGCCGGCGAGACAAGATAATTTCAGTTGTACCGCCGATCGCTAGATTTCGTATTATAATTTCGCAACAAATTTATTGCGCAGTAATATTTGTGGTAGTCGGACGAGTCGGGTCGTATCCGGACGAAGAAAGCTTATTTCGCCTGGTCACACATAAATACGGCGTTGACATTTTACTTTAAGTCGACACAGTATAGTCAAGCGAGTATGGCTGCAACGCTTTTTTGCTTGCACAACGAAAACTGTGCACGGACATTATTTCCTCGGAACAACCGAGCGCTACTGCCGGGCAGAAAGAGTGCAAGATGTTAAACGCAAGAGGATCCTACGGACCGGCGTATTTTCCCGCTATTCTGTTATAACCACGAGCCGAACCGACACCGCCGACATTGTCGTTGTTTATTGCATTATCCAAACACCGTTCAAAAACATCGTGTAAACCGTAACAGTTGCGCGCGTACAATTGAAATTCCGTCTCGCCGTCCGTGTACGCGGACGTGCAGTTTTGTTTTGATCTGCGTCCGCTATTCGTTCAGATTCATGGGCGCCAAGTGTACTCGGTGCGCCGGCGCGGGTGCGTTATAATGTTACAGATTTGAACCGTCAAACTGTACATAGTATTATTATTACAACTATTGACTATAATACAGTACACAATATACAGTTTTCGAACGTTAGATCGATGTAAACATTGTTTTATTTGCCGAATAATCAAACACAATTATTATTATGTATACTTGTACGCGCCTAATCCTAATATGTTTCTCTTTGTCCTTTTGTAACACGTAAATATTTGATTTTAATCAACACACGCCGCGTATATATTATTCAAATGATGCTACACACAATATATTATAACGCGATCATTATTCAACAGATTTCGAATTGAATTTCATCAGTTTTCGACTGAATTTTCGTTTAGTACGTGTGCGTATTATCGCATTTATTGCGCGTGCAGTTATTTTTTATAACCACGTTAAATTACGTTCAATTCCCGAGAAAAAAAAAATAAAACGAACAAATTCTACGCGAAAAACGATTATTACGAGCACATCGGAACGTCCGTAACAATGTTTAATTCGTTTGTGCAACGCTACATTATAATAAATTATATTGTTCTAAAACCATCTATCGTTTTTGATTCCGATTGTATCTTCTAGCTTTACTATAAAACGTGTGGGTTTCCTTTTGCATTCAAAAAAAAATACTATGAATTGTTCATGCGATACCTACCTAACATTAAAAGAAGCGGATTTTTTCAACCAACGGTAGGTACTTTATTTGAATATTTTCGACTATAGATTCCCGAATGTTTTTCTAAAAAAAAAAAAAAAAAAAAATACAAATTTGTTACTGTTCACGGGTAAGGCACAAGGCCTTACCCGTTAATTAAGTGAAAAGTTATTGAATTAATATAACGCAATAATTAACAGTTTAAACTCGGCTCGGCACTGTTTTTCGTTTGACTATATTTTATCGTTGCGCAAACTAAATTGCCCTAATATGATTTATCCTATAACTTCCTTCCAAACTTTTCGTCTACAATGGTGCCCTAAACAATGTGTGAAATTTATTTTTGTTTTTTTTTTTTTTTAAACCACTACCTCTTCTTGGAGTAAACATGATTATTATATTTCTTCTTTCCTTAAAATTTGTTTGCGTGCATATTGCCGAAACCAGGCGACAGGCCGCGTAGTTTTAACGTGTATTGTTAGTATAGAGTGCGAGACAGACCACCCCTATTATTAGTGTGCATCTAGAAAACGGAAAACATATCAGAGCCAATTGCTGCGGCAGGACTACTCGGGCGCAAATAATGAAAAAAAAACCTTGATTACAAAATTTACTCTCGGTCCAAATTGAGGCGATATTAAAAATAATATCGTGTACAAGCGAAAACATTTATTATTATTATTATTATTATTATTATTACGTTTCGCATCAATAAGAATAGCATCGCACGCTATAATAATATGTAACATACCTATGTCTACCTAGGCGCGCCTACAACAGTGTCGGCTTGCAATCTTTCGCGTGATATAACCGTAATTTAATGAGAAGACTTTATACTATCTGTACGCGTTACGAGTCATTAACGCCGAGCAGTGTTTTGAAACTTTTCAAGAGAACGGTAGTAAAAAAACACCCACAACAAAAACGTGTATCGACCTAACGGCTGCAGATATCTTTTGACGAAATGTAAAATTCACCTACCTGCGCGTTTCCGCTGTGCAGTTACCACGTCGAAAATCAACCCGACCGGAAGTCGGTTCATATTGAGGTACAGGTATATACGTACAGTATACTGTACGCAAAGTGATTCTTATTTTTTTTTCATAAAATGATCCGGCTATTATCTACGGATATTTTGCGTAAAACAGATTTTGGGATTTCACAAAGTCGTTTAATGATTTTATTAAACCTTTCAACATCATATTATCACGGATAGTCTTGGGTAGATAAACCGATATCTTTATTTATACAAAAAATAAAAATAATGGCTAAAAGTTTGCCTTAGATTAGGATAAACGTTTTAGTTTTTTAGATAATTTGAAAAGGTAACAAAAAATGAGATGTGCGAAGATAATAAATGTACAAATAACATTGATTGTTTAGCACCTGTATAGTATAGGTGTATAGTCGAACCAGGCATCTTACTAAATTCTTAGGCAAATAGTCAAAAAGTTTAATTTTTATACGACTTTACTATCCGCCTAGATATATAGTTAAATGCTAATTTCAAGCTGGACAAATGAAACGTTTATTATTATTTTAAAAACTAAACTATATTTTCCAATTAATGTTATTTAATACAACAAAATAAAAATAAAATTTCCACAGGTGTTTTAAAAGTATTATAACTGATTATACCTTATCTATATTGAACACCTGATAAATTGAATTCAAATAATGGTTTAGAAGATACCAGAGTATCCAAAGACAAATTTGTATCCATAGATGAAGCTTCTAGTAAACTTATTAAATTCTAACGGTCAAGGTTTTGTTAAATGTGAGGCAAGCGGCAATGTCAATTCGGTCGATGTTTGTGTTTTTCATTTTAGATTTCGAGCGTAGCGAGGGAGCTATTGGTTTTACAATGCTGTTGATTTCTTTTTTTTCTTCTAGTCTCCGGACGCATTTTATCCTAGTAAACTTGCTCCGATTTTAACGTGTAACAACTTTCCTGAAAGTTCAAATTGTCTGATAGTTGAAAAAGAATGATTTTCGACGCCATTTTTTAAATAAAAGCATTTAAGTGGGAAAAAACATAGGAAAACGTACAATTTCACGTTTTCATTGTTTTATAAAAACACGGACGACGTTTTCTACCAGAAAAAATGATTTAATCGAAAAATCACAAGATAACTTTTTTCTTTTTCTTTGATGAGCGTTTTGAAAAATCAAATTTAAACGAAAATCGCAAAAAAAATTTCGGCACTTCAAATTATGTATTACCGAACTGCGCTCGGCGGAATGGTCTTTCGTCAGCAATGGTTTATCTTTGCTACAAATATAAATAAAATAACCTTATGTATCCTACCTTCCCAACTTCTCACCTACAACAGTGATCACTTCCATTTCCAGTATTAGCTCTTTATTATTTGCCTGACTTGAAACAGGAATTTAGTAAAATGGAATTGTAGTATAAGTAGTAGAATTGTAGTAGAATAGTAAGTGGAATTTATAAAGTTATTTAATTCATATCTGTAATCAACGATAAACCATTGCTAACAAAACGATTAGGAGTGAAGTTTGGTTTTATATGTTTTGATTGTCCGTAATATGTAAATACTACGTTTTTCGGCATGATTTGATATTAAAACTCGCAAAAAAAAAAAAAACATTAGACTCAATTGTATTAATTTTTTTTTATCAATAAGTACGACTTATAAATTAATAATGCATTTCAGTTTGGTTAAACAAATTTATCCACATAGTACGTATTATATCAAATAAAAATGACGTAAAATACTCGCAAAATTGAAATGTCTATAAAAAGCCATTTGTCGTTTCCAAACGACAAATTTATAATTTAGGGAGAAAAAAAATAAAACAAAAATCGCAGCCGCTAATATACCCAGGTTTTTTTGGGTACTTTTAAATGCATAGCGAAGCGGTACACGCCGCAATATAATATAAGAGTGCAGGTATATGTACGTGCACGACTTTGTGAAATATTTAATGCGCCGACGAAACTGACCTCTCTTTTAAACTTTTACGAAACGAAATATTTAAATTCAAAAGGGGGAGAAATGAAGTGTTGATATATTGCTAGAGCGGTATAAAACGTTCACGTCGTTGTTCAACTATATTAGTCCGTGCAAATTCGCGCGTCTGGTACAGATAAAACAAAACAAAAAAAAAAACTTTTGGAAATCTTGCGAGTGTTCGTTCATTATAATGTAATACGTATTATAATTATATGTTTAATAACTATACGCATGAGGTTAATTTTAAAACGTATAGTTTTAAAATTTTAGTTGGACACGCCGCCGACAGAAAAGTCATGTGATATATACGTAATTTTACAAAAACTTGAACTTTTCAGTTATAGAAACAAACAAAAAAAAAACCCCCAAAAAGTATAAACACAATTTCTTTATCCTTTTAACCCTATCAAAATATTTATATTTACAACCATACTGTATTGAACTCGAGAAGAAAATTCGTAAAATACAAACATTATATTATTTTTGATTTTGGTTTTATCGACTATAATATTATGTATAGGATGTGTGAAATCCCATATAACAATACATAAAATGATAAAATGTTGTATTTTTAGCGCCGTGACAAACATACACGAACAACGTACATTTTAGTACCCACCCCAACCCCCTTCAATATTCATAAAATACCATTGTAATTTTGTATTTTTGTATTCACTAAGACGAATGCTTATGAGTCGATTGACGGGAAACATATAAGTGACTATGTTTGTTAAGTACTCATGTTCTGAAGCCAGCAAAATGCTCCAGCCTAAGTCTTAAGACTTACAAATTCCACGTGTAAAATATTTCTTCAATTTAATGGTTATTTATGAAGACTACCGGCACTCACTCGCCTTCCCTCCTAATTTCAACCATAACGCCGCCTATGCGTATTGAATACCCCTTTTCAGGGCCGTATTTAGGACATATTGGCCACAATTTTAGCATACAGATAGCTATTATGATGTAAGCATCTGCCAAAAGAGGATTTTTTTTTAAAAATTCAATCCCAAAAGCGGTAAAAAGTTCAAAGTTTGATACACCGATAAAGGAACAGCCCAAACCACTAGACTGATCGGACTGAAAATTGTCTGCTGCTATAACGGTTTCATTGTTACTGAGTTTATCTAACTTGTTGTGAATCCCAGAACGAATCTGTTTTGAATTTTAGAACTTCGGATAGCAATAAAAATAAAAGCTGATATCAATACTCGTCGGGCCGATGACAAGCACAACGACCATGACGGTGCGCGACGCCGCAATAATCTATTGTTGACGATCGCAGTTATTTTATAGTTCTTATCTTAATACTAATGGTAATAACAACTATGCTATACCATTGATATTATTATCGTCAACTTGCATTAATTAATATATTTACATATTATTAATTAAAATAACTATAAAAGTTCGTAAGTTTTTGTTTATGTAACACAAATATTTTAATATATGAACAACTTTTTGTTTTTTTTTCGCGGGCTTTTCGATGTTGCGGGCTACAGCTACCCTACGCTACAGCCTATGAAGTATGAAGCTTGCACTTGGGTACGGCTCTGTTCTTTTCGCCATACCATTACTATTGTATGGAATGGAGATCGTTAAAACGTGTATGAAAAACAAAAATGATAAAGAAGGTTTTTTTTTTTTTTTTCAAATTATACTTATATACGAAGGGGAGGATATTTCAAAATATTAATTTAAACAAATTGCGGAAATAATATAATATACGGTTAAAGGTAGATTTAGGAGATGATAATAATATACATATGTTCACGTATACCAACCTTTTTTTTTTAAATTTTTTAATGGAAATTGTGTATAATTTATAGCTTTTTATTATATTAGATATTGCAGTTGTGGGCTTAATACATTTACCTAGTAAATTTTTTTTTACCGTTTCGAAATCGAGTGACCTATCATTTTAATTGTTTTTTTACACATAATAAATTATGTTTAATGATATATATTCAACATTTAACTTGGCAAGGTACGACGGTCATGATTTCCGCACTATTTCTAAAGCTATTAACATTTAAACCAATTGTCGGCGGTTTTATTAGGTTATTTCGTATATAGATTGTACAGTGTAAAATAAAAAATATACACATATTAAGTCGGAATGAATTTTACCTAAATTTTACTGATGATTTTATCAGTATCATCTCCAATTCTATAGATGTGTAGGTATTCGTTCGCGTACGTATCATATATAATTTATGTCGAACATGTGCAGTGTTATCGCGTAAAATGAATGTAATTAAAATTAAATATTTGATCAAATATATTATATGCGAACATTTGAAAATTCAATTAATGAAAATAAATTATGCCCAAACTATAGGTATTGTTATACGCATTACGCTTTGCATTTTAAGCCCATTCATTCACGAAAATCCGCATCGCGATTATGCATTGCTGCGGCTGCAAAATGAAATTGACTAGTCTATAAGAATATTATTAGAATATTATTAGAATTCCAATTAAAACGCTGAAATATTTTCTTTTCGTTATTATAAATATTATTTTGGTAGGAAAAGAAATACACTAATTCAGTTTTAATCAATAGCGATAATATTTAAACGACCTTGCGTAAGTATGTTTAAGTAGGTCCATAAAAATCCATTACAATATTTCGTAATATTAAAATTTAAGTAAGTATATGCTGGAAACCAAAATAATTTTTCACATTTTCATGTAATTTTGAACAAGCCCAATAAATTTAATTGAGTCTGATCAATCTCGAATTTCACGAACACTATTTTTAGACAAATCCCTTTCGAATATTTCTCCCCGAAATGAATAGCAATAAAAATAACCGACAACATAAAGTATACACAAAGTATAACACGATTAAAACTGCACAATACCGTACTGCAATAATACGGAGATTAATTATTAGAGTTTTTAATACAAATCGAATAAAAGATGATACGATTCACGGTGGTCGGCAGGTCACGGTTGGTGAACATAATTATTGAGAAGGTAGGATATACATGGTCATTGAGTTTATGTAATGTTTAAAAGAATAAATCACTGTAAAGGAACGAATGATTCTGAGTGAAGTAAATATTGTTAGCGGTAACTCGGGAATAAATAAAAAATAAAACAGATTTTTTTCAATTAATGATTACCACATCGTTTAAAGTACAGAGCGAATAATTTGGACCTTTATTATAATCTGAAAATGGATTTCTGAGAAAAAAACTAAAAACTAAAACAATAGAACCTAGGGGTGAACATCTCGTGGAACGGTTTAAATAAAATACCATCGGCCTGCAATCTCCATATTTCGAGTTGATGCGTAAACAAATTTTAACTAAGCGGAAAAGTGTTCCCTAGGAAACACAAGCATATGGGAATACTGTAACAGCTTCTCTGGTCCGTTCGGAATCTAAATGCGGATTACTATAATTGTATTTTATGCACACATTATATCGATCTGTTATAAAATCCAATGTAATGAGACAGCGATAGTTTTATAATCATGATCGCATATATAATAATTGATCGTGACTTGCTCGTTACCGTCGCAATTGTTGCATGTTAAATGCCATAGTTTCGTAGAATAGTTAAACATAATATTGGGTGGAGTAGTTGATAATTTAAGTCACTTCATCGTGATGTTATAACTGCAACGTCGAAACTATTTATGAAGTATTTGGCCGAATTTAATGCATTAATTATTATTTGGCACTATTGTACACTGCTATTATATAAGGATACCGTGGTAAGGTATATATTTCCTAACAAAATAATTTCATTTTAAGCGCGACACCAACACGCGTCTCCCGAAATCTTACAAAAAAATAAATCCATCGATTAAAGACGACGCGATACACGTCATAATAATACAAATTTATTTCCTCCGTCTTACGAACGCACGATATAACGAATTTGTATTCAGAAAAACCAATTTCGTGCTTTCGGAGTGTTGAAAACATTATGGGGTGAAATAGAGTATTAATGATGTTTTAAAATTGTGTATTATCTCCGTTTTGCGTATACTATATGTCATCTATGTTTTGTAATAAGTAATATCAAACAGTAAACAAATTAATGTATATAAATACAACGATAACCATACGGCATATCAAATTATAAAACAACACTATTAGCAAATAGAATAAAAATGAGTAGCCGCGGTGGAGATACCGGTAAGTAAGCGGCTCTAGGACTGATATTCAACTTCGTATTAAATTTCCGAGCAATCATGTTCAGTTTAAATAATTATATTCAAATAAAACTAAAGAAAACACGAGAATATCATATGCCAATAAATTAATAAAAAATTGACAGAATATTTTTAAAATTTGAAAAGAATCGAAAATAATCAAATTATATTTAAACTTTTCGTTTTTCCCACGTTATTCCAAGTTTTCCCAATTATTAAGAAAATTATAAAAAAAAATTGTCCTCTGTCATACACCAAATAGATACAATTTTTTTTCAAATGATATGCTATACCTAAAAATCGGAGTGAAAATTTCGGTAAAACACTAAACATTTGTTACAGATAAAAAACACGATTCTTAGAAAAACCAATATATTCTTCGCTGTGCTCAGAATCTAACAGTGTATCAATTTGGTGGGTATTCGAGAATTTTTTTTTCAAATATTTCTAATTTTTCAAATTGTAACTAAAAGTACGTAGACAACAATATCTAAAGCGTCAAATATTAAAGCTAAACGGGACGATTAATTTTATCATAAATAAGAATCCCCCTCCGTATCCGTAACCACTGGTTAAATGCGTATTATTAGGACGGGCGATAATATTTTTATTCGCGAGATTTTCGTGTATATATTTTCGGAGGCGTTTTTAATACCTACGTTTATCGCAAAAGAACTCGAGACAGTCAATTTTCCGCCGGAAAATCGTCGGGCGTCATAATCCTCCGTTTGGACGGTTGCCCCGGTATAAAACGTGCGGCATGGGATAAAAATAAAAACATAATTCTACCGCGAAAAACCACCGAGAAATCGTATTTACCACTATCTATATACAGTTACAACTACACGCAGGGAGGTATTAACAAAAAGCCATTTGTGTAACGTTGAGTATCCGATTTTCTAAATCATCGCGTTGGAAAAATATCCCGTACGAAAAAGGATCGATTTCCCGGAAGTAACTAGTTAAAAAGTTACAATTAAAGTCGTACGTTACTTTTTTCATAACTTTTGACAACTTGATTAGTAAAAAAAAATAAAAACCAGAATGTTCAAAACATTTTAAATTTTGTATTTAATACAAATTTTAAATTAACTTGGTTATTTTGTTAAAATTCGAATATCACACAATCGCGTCAATATGATAAACTAAATATTTGGAGAGTTTTGAGTTTTATACAATGTTAGGATAGATCAAGCGCGCGTTTTATTTTCGTAAATGAACTTCATCGCGATTTTTCGTGATGGTAAATTTTTTTTTATAAAAAAAACGACAATAACATATTTTTTTTATCGCTCCAATCTAAGCCTGTAAAACTTTCGGATCGAATCATCTACCTCGAAAATAGAGACGTCGAAGAAAAATCGAAACCGGTTAACGGGCGAAATCACATAAACGAAATTATAAAGGAGAGGCTGCGGAGGGAGACCCCTATTTCACATTTAAACTTCTCAGAGCGCATTTTTTTTCCATACAATTTATTGTTTCGTAATTTTCGTTCGAATAATACTCCGTCGTTCGACACCGGCCTGGGAAAATAAAAATGCTACCGGCCCCTAGCGCCGGGTCACAATCGCCGACGACCGTTTTTTTTTCTCTCACTACAAACGACACACACACACACACACCCACACACACGCACGCGTTACGCCTGTCTCGTTTGCGTGTGCGGAGTCGGACTTACGTGTGTGTAAACGGTGGCGGCAGCTCTGCCAGTCTGCGCTCGTATAATACACACACACGCGCGCCGCTCACACGACATGCCATTACGGGCGCCGAGCCTCGTCCACGATCGGCCGCCGTCGCGCACGGTCGTCGACGTCGCCGTAGTGTGGTAGTTTAGTCCCGTTCACAGTAAAAGTCCTGTCCGTCGCCGTCGCGGTCGTCGTCGTCGTCGTCGTCGTAGACTTTAGTCGTCGCGTGTACAGTACCCGATATACGCGCATTAAGCCGCGCCAACTCCCCGCGCCCGGACACGGCGGTCCGGCGGCCTATTGCGGGCCAGCGGGGGGTGAAGATGCGTTGATCCCCCGCGCGGGCCGGCAGCGCGCAGCGCCCGGTGTACCAGTTGCCTTCAAAATCAATAGCGGGGCGGTGGGGGGACGGACGGCCGGAGTGCCGCGGTGCGGTGCGGTCGGCGGGAGCGGCGCGCAGCACTCGTAGGCGGCGGCGGCGTAAACACACGGCGCGCCGTGCGGGCGATCGGCCCGCGAGCGTCTTCGCCGCCGCCGGTTTCTTCGGCCCCTGCCGCCCCTCAAACGACGGTTCTCACGAAAAGACCGTCGAAAAAAATACTCTCTCCCTCTTCCATCGACCGCCGACGTCTCGTGTATGCGTAAGCCTAAGGCCCTTTTTATTAGAGCCTATCTCGGCGTGTTATTATATTTTCTTTTCTTCGCGGATAATAATAATCACTTTTTTTTTTCTTTACGATTATTATTATCATTTTTTTTTATTTTTTTTTTTCATTCGTTTTCGCTTCCCCGTGACATTATGCAAATGACGCGATAATAACGCTGCCGCCGCACGTGGTTAAGGAAATACTATACCCGATCCCATCCCACGTGCGCACATTTCGCTCGTCTACCGATCGCAGCTATAACTCTTAAGCGCCCTTAAGTGCTCCCGTCATTCAGACACCGGTGCGAGTACATAGACTTAAACCAGGGCCGAATTTCGGTGGGTGGTGGTGGCGAGTGCGGTAACCCGCTAACGATTTCGGATTTCGCGTTATTCCGCGCAACCCATAACTTCTTAAGTGAAAGTCGCAGTAATAATATTAACATTGTCGGGTCTGTCTAAAATTATTTTTCGTCAAATTATTGTACAGGTGACGTTGATATTGTTTAACAACATCAATTATACCGTATCTATAAAAGCCACGTTTTCACATAGTGGTTTCTTTATTTTTTTTTTCTTTTAATATTTTCATTTCTACGAGTACATAAATATTTTGTCAGGGAATTAAATATCGATAAATCCCTCCGCGAACCGCAGTAAATTTTGCCGTCATTCACTCGGTAAAATAATAATTTTTGTCTTAAGCTTATAGAAGAGTGCCTCAGAGTACCGTCGGAACTCCGAAAACACACACACCCGTAAGTACTATGTAGCCCGTTAAAAAAGACAAAGACGGCAAAATATGTTATGCTGTGACCTCCTCTTACAGAATGTATACGTGAAGCTATACAAACAATCGGGGATCTATACAAACATTCGGGAAGCTAAGTCCCAACAAGTCCTGACATTTTTCTCGGACGACTGAGAACAACTTCGTAATAATAATACAGCTTGTGTCAAGTTGTCGAATGTTCATGGAAAAAGTTGTACATGTAGACAAATAGAAAAAAAAAACCAAGGACATTTAAAAATATAGCGACAGATAATTCAAAGCTAGCTGAAAACTGTTGTTAAAATTTAAAAGAACGCCAAAGTATTCGATGCAAAGCTCAGGTCCAAAATTATTTATTGACAAATTACAATGATATACACGAAATCGATTTTATCGACAAGTTACCTAATAGAACGTTCCCGAGTTTTCCCGAAACGGTTTTTATTTTCATTCGGATTTTCCACAAGTAGTGTACACGAGTGTAGGGAAGAATTAAAAACATATTTCCTTTGCGACGCATTTACTGGTCAGACAATTCGACAAGAATGTTTCTATGTACAGAAAAACAAAACACACACATTTAATTTTAAAACCAAAATATTCTTTAATGTTTTCGCACAATTGTAATATTATAATATTATTTAATACCGAGTGTTGCAGTAAGTTTCGACCCGGTTTCTATAGTTTAGCGAACAAACTGTTTTGGCGATATATTTTAATGTTATATCGCGTGATAACTGACCGCACTTTTCGCCAATCGAGTTGTGGGTAACAGCAAACGATTATATTTTGAGACATTGCAACTGAGTAGTAAACTACGAAAAAATAACGCGACAAAATCGTACTGCATAAGTAAAATAAAAATAGAAATTGCGGCCAATATTCGCAAAAAGGATTTAATCGAATCTTCGTCAGTTTATTTTGTAAACTCATCGCCTATATAAACTCCCGCAACGTCAATAATAATTGTTTTCGTTCGTCGGAGCTTAAATAGGTTTAACCGCATTTCGTAATGCACGTAATGTTTCCGAGAAACTTGGTTTCACTCTCCCATCCAGCCTTACCCGCGATACGACTAACAATTTAATTGTCATCATTATTATCGAATGTCAAACACCGAGTCCTTTTCTTTTTTTCTTTTTTTTCAATAAGACTGTTGCAGTTCGAAATTATATCGGTCGCATATCATTTAGGTCCGAGCGAGATTCGCGATGTATATTATGACAAATAGAAAACATGGGAATGGTTTCATTAAAGTCGAATGATGTTTTGAAAAACGTATGAATAAAAAAATGTATCGAAGAGTGTAAAAACAACTTGCAGTAATATTTCAAAACCGTGTTATCAAAGAAAACTAGAAACGAACTTAAATCTAAAATGTTTAGATTTTCATACGCATTCTGTTGATATTTTATCGATAATCTGCGATTGTAAATTAACCAGATTATCTGTACTTCGGCGTCATTCGCTTGTCGTTTGTCGACGTCTGTCTATTTTATTGATGAAATTCGAATTTCACTGCAGATCGCCGGATGATATTTATTTCATATATTTAATAAAAACTATTTATTTAGAGTTCCATTAATCCCATTCCATTCCATCGACGTTAGTCGAATGAAGTTATATACGAGTTTGTGGTACAATATCATTTTGTTTTAGAATCCCTTCCACTAATTTTCAACCGTTTTTTTTTTTTTTTTTTTTGGTTCATTAAAGTTACGTCCCTTTTGCAACTTAATTCCTTTAATTCTTTGTAACTTTATCCTTGTTCATATGATCAAAGTCTATTGTGATTCATTGAGTGTACTTCATCATTGTGTCTTCCTCTGCCGATAGGATCCTTCCACGGTGCAACTCGTTAAGCTATCGTGACTTAGGAATACCGAAGACAAAACGGTTTATGTCCATATAATATATTATATTCCGAGAGTAGAATTAAATCTAAGGGTGTTCCTTTTCGGGCAAGATGAAAACAAATAATTGATATTATATCTTTTTTCTTTTTCTTTCTATTTTTTTTTTTTTTTGCCAAATTTTCGGGAACATAAATGATCCGCGTGGGAAACTTTACGGTATAATAAAACTAGTATTGTTTTCAAGAAACTTTATAAATTTGGTGAAAAAAAAACTATTTATTTCTACATTATTATAAGGTAGGTAAATGAAAAATAACTGGGAGTCATATGTGAACCGATACATTTTTAAGATTTTTTATTTTTTTTAACAACCGTTTAGAGTTATTAATATCAATTTTAAACCAGAATGTTTATTTATTTTTTTTTTTACGTCATTCAATGATGTAGGTACAGGTTTTTTTTTAGTTTCATCGTTATATATACACATAAAAAGTCACGGTGTTATTATAACGTTTTTTTGTCATTAATCTTGATTCTATTAAACCAAGTAGACGAAGTATTCGCACCGAGGACTGAGTCGTTTCCACCGCGTTCAAAACAGTTGATTTTTTTTTAGTATACAAAATACAAAATAATAATAATAAACCGTAACAAATTACCGTTCCGAAAGTATAAGTGACTCGTTGGAACGGCGCGGCGGTGACGGATTACCAAAATTTATTTCAGAATCCCGGTGATTTACGCGCAGTGTTTGTCGTCACCAACAAAAAAAAGAAAGTTATTTTAAAAAAAACTCTATTATTTATTTATTTTATCACAAAAATTATAATCATTACCAATTTAGATCGTCACGACCCAAAAAATCATAGGCATGTATATGTTTTGTACATTGTAAATTTTATTTTACAACGTTTATTCATATTGTATAATATAGATCAGTGATTCTCAATCATTTTCGTCCCGACACTAACCCCTGATCGAGTTAACTGACTGTCAATTTCCTTTTCCTGTCAAACTAAAAATGGGGGGAAATTTTCATAAGTATATGCGACAGTCTTATAAATTTAAATGAAAACTCTTCAACTCCTACCGCCCGCCTGGGAGTTCGCTAATGCACTCTAGGAAGCGGTGGCGTCCCCGTTAAATACCACTGACATGGAATATAGAAGTATATTATGCAAAAAAAGTGTGACGTACTTGACATCATGGGAGACCACATTAAGCTGTAGATGGGAAATTTGAAAGGTATACAGACGAATCGAGGGTACTTTGATTTATACACAGAAATCATGAATAAAAAATACGGACCTACTTCGCAAGTGGGTGGGCCATTGTTGTAGGAGAAGAGTAAAGAACATTGAATAATGAAAAACGAATCTGAGCGGAGTCCGGTTAATAGTGGTGCTTTGTCAACAATATATATGTCACATTGTAGTGAAATAATTACATATATGCATTATTAAATATCTTCTTTAATAATATTCGTTTAATATTCTATCTATTTTTCTGTCTTTCCGCCGGTTTTACCATATTTTTCCCATTTATTGGGAAAACTCCTGGGAAAATCAAAAAATGACCTACTTTAAGTACCTCCCCAGAAAAATTCCTTTTCAGAAAAAGTGCTATAATTCATAATTCGGAGCAAGATTTCCGGTAGAATTTGTGTACATAGTATTAAAAAAGACGGCCAAGGAAATGGGAACGGGTGTAGCCACTGTTATAGATAATTTAATACAGTGTAAAAAGAAGGCCGTAATACATTTTAACTAAAACCTACATTTCTTATAATTTCCCGGCGTTCCTCTGTTTTTTCGGGTTTTCAAGTTTGATTAGAAAACTCTTGAGAAAATCGAAAAATGACCTCTTTAAGGTACCTTCCCACACCGATTTTCTTTCAGAAAAGATGCCAGAATTAAAAATTTGAGCAAGTCTTCTAGTAGAAAAGTTGCACATAGATAAAAAAAAAAGTTAACATCTTTGTAGAACTATACACTTCTTTGTTTCACTCAGACTCCAAAAATAAAAAATAAATATATTTTTAAAACTAATAAACTACTCGATATATTGTGATACTCAGAATCTAAAATCATTGTAATCAAAAATTTTATTATCTTATTGTAGTCAAAAGTAGTCCAAAAACAATTAAAAACAAAACTGATGTATCGTCATAATTGTTATAATTATTTTTTTAATTTTATAACAAAACTGTTAGAAACCTGGCCATTTTTTCAATAAATAAAGTACCAGTGAGCAAAGATTCCATATTTTAAGGTATTTAAGGCATGAAAAAGTCACTAACCTGAGCCACTCAGTCTTAAATTACACTAACTGAAAAAATATTTTTGGAGCGGTCATTTTTCAAATAGGTTTTCTGTTTCCAAATGGACTTATAGTAAATTTCATAGGATACCTGTTAGTGTGAGATTTTGAATATTGTGTCCACTGTGTAAAATCAATGGCAATTATTGGTTTGTAACAAAAAATGTTATTTAATATAGGAAATATACTCACCAGTGAGGGAGGGGAGAATAACTAATACATTTTAGTATTTGAGGGGAAGATATAGCCTCTCTGCTGATACAGCTTTTTTGAAGGGAGAGTGGAGTGGACATGTGCTGGGTATTCATTAAATAAAAATGTCCGTATTTCCGAGAAATCCTTAAACACATCTTAATATAAAATGAATAGCTTATTCGCTTCATTTTTTTGATTTAATCAAAATTTTCACAAATATTGGCGAAAACTAAATTCGTTGAACTTAATAAAAGCTATAAAAAAAAGCTCCATTGCAATACACGGGGGATTTCAGTGCGATCCTAACTTAACATTTTTCCCGACCGATAAATAGTCTTTTGTCGACCGGTCCAACACTCGAAATCTGAAAAACAATACGGTTTCATTCGTAAAAGAAAAAAAAAAAACAACTACGACCGTTTCGAATTCGAACTGTTCGATGAGCGGTGGGTGGAAAGGGAGGGGTGGTGGGCGTTGCGCAATCGGTGTTTTACTGTGTACGTTGACGAAAGTTATGACGCGAACTCGCGTAAACTACGCGAACTTTTTATTTGTTTTGGAAACGGCGATGGTCTCAAGACACTCATTACGCGGCCGTTAATAATTCAGTGTACGCATCGGCCGATACACGCTCGGCGCCCGGCGTGATAACGGCTCTACGTCCCATAACTAATTTAGTTAATTAAACGGACGTTGACGGATCAACAAACACCGGGCATTTCGACAGCTAAATACGCGCCTGTTACGCGCGCGTTCGTTAATAATGCCGTTGCGAAACTATCGACACGGCGCGGTAATTATACCGATAATAACGTTATTATACACGCGCTTGGATTCGGTGTTTGTCTAAGAAAACATTTGCGTACGATTTGCGATATTCCATGCGGCAGCGTGTATCAAACATAATATTCGCGACTGCGCTGTAGCAAACGTTTAACGCGATCTCGGGCGATATCGAAGAAGTCTAACGGACCCCGTGTGTAGGTACGTGTGTGTGCACGTGTTAACACGTACACGTATACGCAGATTGAATTTATCTCGCGTTATTTGCCGTTAAAATGTCCGCGGCAACACAAGTTTACGATCGGATGATCCTGCGTATAAACGTGTACAACAAGCGTAAGGTATTTTCGTTGAGATCACAATCGTTTCGTTCTGCCGTCAACGGTCGTATAATACTTGCGCGGATTTCTAAACCGCAACGGTCATCACAACATTGTATGCGGCGGGAATTCGCTCAGGATTCGACAATTTTCCAGAGACGTTTTTCTTCCGGCGGATCCGGAAACGGATCCACCCCGTGGGTTTTTGTGTCGAATTCTCTCCGTGCACGCAGAGACATTGCACTGAATCAAATCGAAAGTATTAACGTGTGTCCATACTATTGTCTGTTATTTATTCAAAACGTTTTTCGGAATTCCTGAAAGTTCCCACTCCCCTCCCCATCCCCACCAGACATTTTCGTATGAAACAATCACGCACGGTCGTTCGTTACTAAAAACGCTGATTTTAGTGTCACAAAACTTTATTCGACACTTTTTTAGTTCTGTTTTGCGATACAACATTATATCAAAAACACGTACTTAAGATAGGTAATGTTTTAACCGGAGCATCATTTGATTTTATAACTGAGCCGTTTGACAAAAACTGAAATATAATAAAACATTTTTTTATGATACAGTATAGGTAAATTGGAATTTTAATGACAATATTATTGGATACTGTGGACGTTTGAATCGAGCCATAGTTTTCATTCGGTTATTTTTATTTTTTTTTTCTAGGTATTTATACGTGTTTCGGCACACGCACATATAAGGGGGGAAAAAGTAATTGAACGTTTTTCGATAACATTAAAACCAACCCCTCTCGTCACTTTTTTTCAGTTTTTTTTCGTGAACCGACAAACTTCGCCCTCGTCGCGTATAACACGTGCGCGGTCACGTGGCAATTTAATAATATACGGTCACCGTGTTTTGTATGCTAAAAGAATAAAATACAAATATTATATAAAATGACATGTTTAATTGGACTTTGACGAATCAATTTCCCCGCGAATAACATTAAAAATACAGTATGGAGTTCGAGACTGATGGGCGAAATTTCATATTTTACGTTTAAAAAAACATAATTGTGAATAAAATGAATACAATTTATTACTATGTGTACCTAAGTATTATGTGAAAGGATGTGTTTTATTTTTAAATTTTGAATACTAAAAAACCTTAAAAACAAATAAAAAATTTATTCTCCAAAAAATCTGCAAAAAAATGTCAGTAAATAGCTAAGCTCAGTCACTCTAAGAAACAAATGGTTCCTCTACCTTTTACGTTATCTTTGTAAAACAATTAACACCCGAATACTATCATATTACAATACTTTAATTTACTGTAATTATATAATATATTATCTCCAAAAAATCGGTGCATTTGTATCGTTAAATGAATAGTAGGGATAATCGGGTACTGGGATAGTAGGGGTAGTCAAACCTTCGAAAGAAATATCTTTGATCGTAATACTAAAATAATTTATAATATACATATATACTTCTTACAAACAAACGGTGCATTTTTATCGTTAAATTAAGGACAGGAATAGTTGAGTATTAGGACAGTAGGGGCAGTCGAAACCTCGAAGGATTATCCTTGATCCCATTGCAATTTATAATATACGTTCGTTGCTGTTTTTGGATTCAGAGCGTAGCGAGGGATCTATTATAGTTTTACTATAATTTGTATGTTAATGTGTGCGTGTGTGGCGAAAAATGAACACTGATAAATGTATGGTGTTATAATTCTTTACTTTTAAATTTGTAGGGTTTATATTTTCAACCAGAAATATAAATCCAATAAAAAAAAATGACACGAGATCTTTTTTGTTTAAATTTTAATTTAGTTGGTAATTGAGAAAGTAATTTTTTTATTATCCCTGTATTTTTTTAATAATTGAATAAAATGAAAAATAAAGCATAGAATGTACAAAAATAATACTTTTATTATTTTCAATTTTGTTTTTTTGTTGTTATTCAGTTTAAAATATTTGCAGAGACTTTAAGTTTTGATTGAAAAAATTATGTTTTCCTTTTAAAAAAAGTGGTAAAATTTGAAAAATATTTGAGATATTTTTGAGCTATTTGTTGATATTTGCGAGTTCTTTATGTAATTTTTATTTAGTAGGTACTCTAGAGATAAAGATGTTTGACCAAACATAAATGCTTAGAAAATGTAACAAGACTTTCATTGTACGTTGATTGCAATGTAGTGCCTGTATTTTTCTTTAATATAAGAGTTTTAATATAAATTTTGACGAAATATTACGGCCTTTAAAAAAATGTATGACCGAATTTTGCTTCAAATTGTTTTCTGTCCCCAGTATCAGTTCTTTTTAATTCTTTTTTTTTCAATTCTCAGGGAAGCGCCATATGTTTTATTCTTGTGTCTGTAAACAACATTTTTACCAGAAGTCTAGCTACAATCGTAAACTTTATAGGAACTTTCTTGTAGTATTTTTTTTATTTATTTGGTGTTTTGGGGTTATTTTGTTTTATTCCCTTGTAGTTTACTTAAGAAATGTGAAAAACTGGCAATTCGTTGAATAATTATTGCTCAAACTTCTTATTTCTGACATCAAAAGAAATAATACTCTACTAAGAATCGTTTTACGTTAGCGATGGTTTATTGTAGCATACAGATATAAATTAAATTACTCAATATATTTTTCCTTCCAAATTCTTTCCTAAAACAGTAGCATACCCGTAAGCAGTATCAACTTTTCTTAATTTCCAATTGCTTTTCTGGGAACTTAATGTTTTTTTTTTTAAAAAGATTTTTCATAGTGCGTCAATGAACATCTCTATTAGTTTTGCTTATTAGAAAAAAAATTTACTGATTGTACGTTTGATTATAATAATATTATAACATAAATTATACAATATTATATTGTACATTAAAACATTATTCTCGTCCAAGGGCATTTTATCGGCACTTTATTAACACGCACACGCTGGTCATCGTACACCGCCAGTTAAAACGTTATTTATTTAAACAAATTTACATTCACGCGTAACCTTATTAAAGGCAATTCCGTCAACAGTATACATAGGTACGTGTGACGGAGAGAAGTGCTAAACGAGAAAGGCGAGCGAGTGAGAAACAGAGTGGCGAACACCGGGGCGAACTAAACGGATTCGAGTTAACGCATAAATTTGCATACACATCGCCACCGTCACTGCACCGGTGTAGGGCCGGTGTGAGGGAGGAGAAGGAGTCACGAAAGCCCCCGAATTTGGTGTGCAAACAAATAAGCCCGTTCGGGTGTGCCACAGCAAAGGGTCTCCCCGTCGGGATGAAAGAGGATTTCAAATACGTTTCGCTAAGTGAATGCAATATAATATTCGTATATATTATGTGTATTATATAGGTACTATTCAATTTAGCTTTAGAAAAGTGTTTCAGAAAAACTTATCACTTGTTTATATATATATATTGTCTATATATATATAGACCGACAGTTCAAACATTCGGCAAACGGGGTCAAGTTCGGATCATCAATCATATTATATTATAATAATTTTATTGTAGCATAAATCGAGATTTTCGATAGTGTTATCGTTCCGTCGTCGGCAAACCATATAAATCGAAATTTCCGTCGATGAATGGGCCCGAATACAGTTACCTGTAAACATTTCGTATTCGAGTACCTACATACTTACTTCACAAAATTAACCTTAATAGTACAAATCGTTTATTGAACTTGGGCCATATTTCAGTATTTGATGGCATTTTTATCGTTCAAAATGTTTATACCCACATGACACATATTACGCATATTACACATATTTAGATTTTAGAGATATATTTATACGATTTGTGCGCGCTCTTATAATTAGCATAATATAATTAAATAATATTATTACTGTGAAGTTATCTGAAAATGTGTTTAGATAAATTATTGGACGTCGGCATTATATTATAACAAACGAACAACAATTGGTTTATCTTTTTTTTTTACGTTATACGTTCAGATTATATAACGTAATACTAATTCATGTATAAAAACCCAAAACAAAAAAAAAATCACTATACGTAGTTCCACACTTATACCTACATAATATTATGTAATACAAATAAATTTCCGGCCGTTGTTTATTTTTAAGTTTTAATATAACGGCAATGAAATAAGAGGGTGTTAAGTCAAGTTGGCAGAAAAATTAATAATTAAGAGTTTACAGATTGTACATTTAATATTGTGTCAAAACGGAATGAAATTGGAATTAATAATAGACTACATGTGATGGTATATAATACAAATAATTAACCCATCGTTATTTTTTTAACGGGACGCCATACCCGCATATTGTGCGTAACAACCATGAGACATAATACATTTTTGTTCAGAAAAGACAACTCAGTGGTTTCGATGGTGAATTTACTTATATTAAACTTAAAAATAAAAACATTAACAGTGTTGCGTAAATTTTTTTTCGTTATTTTACTTTTTAAACGAGATATAAACATTTTTAGATCATGGTATTTCACACGATTATTTCTCGCTTAAAAATTAAAACTACAGAAAAAAAAATAAACAACGACACGACACAGATTCGTATTTTTATGTTTTATAATGGGTTAATTCATTTTAATATTGAACCTAACAGCACATAGTCTCCCATGCTGAACGAAAATTTGCTATATCACGGAGACCATACATACGAGTATCACGACCCCTTGTTAATATGTAAAAAAAAAAAAAATATATAAAAATAAAGTTTATGTAACAAAAACCAAAGTTAAAAATACAAATGAATTGTATACACAGCTATCAGCGGTAGTGGCATGAAGTTCTTTTTTTTATGTTTCAGTGAAATTTCAGAAAACCGCATACAAACCCAAGCCCAGAGTAATCAAAAAACTGTATACCATAAAGCTTCTAGATGTTCCTGCAGTATTTCATCTTTCTGTTAACACAGCATATGTTAAAGTACCACAAATACAACCCGCCTAATTTGGTCATGCAGCAGCTGCTTCATAGGACACCCATCCACGCCGTCAATGCCTATAAGTATTAACTTAGAACTTTTTTACATTTTAACGCCCAACGCCTAACGAAGCAGTGTATTTTGTCGATATTCCCATATACTCGTACACAACATAATATTATACCCATTACCCATAAAAACGATGGTTCGCTAAAAAAAAATATATATATAATATAGTGTCGATGAGTATAAAATCATCGTCAGAGGCACTTCGGCTATATTCGTGTATTACAACGTCCGCCCACAAACATTCCAAAAAGGTGAAGTCGTTATGGATTACCCTGTTGCACGTGTGAATTGAAAACTCGAATACAAGTGCACATAGGTAATAATTATAATAATATATTATATGAATGCGTACGAGCGATCAGCGTTAGGTGGTTAAGTATAAGTTTTATTAAATAGGTACCTCGTTATAATATTATTATTACAGGTATATAATATGTTGCCATATAGCACAACCATTGGGACCATTGCTTTCCTAGAAAAATACGCCATAAGTTAAAAATAAAAGAAAAAACTCGCTTATTCATATGGCATACTGTTATAAGTGGGAAGTTGGAAAGGTGGTAGGTATTAAGGATACACATATTAAGTATTTATAGAGTATAGTTTAAGTCTATATGTTTATACGCAATGATAAATGATTACTGAAAATCGATTCTGAGCGATGTTTGATTATAAATATTTTTAAATACCGTAATTTGTACGATTGAAAAAATCATTCAAAGAAAGTTGTAAAATAACCTCCCTTATACATTGAATAAACTACAGCATTCGTTCCCGGAAAATACCCCTGAACCTGATGACCGGCAATGGATTTTGGCGGGTGAGAAATATGTCCACAGACATAGAAACATATATTGAAAAAAGAAGTGAAATTCAAATCTTTTTAGTCATAATTCTGTAATATTATCCTTCAAAAAGACTATTAGCAATAATCAATCAGTCGAATTTCCGCCGAATTTTCGAATTACTTAATTCACGATTCCTATAATTAAATATATTGAAATTTCAGTATTTAAAATAGCTTAATACAATACAAATATAATAATTTTCGGCGTTTTTACTTAACACAGACTACAGAGTATGGATTAAAATGTAAGATAAATTGTTGAAAACCAATTTATCCTTTTTCGTTATTATTCTATTACGTTTTATCCAATTACAAATCTAAGTATATAGGAAAACGCAGACTAACGTTGAATGGCGTCAAGTTTTACAGGGTGTTGTAATTTTTAGAAAAGTATAAAAACTTTATACACCGACCAACAAGGTTTTTTTTAGTTTAAGAGGACAGAATACTTATATTTAGTGTTGGGATTAATATTATAAATTTATGAAAAACAGTTGAATATCTAACCCATTTATACTTATAATATGCAGTGGCATAAGCAAAGGGGTGTTATGGGTTATATTCCTCCTAACTCATTTAAACAAACAATAATTATGAGTATTCATGTAGTAATATTATCTTAAAATGTTATACTTGAGCCATACTATAGGGGAAAAAAACTTATTTATTGATTACAGATTATTTTTATTTTTTTTTTTTTTTAATCTGGCTTTTAAATTTCCATTGTCGAGTAAAATAAAACAATAAACAATAAGGATTCTAATGATTTATTCATGAATCGTGAATACTATTGACTACATTCTATCCTATTGAAACTACCTGGGCACTACACTGCTCATAGAATTATGTAATTTTGTTTTTGTAAGATCCGTGATAATAATTGTCGGGTTTAACGTGCGCGATGTCTTATGATATTATATAGTAAAAACGGCCGCGTAAACGAGTTTGCTCGCGAGCTTTTGCAGCGAGCGACACTTAGGGAAAGAAAACAAATAAAGCTTTAGAAATAATGGCTTATACATGTTTCCACTTATACCCCTCCACAAATTCATTGCGGTGACCCTTGTGCGGGCGCATACAAGGAAAGGAAGCGTGGATCGTGACCCTTACTCGTTTGGCGGATTTTCTAGGGGTTACCAAAGTGTTTTGCGGGAGAAAAAGGAGGTAGGTAGGTATATAAAAGCGTTTAATACATTAACGAGTAAAGGTATTAAATGTAAATAAAAACCAAATAATAATTAAAAAACTAAAAAGAAACATTTTCAAAGTCATAAAACCTGACGGATAATGTGTTCAATAAATTGTAACGGTTAATGCGCACCGACAAATTAAGAAGAGCGAGGGCGAGAAATAAAGAAAGATAGACAAAGATAGATTGAGCGAGAAAGACAGAGAGAGAGAGAGAGAGAGAGAGAGAGAGAAATAATTACAAAATAATTAATTCTAACCAAAAAAAAAAAAAAATTAAAAAAACTATATTGCATAGTCGACTAATAATAATGTGAAATCTTGCAAACAGCCACGCTAACATTTTGTCCTACTATAATATTTTTGTGGTTTTTTTATTTTTGGAAATTCAAATGCCAATTTTTTAAATATTGATTCAGACCAAAAATAAAACCATCTTAAATGTATGATAATAATAATAAACTGATATAACCTTTCGTTCCACCCAGAAATAAAAATTGAATTCGCTAGGATGTTTTCTCGGGCACAGTAGTGACGTAAATGAGTAAGATACCCTAAAAACTCCACACCATGAGTACGAGAGTGTCTGAGGTAATTATTAAACACATATTTATTATGTCAGTCTTAGAAACGCACGTTATAACAAATTTTGGTTCAACAGAACTGATTTTGTACTTGTTCTTACGACCTACAGTAAATTATCTTATTATTAAATTTTAAGTGTAGAACATATCACCTGTCTATTTGTGTTTGTGGCAGTGGTTTATTTCGAAATTTCAGTTCTTATACGAGATATAATCGTTTGTAAACTGTAATATTTCGCACATTCGTACTTATTCAAAAATTAAAATAGTACACAAAAAACCGATCAAAATTAATATAGGTTATGTTCACTTTTTTATGCTTGGCAATAGATCGATTTACTAATATATTAAAATAAACAGCACAAAATTGGTTCTATTGAACGCAAGAATATACTATGCCCTGCGTTTGAATGGACGTAGATAACAAATTCATAAAATGTGTATTGAATTAATAAAACTGTGCGTATTTTTCCACCAATTCACTAGTGCAATCATTTAAAGTATAACAAACGTGCGGGGAACAGGGAAATTCACTGTATATTTTTTTTTCGCGTTGTGATTAAAAAATATAATAATATATAGTTCCGCATTTAGACCGATATAAAGTTTAATTTAAATACAATTTATTAACTTAACGAGTTATTTTGTTTTAACAGACGCGAATATATTGGTATCCATTAAACAGCTACTATAAATTACATTTTAATTTATACGATTTAATAAAATATATTTCTATTCTATTTTTGAGTTTAAAAAAAAAAAAATATCATTTATTTTTGAAACGCATATTGATATTTATTAATAATAATTTATATTCGTACAGTTAAATATATTTTACGATAGTTGTATAAAAAATATGGTACTGGGACACTGATACTGATAAGGATCAAGATCAGCTGTTAAGTTACGTTAGGTGGACTAGGTTTGGCGTCCCAAATCCACCTTTTTTACTACTCATAATTAAGATACATAGATAACTTACACGAATACTTTTGTTATAGCTATATCTCCAGTAGCAGACAGAGTGAGGGTAATAAGAACATTTGTCTCTCTCCCCAAAAAATAGTAGTATAGTATGCTTTTTTATTTTTGTTATACAGAGGTAAAACGAATATCACCTTTTATTGTTGCAATTGGTTTTTTAGTTTTGCCCCTTCAAAATAAAAAATAAGGTCTGGATATGCCACTAGAAAGGCCACTAGAAGGTATATAATACCTTCTTTTAGTTCTTTTACTTTATAGTTTTGAAACTCAGCCGATCTCTACACTATAATAATATTTTAAGAAGTTTAGTTTTATCAAAATTGTTTACCAACATCGTGTTCATCGTTTCGTGTTACTCTTATCGGAATTTGTGGCGTAAAACCTCGAGTGTTGATCTTTGATTCTATATGCATAATAATACGTCGTTGAAGAGAATGATACGATGCGTATGCAAGAGCGCAAAAATAAAAAATAGGGAGTTTTTTTTTTACGCTGACGATAAAAGACCGAGAACGTGAACGATCTCATAAAGTATTCACCTCGCACGCCCAGAGATTTATTCTTAGTTAAAATTTTCGCTTTTTCTCCCGGGCGTACGCACCACCCTTTTTGTTTTTGGTTATTTTTGTATATTTTCGCGTATTTTTTTTTTCTGTCATGTTATTTAGGCCATAGTAAATAATTTCAACAGGACGAACGACCCCCCGGAGCAGATGTTTTGCTTATTTTTTTTTAAGAAAACCCTATTTATTTTCGGTTACGGCGCGCATAACAACTTTTTTTTCGTATTTCAACGACGCGAAAACTCACGAATAAATAAAATATCGATTTCTGAGTCTGTTTTTTTTTTCAAAGTGAATATAATGACCGAGTTTTTGAATTTCGACCCGCTTTTTTTTTTTTTTTTTTTTTTTTTAATGACACCAAGGCCAAGTTTTCCGTTAAATAATTGTCTGTGTATACGTTAGTTTGCAGAAAATAAATACAAATTATATATTTCTATTCGATAAACAGTATCGTTATTATATAATATTGTATAAAAGTAATTGGAAGACATAGAAAATTATTATGTTATTATTATCGATTTCTGTTCAAATGGCCCGACGCGCAGTAGATGCAATTTTTTAAACCGCCTTTCGCAGCTTATACCGCGGTATAACCTAAAGGTTACCTGACTATTCTGATCGCGCATATAAGGACAATCGAACCACTTCTTCCGAAACTAAATGCGATTTCTTCCGTTATCGATGTAGACAAAATATATAATAAATATTTACAGAAGCACGGCTACATTGTGACTGCTGTATTTATCTAGATTAATAAAATTTTAAAATTTTAAGTGAAAATTTTAAAACTCAATTACAACATTGAAAATTATAAAGGCATTATTTTCGTAAATTTGATAGTTCTTTCAAAGATTTTTTTCGTTTGTGTTCATTTATTAAAACAAATTATTGGGATAATCAAAAAACGACTTTCTTAAATACCAACAAGATTAAACATTTAAAAAAAAAGATCTCTAGTCGTTATCATGAAGCATTATTTCTGAGAGAAAACATAAAGCGTAAACATTAAAACAAAGAAGTCGTAACGGTGCAAATTTATCAGTTTTCACTTTACGTTTTTTCCGATTTTTCTAATTATTATGAAAACTAATTGGAAGATAAAAAAAAAACGATTTACTCCGTAAATAAATAAATCTTATAAAAAAAAACGATCTCTAGGTCTCTAAACTAACTTAACCTTTTGATTAAAACAATATTTCTAGAAAAAAACATTGTTCACAAAAATTAAAAAAATAATAAAATTGACAACGCTATGGCACGCGGTAAATATTTGCCATTTTATCTACAATTTTATTTCCGGTTTTCCCACATTATTTTGAAAACTCCTTAGAAAATCCAAAAATGACATCTCTAATGCACCGATTAATTAAAATTTCCTTCAGAAAAAGTTCTACACTTGATACAGAAAAAAAAAAATAAAACACCCACCTCAGTAAAACCAATAGATCCTTCGCTAAAGTATGTTAGCCTGGAACCACCATGCCAAAATTTTGACTTCAAATACGACATAACCGATTTAATACGGTATGTGACAATTTGTAAATATAGAAAGAAATTTTTTAACCACTCTATAACGCCAGGAAATCTATTTTTTACTAGTGGTGCCAATGTGCCATGATAACGTTAACCGGGCACCAGTGTAACAGTGTGTAATAGTGATAAACTCTCAGTGCTGAATGTCCACTTGATAATATCGAAAAAAGAAGACGACAAGGACAGCCACAATTTGTACAATAATTCTTAGCTCAGTTTGCTTTGTTGTATGTCAAAGTCAAAAATTTGAAAGGGAGAGCCTCTTAAGAACGTTTGCCCCCCCCCCCCTCAAATGTATTCCCGATCTTTTATTGTTAACGAATAAATAATGGTGACTGGAGGGGTGAAATGGCTAAAGTCAGTGCCACCTTAAGTTATCGATTCAGATGAAAAAAAAAAGTAGTCGTAAAAGTGACGGAGTTATAAACCTAACAATCCATGTAAAAGTATTGTATTTTTTAACTAAATACCCCAGCACCACAAACTGTGTTTAAAAATAAGCAATTAATATATTTTACGATTCGCGGCTTTTCAATTAAATAACACGAACATATCGATGCACAACAGTACGCCAAGACAGAAGTAATGTATACATATCTAATATTATACTAGTAGAGACCAGACGACTGAATGACGTACTAAACACAGAGCCCAAACCCCGGGGTCAAGAATATTGAAATTCAGCACTGAGAGTTTATCACGATTTCACATTGTTACAATGTTCATTATTTATAATTGGTGGGGCCGGGGTAACGTTACTCACTACGTAGAACTACTAACGTACCGCCACTAGTGAAACACCGAGTTTGTTGCGTTCTATGGCGGTTACCGAAATTTTGTTTGCAGTTACGAATTTGTTAAATAATGCGTTACGTAACGCCAGTAGGTTTTAAAGTCGACATTTTGACACGGTTATGCTGGGGTAACGCACCTCAAAAACATTCATCGTAGTAAAGCCAATAGGTCCTTCGTTTCATTCCGAATCTTAGAATATATGATAGGTGGCTAATATCTTCTACCCGTTCAAATGCCCCTGTAACACAATTTATTTAAATACCACGAAACATTCGATTTATACGCTCTCGCGTCCCGCAGAATACTGGTGACCAGGAAGAATTTTCAATTTTATTTCCTGCGTAAATTATCCGATAATCTTGCCGAGGACACGGAAACAGTTACCCGCGGTAAAATGGCAACTAATGAAAAATATATACGTGCTGTACGTTTAGACATAATATAGATACATATATGTATGCATAACTTTTACACGGGGGCCCAGTTATAATACGTGCCGTAATGCGCATTTACGAATACATAAATATATTATCTGCCGGGCAATACATTGTCATAATAAAATTCCCGCCGAGTGGTATAAAATCAATAGTCGAGAATTTTAAAACCCGAACCTCATGTGATTTTTCCGCCATACTCGTAATGTCACTGTCGCGTCAAAATAGTATCATATTATTACGTTAATCAATTTTACGCGACACTCTAATTTACATAAAGTATATTATTACCTGTCTCGATTTGCGAACGGTATAAATATTACCGAGCTCTCGCGTCAAAATAGAACACCGTAGGCGGGTTTTATTTTCGTTTTCCGCGGGCGGACAATCCCGTTAAGTGGCCTGTACGCAATAATAATAATAATAATAATAATAATAATATTTATGGACGTGGTGATAGACTCACGTCAAACGCATCGGCCGAAAACGTAAAACAATAATATACAATAGTGTTTTAACAACTCGACATCATACTGTGCGTATTTATGTACGCACGACCTTTACGGACAAAGAGCAACTTGCAGATTCATATTGATTCCGGCCGTAATAGTTTCGTACCGTCCCATTACGGGCGTGAACTGAGGGGGGGGGAAGGCGATTGGCCTCCGTGTCAGAATCATAAAAGCACGTAGCCCTGCCCTGCTGATATTCTCTAAACTGATTTAAAAAATATATGTATATATACTATATATTGGTTGAGGTGTTTCGGGTTTTGTTTTTTTTTTTTGAAATCAATTCAACTTCAAACAAGTCTGACGATGAAAATACTACAGCAATATTATCGTATACGGTATTCTACCAGCTTGAATAATAGTTCTTCGTAAAAAATTTACGTCATTAATTGAAAACATATTAAAACATCATCTTCTTCGAGGTTCAAAGCGTCCTCTAGAACCGTATTCCAATTTGATCTTACTCCGAGGTCTTTCGAAACTTTCATAACCTCGTTCTCGGTCTTCCGGAGAAATCATTTCACGGGCGAAAAATTGTTCAGTACGAAAATTCATTATGTACTTCGACCTAATGAATTTCAGCTTGTCCGGGCGTGCCCTGTCCGCTGTACAGTCTCTTATTTCCGAAGACTTCTGATATAATATGCACAATAATTCCTCTTTAATGTTTATATTGCACTCATTATTGATTCCGGTGCCCCTATCATGGATCGAAGAATTGTCCTCAAGATTTTTATTTCGAAAGCGATAAGTCGAGTATTTAAGTGGTATTATTTTCCCGAAGTCGTATTATATTATATATGATATCGAAAAACGATTATATAAGGGACTGTAAAAACGAACGGTGAATAATATTTTGGAACGCAACCAGAACCTCGAAAACATTCAATACTACTTTGATTTTTCAGAGGTAGTGAACGGGGTGGTGGTCGGTGTGCGCAGAGCGGGGTGTATTATACGTAGCTGCTGCACGGCCCCGTTCGAGACGTTCTATCCTCTTAAAATATTGCTGTTTTCCGGTTCTTGATGCACACAATTAAACCGTTGGGGGTCCCGGAGGACATTGCCACCGAATTCGCGGGGAAGTTACGGCGAAAACCGATTTACGATTCTCGTCGCCGCGCCGCCACCGCGGGTTCGGTCTATTAATCATTCAGCAGGAGAATTATCATCCCCCGGATTTGCCACACGCGCACGCGCTCTTTCACACACACACACACACACGCACACACACACACACATACACATACAAACATACACACGCGCGCACAACACGTACGTATATAGTCCTGTAAGGAATTCGCGAGTTTGTACTTAAAAAGTTTAATCACCTGTACAAACATACGCACTGGTTAAAACAAACGGCAGTTCCCGCCGAGTCGGTATTATACTTGCAGCGAACACGCGACTGGCAGTTTAACCTGCACCGCCGGCACCGGTAACGTCTAGGAAATATCGTGTTCGGAAAAAATAATATTATGCGTGCAAAGGTCTGTACGTAACACGACGACGTCATACGCGCCGACTTGCGAGAAACTTATATATTGTTTCAAAAACTTTAAAGTAACGACGGGTTTTATTTCAATGTTTTACGTGTTTTATTGGAGTCCGGAAGCTTAATATTCTACTGTCTTTTTATCTTTTTTTTTTTATCATTATTCCAATATAACACTATATATACTCAGAAACTATTGACTATAATTATATATGTATAGTTCCTTCCCCGTGCGGTTTCTCAAAAGAAAAAAATGTACATACGGTCAAACTTACCTGATGTGCAAATATACAGGTTAGAAATATTCTTATTTAAAAAAAATATATATATATGTATATATTATCGTCAAACAAATTCGCATAAATCCAAATAAAACTAAAAAAAATTCGAAAATATCGAATTTCATTATGTAACTGGAAAATTGAAAAATTTGAAATAAATTAATTATTAGATTAATTATTAGTATTCTGTGAAAATTTCAGATTTCTACGATAAATTCAATCCGAATTGCACTATAAAAACAAAATCGTAAATAAGAAAACCATAAACTTTCCCATTTACCTCCCCGTTCTTTTTAAATTGTTCAGTGAACAACAAGAAAAATTAAAAAAAAAAATGACTCAATGCAAAAAATAGAATATTCAAAATAATATAAAACAACTGTTTAGTCGTTTGTTAACAGACACTCATAAAAATAAAAATAATAAGACCATGCATGGTAAAATCACGTCGCTCCACTCAGAATCATAAACCGACAACAATTTCCTTATCGTTTTACATAGACTTTCTGGACAAACTACTACAAATCCGTACTCTGGACGATTGCAGTCGTTGCAAAAAATAGCGATATTTATTTGGACCGACAAAAAATAGCCAAGACAAAATAGCCAGACAAAATTTTATGTGGTTTAGACGTGTCGGATTTTAATTTGTATAACGGATTTTGTTCGATTAACAAATTAACCAAGTTAACCAAGTTTGGGTGCTTCTGAAACAATTTTATTTTACTCAGGGCAAATAAAGCGTGATTAATCCTACGAATTAAACCTATTTTTTCGTACGGAAAACAATTCAAATAATTTTAACGTGCTATGCAATTTTGTATTTCATAAAATGCACACAAAATATGCATTGGTACCTGCTGCGGGTTTTAAATAAACACAATACGAAATCACTAAAATTGATTGATATACAATAGCATAATATTATAGTTTAAGAAAAATTCAATATAATTGGCCTGTTCATTTTTTTTTTTTTCATTGTAAAACTTTTATTTTTTTTTATTTTAAGATAAAATAATTTTTAATATAATATAATAGGAATCGTAACGTTAAATTTTTTCGAAATTTATTTAATATTATTACGTTTTTTTATTATTATTAATATATTAATAGCTATTTCATTACCTAAATATTATAATAGCAAAACTTATAATAAAGGAAAAACTATTAGAAAAATCATTTTTAAAAGTATAGGTAACTAAGTGAATATTAGAGACATTTAATTTAAGTTCATATTTTTAACTGGTTATGTTAAGTTTTTACTATCGGGGTATTATCGGAAGATCGGGTCAAGTGGAATAGTTTAGGACGAAGTTGGCCGACTTCAAATAGTTGGGATGAAGTCAAAGAAAAACAAGAAGATTCAATTTTTATTAAAATTGATTCAAATTCAATCAATATAATGTATACATTTCATAAAATAGTTACCTATGTACGTAATATGACCTAAATGTGTTTAGCCGGAACAAAATAATATTAAAATAAATATGAAAGACCGTCATTATAATTAATTATATACTTTGACTTAAAACTTTGGTAAAAAAAAAAAAAAAATAATGATAACTTTAACGATCTGCGAGACTCAGTTAAAATTATTTTTAACATATTTGGTACCTATATACCCGCCTACAATGTTTTGGCTGCACATTAAAATATTTTAATGTTCATATATCGAGTAACCATTAACTTAAACTATATGTTACTCTAACGCATCTATTATGTCGGTCAATATAATATGCATAGATATTATTAATTTCGACTAATGTTTTAGATTATAATTCGAGTTTAAACCATTATATATAGGTTAGAACTGCAATGTGTACCATTAAAATCTATATACGTGCATGCGTTAAACCAGCGAGTTTACGAGTATAAACCAGAGAAAGTGCAGTATTCCCAAAAGAGTATAGCTATAAAGGTCCTGCACAAGACGAATTATTACATCGATATTCCCGGAGGATTAAAAATAATGTTCAAGTGGAGGAACATTGTGCCGAGAAGTTTCGAACAAAAGTTTCAAACGTGAAGAAATTGCCGTCTGATGCCATATAGGTAAGTCGTCCATAAATAACTGTTAAAAAAAATCCCCACCCACCGAGTAAAAATGCCTACAGATTATTATTAAGACTTTGTATTTTAAGTCTATAATATTTGGTTTACTAGTATAATAACCACGGTACTATAACTGCATGTTTTATCTTTTAACCAACAATGGTTAGAACGGAGATTCTAAAAAACACAATTTTTGTAACGGTAGTTATAGGCTACCCCCAATAGCTACTCATTTTTACGTGTGTACGTCGACATATCATAATTTCGGGTTTGTATATAAATTATTCGTCGTAAAAGAACATTGCCTATCTCGACGTCTGAAAACAACAATTAATAATATACACATTGCCTGATATTGTATACAATATTACGCAGTTTAGCCGGTGTGTTGACGAAATACAACTAATGTTTTCTATGAATAGATCAAAGATAAGTTTCGGTTATTTAAATGACATAAAAGAACCAATTCTAAATTTATACATCACATAAGTACGTTTGTGAGTTACCAAGGTTACACTGTGATTGGAGAAAAAAAAATGTTAAAAAATGACAATAGGCACATACAGCGGAGGATTTAGTACTTTGCCTAGGGGCGGAGGCAATATTTTTTAATATATTATACTATATAGGTACATATTATATATATAATTAGAAAAAAGTATTAACACGTACAGTAAAACGAAATATCTAGGGGATCATCACTCTTATGCCCTCTCCTTCCCTAAACGAAACTTCTGGGTACATACAGTATCTATTATCTACGTATTTACTAAAAAATAGTTCGAAAAAAATATATTTGTTTAATCCGGATAAAAGATATAATATATTATTAATTAATAGATTCTTTCAGAAAATTGTATCTAAATAATCTCAATAATTTTTTTCTTAATGTTTTTGTTTAGGACTTGTCGTCGATAACGAAATTTGAAACATTTAAAAAATGTAATATGCTACACGTGCGGAAGTACCTACACAAATAGGTAAACAACGTGGTAAATATAACGGTAAGTAGGTACGTTTTTGTAGATCACTTTATTTTCAACCAATGTCAACAGAATGTTCATCGATATTTTGTATTATAAAATTTAGAAACGTGATATCGCAATAAAATACATACATATATACGTAGGTAGGTATACAAAGGACGTATAAACGTCGAATGAATACTAAAACCAGTGGCATGCACAGAAATTGTACTTTAGAGGTTATATCGTCCCCTCTATTCGCTTAAAAATACAACTATGATCATAAACGTAACCGAGGGGGGAATCGTATGATCCGCCCCCTTCTTGAAATTTTAATACAACATACGATTTTATATTAAATTTATATAAATTACTTATACTTTTAATGTAATAAGTTGCAATTTTTAAAATGGATCTCCCCTAAAAAAAAAAAAAAAAAATCTCAACTACTTTACTGTCTTTAATAGAATTTATTTAGTGATTTTCTTTTTGAAATTATACCCTATTTCAGCTAAGCTACCACGGTAAAATGATCGATTTATTGAGTAAAAATTGGCTTACAATATGGATTCGGTTTTTAAATTATCATTGTTGAGTCCGGTACAACAAAAGAAGACTACGATTTATTCGTAAATCACGGTTATATTATTATTATTTACTACAACCACTCCCAGTAAAAATTTCTGGGCACGCCACTGACTGTAACGCAGGCATTCGTCTATACAATATTATTCTAATAAGAATAAGCATGCGGTCTATAAACTAATAGTGGGTACGGCGATTTGATACGAGTATAATATTTAACATGATAATATTATAATAAGTACTACTGTATTAAAAATAATATCCAATATTTTTAATCGTAAGACGTTTTCACTCACCGGCCACTGTGGAGACTGTTGCGGCGTCTTGCGGTGAAAACTATGTTTATTCGCGTAGGAGAGAAAAAAAAATGTTCGAGATTCAAAATGAAAAAAAAATAAGTACCAAATTGTCGGGAAGTATAATATTATGACAATATTATTACGATAACGCTTTCGGTGTCGCGGACACCATCGACGGCGGCTGTTAACGCACGTTATCAGTATATTAATAATAGGTAATAGTAATAATATTATTATCGGATTATTATTTTCGCAGTAATTTACTGTTTATATTATATTTTCATAATAGCATACGTGATACCGTACGCACGACGACAATACCGGACACGATACCATGATAATAAATAATATTATTATTACGGGTGTAGATTCGTGCCGAATCGGATGCGCGCGCGTGTGTGTGTATGAACGATAATAATATTATTATTATTACAATTCCGTTACGTTTATTATTATCAGATGTACTATCGATGGACCGTGCTGTTACGCACTGTGCACTGGCGAAAAGTGTATTCCCGGACGGCCGTTCGGACTTGCGACTACTAAAACCGCCAGGCGTGATCGCATAGCGGCACACCGGCGTTACACTCACTTTGGGGGCCGCGTTCGGCGTGTGCGCACTCCCCGGGGTCGCGGAAGTAACGCCATCTGTCGCCCGCGATCGCTTTCCCGCGCGGCCTGCGGGACGACAAAACACTCGCGGTGCTTACGCCTATATCGACGCTGAAAATTAATTCGGCGCCCGGAAAGTTCCGTTTAAAAAGGCATTTGTTCGCGCGTTCGTCTGGTTAAAGCGGAAATAATTCCTGGCTCGTTCCAGGTTTGAAAAGAGAGAAACTGCAGTTCCTTTCTCTCCGCTCGTAACAAAGGACCGTTTTTATCGTTTTTCAAATAGAAATCAAAATCAATGATTCGCAATGATTCTTTGTATTACATATTACCCAAATTATGTTTTATATTGTCGACCCCGTAAACACGCCTTAATCGTTGGATGTTAATGGTTTAACGGTCGGTTAACACAGCATGGCGTATTATCATTAACAGTAAGTAGTTCGAAATAAATTGTATCTTTATTAATATGTACGAAGAGAGAAAAATTCAAATCAAAATTATTTGATTACCGATTTCAAAGAGTTAATCGTTTTTATGTTAAGGTATTGTATTTGTAAACATTGTCAATATTAGTTTACATAATATCGATAAACGAGTTCAACGTTATAAATCTAAAGCACAGTATTCCCAAAGAAAAATTATAAAACTAAAGAAAAAAATAAATGTACATGTTATATTTTAAAATTATTTAATTTAAGTAGGTACATTTGAGAAAAATCTAAAAAAGATCGGAGAAAAAAATGTTCACGCGTTCCTTCACGAATTACGAACGAAAACAATGGAACTCTTTCCTTAGAATCCGGAGGAAACTTTTCGTGGCAAATAATATGATAATGTGGAATAATAATAAACTGTTACAAACACGGAACGTGATGTTATAAAATAGAATATTGGATGGAATTATATTATTCCTCTAATATTATAAATGTGAACATTTGTGACAACGTTTACGACTCGATCACGCCAAAATGACTAAACGGATTTTGATGAAATTTGGCATGCACATAAAATATTCGTTCTGGATTAACACACATAGGATACATTTTATCCCAGTAATGCATTACTGTGAGATTATTATTAATGGTTTTTTTTTTTAAACGGTACATTGGGATATTGCCTCCCTCGCTTTCCCTCAGAGCCACACGGATGCCCCAATTCATATTTTGTATAGATAACACAAACAAATTAATAACTGCATGTTTAGTAAAAGATTAAGTATAATAAGTATTAAGTACATAAATATACAATTTAATTCCATACGATTTATTGAAAATATCTAAATTGAATGATTAATAATTGCATTAATTTTATATATATATATTTATATTATATTTATTAATACTAAATTTTTAATGTTATAATACTGTCTGTAGAAACGAAACTAAATAGCATATATATTTAGCAGACCTAAATAATTAGGCGTGTTTCGGCGATATTGTTTTCCTGCAATTTTATCGTTTTACTGATAACTTAACGTATCAATCAGCAAGCAAACAATTAAAAACTATGTTTATTCTTTTCGATTACTGGTTATAATACTGTACAATAAATAAACCCTTTTTGGCGGTTTATTGCGACCAGTATCAAATAATAGCAACCGACGCACCTAACTGTTTGCCGAAAACCGTATCGCCGTAACACGTCTATAATACTTAAGTATATTATAGCAACATGTTATTTATTTAAATCATCGTGCAATTAAATATTATTATTCTTGACCGTCATAATATTATTGTTTTTAACCTAAGTACAATAATTTAAGATAATATAATATTATGGGTATGTTATTCGAAAGGCAATTAAATATAATTAAAATTCCCCATCTCTTCCCCCACCAAAAAAAAATCATTATTTCATCTTTAGATATATATTAATATTATATTATGCAAACTAATGTCAATATAATTAAAACTTTGTAATTAAACTCGCGATATAACTTTAATCGAATTCATATTTTATTAATGTAATAATTATTGCAGTTCCCGAAGAATATGCGCGAATTAGTTAAATCTCCGGGCCCCGTTTCTACGTTATTATAATAATATAATAATGTCTAACCAGAAAACAGTAACCACTTTGATCCTTATAACGTATACTGTATATTATATGTATGTCTTCTTTCACCTTCGAATAAAATATCTATACACTGCAGTGTATATATATCGATATAATCGTATAAAATTATACATACAGTGGCACTTACATAATAATTATTAATTATTATTAAGGCCTAAATTTGTATGCACAAAATTACTGTAGAAAATATACACGAAATTTCCAAACTATAAAAATAATATCTACCTAGGTATTATTTGTTTAGGTACTAAGCCCGGCAAGAAATGTATTGGTTTTACTATAAAATGTGATTTTTTTCTGGGCCTGTGAACAACTTTTCTACCAGAAAATTAACTCTGTTTTTCAATTATATTACCTTTCTAAAAGTAAATTTTATCTTATCGGTGCGTGAAGAGGTTGTATTCAAAATTTAGTTGTGGTTTTTTAATGATTGGGAAAATTGGGAGAAAATTTGGACAAATATGAAAGTTTACAATTCCATTATTTTAAATTTTATTATTGATTTTTTTTTTTTTTTTTACAAAAAATTGTTTATTTAAACTTATTATAAAGTTCTGACATTTTTTATGAAATACTTATCCTGATATTTTCTAGACGTGTTAAAATGTCCAAAACATTTTGTCAAATTTTGAGAACTCGTATTTAAAAACATTTGACATTTTCCAGTATTCTTTTTTTTTTTTTAGTTTTTATTCGGTTTTATGCGAGTAATATTGTTTTTGAGAATTATAAATGCTTGACAAGTTTACACGAGGTTCATCATATAATATGTCTGTAGTAGTAGTAAATCAAGTAAATATTTAAGGCGATATAGTCATTTTTTATAAGTTTTTTTAATTTTAAATTTTGACGAAAATCGTAATAGATTGCCTTTTAATCATGGTACGAATATTTCAAAACACATATTTAATCAAATCATATTTTTTTTTAGCGCTATTTGAATACTTATTTATACTTATTACTTATTTATATACGCTGTATATACAAAAAGATTAAGTAATTCTATGTATAATGTATATATTACCTAATTTCGCACATAAAACTATAACATTTCCATTTTTTGTTTATATCTTCTAAATAGAAGTATAACAAAGAAGTTATTTTATGATTTTAAAATAATGTGTTTTATATTCACTTTTATACCGACTGTAGCATAAAACATTGTAAACGATTCATTAAAAAATATCTCCTATATTTCTATAATACGATGTTTAAAAGTTATCTAGATAATATTATCGTTTTGACAAAAGATCAAGAGTTCTGCGTGATATCCAATAATATTATTATGTGACGCACTCTCAAGCGTTCGTCAAACTCATATAACGTTCAATTTTTAACAACAAAATATAAATTCACGTCCGTTTGATTTTAAAGGTCATATTATAAGTAATGGAGTTGTAGATATTCGTATATTAAAAAACGGACTTGAATAATCTTGTTAGCCGATCAGAGTACTCATACTCATACTTCTATGTACGTATACCGTTTAGAAATATTGTTCGGTAGATACCTATAAAATATTTTTTCCATTATCCGTTCTCGAGTATATAATATAAATGCCGTATATTGTGTTCGATCTCCGACACCGTCACCGCTCGTCTTAATCATTCGTCACTACAATACTTTTCATGTTATTATAAACTCGTCGCGTTCGTCCCGTACAACGTCCTTTCCTTGTTATAACGTATAATATACAGGGTGATTATCTGTATCATTGCTATCAGGTGATTATCCACTATGAAGGTTTTAGGTTTATTTGCCATAAACAGTCATAATCAGAGGCCGTGAGTTCGTGCACTAAAAAACGCTAAAATAAGCTAAATAATAGTAGGTATTAAAAAATGGCGAAATATGCTCTCAAAATTTCGGAAATAAGTATGTATTCATTATTAACTAAAATAAATTGTAAGATTGAATAAGCACGTGTATCGGAGGAGGATCGTAGTAATGGTAGTGATCATATTGTTTCCGTGATTTTACTGCCGTAAAACTCATACAGCCTAAAAGAAAAAAAACAAACCTAAACGAATACTAAGATTTTTTTTAAATATACGGGAAATTAAATAAAACACAATCATTTCATGAACTTATATGAAATATGCGCCAAGAGCTACAACAAATCTATCATATGTCTAATATGTCAACATACCCAAATTACGCAAAAATATTCACTATTAAACTTTATATTTTTATTATTATTGTTATGAAACGGTACCACAATTAACATGTTTTACTATGCAACAAAAAAATCATGCAAATGCACGAATTGATAAGCATTATTAATAATAAACGAAGATTATTAAAAAGATATTTATAAAGATGTTTTTGTGGAGTGTTGCGTTTTATGGTTGCAAGGCATGAGTTATTAAAAAAGTGAAAAAAGATCTCTTGAAGCATTCGAAATGTGGTATTTGAGACGAATGGAATAATAAACCAGACGAATTATTATCCATAGTGTGGCGATTTAATGCGGATATGACAGGATACGGTCTACGACATGATGAAGTATCGAACTAAACTATAATAAAAAGTCTTGCAGGACAAAAACCACTAGTAAGGCAAAGAAATTCATATACATGATCACAACAAAAGAAAATGCGGAAATAGATGCTGGATTAGAGAGGCTTTCCGAAGATCGTAAGAAATTAAGAATGAAATTAAACGTTATCAATCAACTCAATAATAGTTTATAAAAAAAAAAAAAAACTTGGATACGTTTCACAGTCATATGCGATCTACCTAAATATATGTGATCAATCTGTAATCTCGGAATCGATAATATTGGCAACTCAATGGACTTTTGAAGCGTTTATTTGTCATAGCTATAGTTTTAAAAAATAC